CATTTGCAGTGCAGTATGCCAAGCAGCATAACTCTGCAGTTAGGGGTCTCGTGTACTCAAGTGTATTCTGAAGCTTTTTTGCACCAGGGCGGCGGCCATGCTAAGCAAGCACAAGAACCAAGACAAACTGAAAAAGAGCCCGCACTGGACCACGCCCTGCGAAGTAACAGCACGCAGTAATGAGAACGAGTCTACACATTGCTTTCAGCAGCTCGACAAGGCCAATGTCAAGCATTGGCAGACTATGAAACCCTTTGCTGAGCGTCCCGGGCACGACCGTGTCGATGGCGAGGGAAGACATGGAGAAGCCACGCACACTGGGCACAGCCTCTGACCATAGTTGTACAAGCATCTGGTGTGTTGCTCTTTTCGTGTTTTCATGTTTTCATCTGTCTCATTTGCTGGAATCCTGGAAGCGCCAGCTTGCAGCAGCGTGCCTTCAAACCACCTCCGCTGGGGAAGTTCTCCTGGATCCTTGGAAAAGAAGTGAAAGGTCCAACATTGGACTCCTGCCTAATGCTAGTAGTGCTCTAACGGGGCCGAATGCATGAAATAGCATGGGAACAAGGGATGTCGGATGAGCCGAATTCACCATGTTACCAGTAATTACATTGCAGCAGCCCTTGCGAGTCTGAAGCTGGCCAAGGTACCATTCATCCACAAGGACTGTCAGAAGTCCCGGCCCCATTGCAACGCTGTGCCTCAGGCAAAGCCAGAGCTTGTAGAGTGTCGCATATAGACCATTGCAGGCAAGTTGCAGAGGTGGAGTTTTGAACGTATCTCGGGAGGTACCAGTACTCCGAGGTGTTCTCGGCTTTGTCTCTGGGCCGCAAGCTGATAGTGGACAAGCGACGGGAGGCCGATCGCAGGCCCGGGCCTTCCAAGCGGCAAAAGAAAGCCCTCTGAGTAGTCCTAATAGCAGATAAACTTGATAAACTAAGAAATGCTAGCGGCGATGCTTATATGCCATGTAAATCTGCTCTTGTGCTCACTTCACAGCCACTGGGAGTTCTCGCGTCTCGAGGTATCGCGTGAGCGCACGCAGCATGACCGGATGGCCTGCAACATCTGCAGCTCAATCTGAAAGCTTGCGGCTTGCGTATGTTTCGATGCTTTCCCTTTGCGGGCTCACCCTTCTTGCCCTTGCCTGGTGCGGCGGCCACAGCCCAGGCTGTCAGTTGAAGCCGGCCGGACCAGCCTGGCAACGCCAAGGCAACCAATGAGAAACAGAGCCAATGAATCCAATGAAAGAGGTCAGCCGCGGATTGGGAAATTGAACACGCACAGATTCGGAAACTGGAAAAACGTGATTCGGGGAAACATCGTGGCTTCTTACTTGCCTAAACTGCTGGAGTTCCCGGAATCCTGGCTTCCAGGGTCGAATCAGTGAACAGAAACATCGGATGATCCAAAGACACGGCAAAGACGTGGGCAAGGCATCCAGGTGTGCCTGTGAACTGCTGTGACATGCTTCAATTCTGAAATCTCGTTACGACGCCCACATCTTCACAAGGAGTCTCTGCTCTGCGGTAAACTATTTTGGTAATGTGCCGGGACGGCGCCATGCCTGGGCTTCCGCCGCAGATCCACGGCACTCGAGGCCCACCTCGCATCGGTGTCCTACTGCCGTGTGGCTGCTGTGCGCCTGCCGCATGGCTGCCGCGTGGCTGCTGCGTGGCTGTGAGGCTTGGGCCATCAGCTGGACTTTTGCGACTTCCGCTGCATCCGCCCTTGCGAATCAATGCGATCCGCACGTGGGTCAACAACGGTGAGCCATTCAGACAGGAAGCTACCGAAGCTGCGTTAATCTCTCGCCCAATGCAGACTTGGACTGTCGTTGCATTGCACAGGACCGGAGTTGCCCTCTGCGACATACAAAAAGAGGGTCTTGTCTGGGACTTCAGAGTGCACACAGCGCACACGCACTTCAGAGAGGATGGTTTCTCTGCTTTGCTTGAGGATGCTTCTGTGGGTCTCCTGCACGCTTCTTCCAACCAAGCCGATGGCAGCTGCAGCCTGGGCATCTTGAAAGCATCTGCAGAGTTCCAAAGCATAGCAGAGCATCTCTTGCCAGACTCCTCCTCTATCTCCTCCCTCTCCAAGCACGCAACGACTCTTAGGCCCAGGCGGCATGACGTCGGCATCTATGAAAAGCCCTCCAACCAAGCCGAGGACCTCCGGAGTGATCCCAATGTCCCAGGTCACAGGCTTCCCAAACATGTCTCTCACCCACCACCCGAGGCTTGCAAAGGCAAGTATGGCTGCAGCAGCGCGCATCTGTCGCTCTCACCTACGTTCTTGCTCCTTTCATGGGCCCTGACGCGTGAATCCTCGCCATAAAAATTGGCCCGCACTGCTCTCTTTGTATGCATGGTATTTTGGATTCTGCATCTTCATTTCCGTGTTTGCTGTTGGCCTTTTGTTATACGTTGTCATTTCACTGTCTAGGTTTCTTCATGTTGTTGCCTTGTCTGTATTTCTTTGCTTCCCTCGTTGTTTTCGGGGATAGGGAGCCCAGCCTCTGTTCCAAGATCGCACCCGATTAGAGCTATTCTCTTCCTTTTCTTACAATCCTTGCTACTCTTGTTCTTCTTGTCTACCCGCTTGAGACCAGTGCCTCGCGTGGCATCCACGCGCCCGTAAAGCGGGCATCCGAGGTCTGACTCCGACTGCTTGGAGACTGGCCCTGTGTCCAGTGTATCTAAGCACCTTTGCCCCAAACCTTTTGTGAATCTGATCGTTTCCTCCATTTTCCTCCGACACCCCTTGAGGCCCTCTGCGCTGGACATTGCGAGACATTCAAATATAGGTCTGGGCATGAAACCAGGTTGAGAGTTTCTGCTCCACACCGGACACAGGTCGAGAGGGCGTACCGCCGAAAAGTTTCATATTTGTGTTCTCCATTCCATTATGATGTCTCGTACCGTCGTCAAGATTGTTGTTTCAACACCTGTCCACCTCAGTCTGTTTGTTGCGTGGCTCTCCGACAACATGGCTTTGCAAAACATGGTCCCAAAAAAATGTGGCAAGGCGAACAAAATGTGTAGGTAGTTCTACTTGGTTTTGGTTTCTGTGGGAGGCGGGAGGAGGGGTAATCGTTCTTGATCCCCCTTTCGCTGCACCTCGCCCTTCTGACCTCCATTGTGCGCTTTCCTCTGCCTCTTCCTAGTGTACTATTACCAACAATTACCATTCCTTCCTTTACTTGTTCACCTCTTCGATCTTTGCGACACCTCTCCCCAGTCCGGCTCGCTGCCGGTCTCGTTTTTATGAGCACTGGTGCCCACTTCTTCGTAACGTTGTTGCTATGATTACTCTTGTCATATTATCATTCTCAATATCACTCACCCTAGTACCCAGGCAACTGCGAAAGTCATTCCTTCCATCCAGCGAGCTTAACCCCCGAGAGTGGGTCGTGCCTACTCCCTTTCTTTGATGGGGCAAGAGGGCCGAGGCCCCCAGGCAGGTTGCTGCTGTTTGGGTCTGTTGGGCATGGGGATTGGCGGTTTCCCCCCCGTTCCCCCAGCACTTGCAACTCTGGAGAAGAGCGTACCGCGTACATGAAGAAGTCCTTTTGCCGCTCTGGCCACCTGCACAATTACGGCGAACATGCAAGCCACAAACAGGTTGAGTTGCGGCGCTGCACTACATATAGCAAACAACATTGTCAAACTACCATTGCGCCCAGATCTGCCTTGCTAAGCGTTCAAAGGCATCAGCCAAATAAGGCCGCGAATCAAGAACAGACCTCACTGAGGAACGGTTCCAGACCTCGCAGGGGACAGCAAGAGAGCTTCCCTTGCTTGAGGGCAACGTGATACAGCACGAGGACTGCACTTGGTGCTTCCAAGGTGGAGACTCACGCAGCCTTGACACAAGCTGATGGAATGATCGATTTACAGTACATCGTCTCAAAGCAGCCTGCCGAAGTGACGAAGTGACGAAGTAACGAAATGACGGAGTGACGAAATGATGCGGGGATTGCTGTAAATTCCATGGCTATGCGGTGGGGTACACATAGCTTTCCGCCGAACTTGTGCGGCTTCCGTGCGTGGGCTCACGTAGTAAGAGGACGCAGTACCAGTAGTGATCAAGTTCCAGTTCTTGCAGGCCTCTCGAGTCCAGGCCAGAGAAGGCCGGGCCAGGCCGGGGGTGGGACTGTTCAGAAACAGGTCTCTCCACAAAACGAGTCCCACACGCTGCGTGACGCCAGTTGCGAAGAGCTTCAGCAATGTCAGAGCCTAAGTCTGAGGCTCTTGGACACGGCTCTGGCAGCACCACCGTCGTTGCATACCAGGATCAATACATGATGTTGAGGTTACCACGCTCTGGCTCGCGATCAACGGACTCCTCGCCTGGAACGGATGATGAGATCTACTCAGCAATGGGCTGCAATTGCTGGGAGGGGCCTGGCTGCTCAGGCGACATCCACAGCTGGTGTATGATGCGCGGAATCTGCACTCTGTCCTGCAATATGCGCAACGCACAATTGCAACAGAGCCCCTCCTTGCAAACCCGGAAACCTAAAACCCCAAACAAGGGGGTGGGGGGGGAACCCGGATGTGTGCCATATGCGGCATTATGCGGCATGCGCTAGGAACGAAATGTAGGAACTGTCCTTTTTTCGACACCATGCATCGAAGAGCCAAAGAGAAAAGGCAGCATTATGCAGCATTGATCGATGGACAGTCTTTTAGTCTCCCGAAGGCTCAGTCTTACAATCCGGCGGCACCTGACACAGCAGCCCTGACCCGTCGGCCGGAAGGACCTCGGAACACAGTGGTCTTTTGGAGGCAAATATGTTGAAAGGGCAAAGAAGCAAGGCTGAATTGCAAGACGTCTTTTCCTGATCACTGTCACAGCCATCATCTTCGGTGTCGGCAACTTCTTCATCCGTCTCACTCGTCTCGATTTCTATGTCCTGTGGCCAGGCTCGACAGACACTGTACAACAGTCGACACTGGCATGACTTGGCCTTCTGGTGTCCGCCAATTTCTGCATCATCCAGCACTCCCTCCTCTGGAAACTCCTGTCAACTGATGCGGAGTCTGACCCCAATTCTGCGTAGCAGGGTGCACCCATCTTGCCTCACCCTTATGGTGACGAGCAACTCGACGGCAGTGTTCCAGAAATTCGTTCAACTCCCAGCGGTACCTCTGAGTCACGCGGATGACCCAGCTGAAAACATTGTCGATGGGCACATGTAAACACAGTCGGGCACTTCATGATGTTGCAATCTCCACAACAAGCTACCTCAGCTACAGATCAGACAAAGAAGAGATGTCCTGCGAGGCATGGGATCTTGTCAACCCTGCGCATCAACACACCCACAATCACCCACAAGCCCTTGCAAAACACGATGATGCCCCTGACCTTCCGCGGTGCACTGAGTAGCCTGTTGTTACCTCGTGTGGCCCATGCTTCGCATTTCCATTGTCCCAGCGGCCGTGGTCTCTTTGGCATAGACACGGATCTCTGAGTCCAGCCTGTCCAACCCATTAAAGTGTCCACGATCGTCTGGGCCACGAGTCTTTGGCTTCCGGGGCTCCTGGCGATCGCAAAGACACGCCGCGGAAGCATCGTCCGAGGGCCTCGCCTTGCCGCAGTAGAAGCATGGCTCAGAGACGATGGCATTGAACTGCTCGTTTGTCAGCGAGTGTGTTTTCCTTCGCTCGAGTGTGCAGGCAGCAATGCTTCGGGCAAAGCATCCGATAAACTTCACCGAAGATTGAAATGCCCTCCCCTCCAACCTTGCACCTCCCACTTGGAACAACATCCCCGTGCGTTCCCCTGCCCTTTGCAACACTCAAGGCTGGTTGTGGGAGCGTTTCGTCACCAAAACAACGCCTTGAAAATTGGGGATCATCCTGGTCTGCGGCCATCAAGTCCATAAAAAGCTTGAAGTTGGCACTTCTTGTCGCGAGTTTTGTTCGTGACTTGCTTCAAAAAGAGACAGACAATGTGTGAGAGAGAGAGAGAGCGCGCTGTGCCCGATTCAGAGCCAGGATGCGTGTGAGTACTGGACTGGGAGATGTAGGAAGACCGCGATCTTCGTGACACGTTGTCTCGAAATCGATGCGGGTACTCGCCGAAATGCTCTCCTGACTGAATACCGTTTCCACAGCACTGCTTTCAATAGCAGCAAAAACCCGCATTGTCTTGCGTTGCATGGTCTGGTATGGTCCTTCCGTGTGCTTGGATGCAATATGGCGGCAGCATTCGACGAATCCTGCGATCTTTCGGTGGCCTTGGTTCTGAAACTGTTGTAAAGACAAAAACTACAATGGACTAGCGCCTAGTCCAAGCAAAAAGCAGAACAGCTCAGGCAGAAGCCCTTCATCATATTGCACATTGTGCATGCAGGCGCCAAATTGCCCTGCAGGATGTGCAAACGCAGGGTTTCGCAAAACCATTCAGCTTACTCCCATGGCTGATTCCGCTGCTGAAGCGTCGCGAACATCACCCGAGCAGCAGCACTGCGGCCTAATGCCCAATGCTGGTTGGAAGCAATTGCCTACCGTACATTCAAAGTTGCCAGAGGCGAAGTTTTAAATGAACAACACTGATCAGCAGCAGCTGTGGTCCGGAATCCTGGGTACAGCTTTCGCTGCTTGCGGTGCTTACGTTGCCTCGGCATACGGGCCCATGAAGCCGCCGCGGTCTGGCTTTGCAACTCCTGAGAATGCCAACGACATCCTGCAAGTACCCTTACAACCCTACGCTGCTGCGCTGATCATTTGTAGGAAGTTGTGCTGCGAACAGTACTACCACCTATCATGAAGCTAACGACGAAAGAACAAGAAAGAACCATTGCCAACGTCAGCAACGATAATCACAATGCCACAGCGATGATAGAGATCACTGCAGCTCCACGAAGCCCCAACCATGACCACCATGGCTACACATACCAGACTATCCAAGACTTGCGCCCTCCACTCAAGATACACCACAAAAAGTCACCATAAAGCCACGGAGGTGGGGGGGCTTCGGTTGTAGGGCTAATGTACCCACCTTGGGATGCAGGAGAGCCTCCTCACACAGCTACTCCAACACATATCACCCCTGTCACACTGCGAATGCACTTTAACAGACTTTCCAGCACAACGGGGGCTGGCAACAACAACGGCCAAGAGATACACGGTATGAAGAAGGAGGGCAAAATATTCTGCAATGATTTGCTTTCTCGAAGCCCCTTGCATTGCCTCAACGACGCATCATCACACCTTCTCTGCTCCTGGGGGCCAGAAACGAAGCCGCGTGAGGCCATGGCCGCGCTGCGGAGAAGGAGCACCGCATCCGAAACAAGGACCTCACAACGACTCGCAACGAGCACCTTTCCACCACTTCACCACAAGCATTCTGGGGAAGCGGCTGCGCATCAAGGCACACGCACTTCTCTCCGAAATCTGGAACGGAACTCCTTGCCTCAGTGGGAGAGCCAACTTGTCGGAAGAGGTTAACGTCGGGACACTGCTGACCGTCCCACCATGATGGATCTGTGTCCCACACCGTTCGGCCGTGCGCCTATACATGCGCAGCCGTTGGAGTTGCGGAAGCTCACCCAGTCCCTTCATGGCATCTGCAGAAACTTTGTAGGTCGGGAGCCTGTCAAATTGGAGAGTAAAACGTGCACGACTTCTCCAGCAGCTCATCACAGCTCACCCGTCTCAAAGTGCTGCGAGGTACTTCTGCCAAAGCGGCCGCCGACAGCGCGAACAAACCGACGGATCTGAGGGTGCTTCCAAGTCGATGACCTCGTGTTTTGTGTGAACCGACCCGAAGCCGGTAACACACGGCAAAGTCAAGTCCAAAACTACATCGAACTATGTTCGCACGGAAGCAATCGAACTTCTGATCCGAGATGCTTTTGCTGCCGGGGCCTCTGCAACAGCCGCCTGCCCGAGTAGGGCTCGAAAGGGCACACAATAGCACAAGAATTTAACAAGCACGACCGATCCTTGAACAGCGCTATAGCCTGACTCGTACTCGTGGCGCGGTCGTCTACTATCATCTACCACCTAAAAGCGCCTTCATGCGGCCATGCGGCTTCCAGACTGACTGGGCCGGCTGCTTTTTAAGAAACACAATCGTGTGTCTAGGCGAGCATGATTTCGCCCAATGAGCCTTTTTTGCAAAGAAGTTGGTGACGCTCAGCTGAACCGAAGTGTCCCTCGCCCGGCGGCAGCTGAAGCAAAGCACTTCCACGAGATCGTCCTCCTCCTCATAGATGATCCACGTTTGATTCTCAGAGATCTGAGGTTCGATTCACGAAGACTGCGAGGGCCTTGCCTTTGCTTGCCGATACTTTGGCTTCAGGGAGCCTGGCAACATTTTTGACAGCAGATGAGCCGTGGAACGCTTCATGAAGAAAACATGGTAAATGGATGCCTAACAGCGTCAGATCACAATGTACTGTATAGGAACGATTTCATAGGAGCCTTGGCCGGCGGAGCTGCCTTTAGTGGCTTGTTTTGTCTTCGCTGTGCGTGCCGCCTTCTTCACCGGAGTGTCCTGACATTGATGGTATCTGATGTCTAGCATCGCCTGCTTCGCAAGATTTTCGGGTGCAGTTGCAGCTGCCATCCTCTGCAGTCGCGGCCCGTTTCTGCTTCGGCGTTTCTGCAATCTTATCACCACTCCATGAGAAGGCATCCAGACTCAGCACCTGCAAACAACTCAAAGTGTGTACGTACAGAGTTAATCATGTTTTGCTGACAAGAATATACAAGAATGCACCTGCTCCTGCAAGGAGTCAGCAGTCATCCAGTGGACGCCATCGTTGCTGGTTCGTCAGCGCTGGAGTGTGATGAGGCCGCACAGGCCATTGCCACGTTTGTCAGGTTCTGAAAGGCTGACCTGTTCTAGCAATCAGAGGCAAGCAATGGCGGCAGCCCTGATTCCGCAAAGTATCCGAAGCATTCATGAGGAAAGGCTTTTACGCTAAATGCACTGCTGCGTGTCATTGAGGCTTCATGCCAGCAGAATATCTGGAGTCAAGCTCACCTAACGGACGACGCCGAGCAAAATGTTACACAATGAAACACCATGCTACACAATGTTACACCATGTTGCACCATGCTACACAATGTTACAACAATGTACAATGCTACACAATACTACGCAATATTACGCAATGCTACACAATGCTACACAATGCTACACCGTGCTACACATTGATACACAGTATTACACATTCAATCCCACAAACTCGAAAACAGCAACCCTGACTCCACGAACATGCCACGGTCTGTCTCCATGCAATTGACAGCGCAATGGGCTGCTGACTTTGATGAGCAACACGGTCCCTCGAAACGCCAGAGCTGCCTGAACATGCACTCAACGCTGAACACACCTCACGTCTTGATACTTCAGATCAGAAGCTTGAAGGAGCTGCCTTAGCATTCATCCTTAGCGCGGCTGCGGGCGTGTGCCATGCCGAGCTCCGCTGCCTCACAGGCATCATCATACATGTACAGTAGCTGTCCTCACGTTTGTTGGCACGCGCTTTCGATGCTTGGGGCGGCCTTATCCATCCTTGTTCAAGTACACGGCATGGCCGCAGCCTATCCGCAGCCTCCGAAAAGACCCGACAGGCAAGGCAGAGAAAGTCAGAGAGAGAGAGAGGGAGCCTGCACTTTGTACTTGACTTTTCTTGACCCTTGCTGCTGGGATCTTGTCAGTAGAAGCTGCAATGTTACAGCCCATGTCTACTTCGCCAGCTCGCGCAGTGGTCCCCAGGTGCTGCATATAGCACTCGAGAGGATCCGTGCAAACGACATCAGTAGTGCGGCAGTGCACCCCAGAAGGGCGCAGCAATTCAAAAAGAACTCACCAAAAAGTCTACTATGTCTACTCGGCGCATGAGGTGCTTCAAAGCTTTATCAGCAGATCGCCCTTGTCCATCCGCCGACGCCTGCGTCTGGCATCTTTCGGTGGCAACTGGGGTAGTGATGAAAACAAGCCCTCCTCTTGAATGTCGTGCAGGCTGGCCGGTGTTGCTGCAATCCAATCTCGAGCCACAGAATCCAGTGGGTCAGGCACACTGTCTGGTGTCATAAGGTCTATGTCATGCCCGACTGTCTTGACGACCTTGCAGCCCTCGCGGAGAACATTGCAAGGTTCATCCGCATTCGCCACCGGCGTGGCAAGCTGCACAAACGGCAAAGGGCCCAAAACGAGCTGAAGCGCCAGCAGCGGAAATAGAAGCCGAAACCATGACCACCGTGTGATTTGCGCGCATGCCGGCGCAGGACCTGCCATGCCACTGCTTGCAATGATGTTCGATGCAAGGGGATGCGCCGGGGAACCTGAGCCAGTTACTTCACAACGAGTCAGAACTCACAGGTGGTGTGGTTCTCTTGCCTGGGAAGGCACAACACGTCGCGAATCACCTGGAGTGGTCTGGTTTTGTGCCTTAGAACGTACGAAATGTCACAGATCACATGGGGTGGTATGCTTTTCCCATTTCGGAACCTTCGGAGACATCTCTAATCAAATGAAGTGCAATGGTTTCCGTCTGTTCGCGCCGGCGCGATGTTGTGATGTTTGCTGCAGCCTGAGGCAGCCTGCACTGCTACATCCCGTCCTTAGATTCGTTCTGGCTTCGTGCTTCAAAGCGCTTTCGGGCCATCCGCGGTCAACAGTTAGACGAGTGTGCCCCCCTTAAACGTCTGTGCATTTCGTCTTGAATCCCACTTCGCACCGCTGCTTCTTTTGCACCTTCCTCGCCGAAGACCCAAGAGTCCAGTGGTCAGATCCAGAAATGTCGCAGGTTGGCTGCTAGGCGAGACTTCTACACAGAGCTCAGAACAAGTAAAGCTGGATAAAGTCGAAGACAGCGAAGATCTATCGATCACCTTCGCTCGCGTCACCTTCGGATGCCGTCGGCCAGAGGAATTAGCTCAAGAGGGAGCTTCCTGCCCAGTGTCACTGTGACCTCCTCGTCCAATACGCAGGGATGCAAAGCGGACTGTGGACCTGCTCGATGACGTATCTGCACAAGGAACGCGCCCAGCTTGGACACTCAAATACACTCATCATCAGCAGTCCACAGATGGGCTGATGTCAAGTGCGGCCCTCTCCTCCAACCTGGCTCAACTATGTGCTGCGAATCTCTTCTAGCAGATTTTATAGCACATTTCTTTGCATGCACAGATGCCTCCCTTTCAAAAAACACATCGCACCTACTTTTTAGCTAGTAACAACAACCTACTGCACTGGACAGGGAACAGCATACCAGCCCGACAGGATCTTGGCAGCGGAGGCTGGCTCGACACCAAAGCCTGAACGTACATGTTGTTTGGTTGCTTTTGCTTTTTACGGTGGTGTCACATGTCGCGAAGATTCCCCGTGTCCGTGGGACAAAACTGAGGCTCAGGCCCTGCGGATGCAAAGCCACGGCGAGCGCAGCTTTCTGCAGCACAGCAACTGCCTGACACAACAGAGGCTGGGCACTTTGACAGTGAAGCCATGAGCTGTGTACCGCATGAGCATGTGCGGGGTGACCCAACTGGAAGCTCCTTCGTCTCCGTAGATCGTCACATATCCATGGGACATGACCATCCAGCGGAGGCTCAGAGTCTGCTCTAACTTGTCTAGCAGTCAAACACGCTAAATTTGCCGGCTGGGATACATGCCCCAAGACTCCATACAACTCCAAGTTCCTGTTAGGGTTTAGGGTTTAGGGCAGAAGAGGTTTGTAATCAACATGGTCCATCTTCTTGCACGTGGCACGCTGCTTCAGGCTCAGCACCAGAGCACCACGTATCACCAGTTTACAGTAGTTTCGGACTTATTTCGCCGAAGCATACGCTCCCAGCTTGGATCTTGTTTTAAGTCATCCTACATTGAGAATCGTTGACATGACTTGAAGACGAAGCCTAGACGTGGTGGCTGTGCCAGGGGACACAGCCTCGGAGGCTGATGCAGTGCATGGCCTCGACATCAGCATCTCGAATTGCCGTCCGCCCGATATCGCGCCCCACGGATCCCAGCTTCTTCTGCTTGCTACGCCAGGCCTGGCAGGGCAGGCAATGGCACTTAAGCAATGATCTCGGGGCAGGCGATGATGGCAGGGCAGGCAATGATCTCGGGGCAGGCGACAGCCCGCCGGCCTTCAGCATGTCCTTAAACTCTGTCGTGTACGGCGCAGCCCCGGGAGGGGGTTCATCGCGGAATTGGATGCCTCTGGCACATCTGGGCGTGTGAAAGAATACGGGCACTTCCAACCTCTTCCAGGATCATAGGCAGCAGACAACAGTTAGGACATGGATTCCCGCCTGGTGTGTTTGCGTGATCGGCACTTTTGAAGCGAAGTTGGTAATCACCTTGATGGCATTCTGAGTTCTGCGCAAGGATCTGCAAGACTCGGATCCGATCATAGACTGCTGTGACCACAAATTGGTTAAATCTCAGGGCAGCTCCAAAGACCATCTCCATGAATATGGAAGTTGTTTCACCAGGTCTGACCTCTACGGTATCTTGACGCATCTTGCATCCTGACACTGTAAACAACCTCTCTGTCTCCGAAGTGCCAGTAAGCCAGTAAGTCTCACGTATTCTCACACGGCGTAACACTCGTGATTCACTCGGCCGCTGCCCAGCCTTGGCTCTGCCCATCAGCTCTGCCGCTGCCTTGCAGATGGAGTCTCGATGAGTCTTGTTGCCGTTTGCTACCTCCTTGAACTGTTTGAACTGCTGCTTCCTTGCAAAGGGTTTCGCTTGCACGACGGATGCTCGTGCCTGCCCCCAGCATGTGGCCGCATGTCGCCCATCTAGCTGAGTTGGCGCATTGGTCAACACCAGGGACGGATCCTAAGGTCAGCATCCAACGAAGCTGTGAACAGAACGATGTAGCCTAATGTACGAGGCTCTGCAGAGCACACATCAAGCATGTCTTGAGGAGGTCGAGACACGGTCTGGCTCAGTTGGGCTTCGAACCACCTCTGTTGCCATGATACATCACTCGGCACAGGACTGCAGGCTCCAGGCGCGAGAGATGTTCAGAGTGAATTTAGAAAGTGCATCCACATGCGTAGTTCTACAGCACTGTTCTTGGCCCCAAGCCATACAACCATGTTGCAGGCACCCGAGGCAATGCCCGGAAAGTTGTACTGTGCCCTTGCCGGGATCTCATTCACGTCAGCCTCTGCAGAGACCCACACTCACAAAAGAAGCTGAGAGAAGCACGACACCAAGCTCAGCAGACATGCTGCACCTTGCCAAGCTCCACTTCGAAAAGCTCCACTGTCTCAGTGAGCACTTTAAACTGTCCTGCGTGCTCCACACTGAATTTGTGGGGATCTCTAAGCTTTCTTGCACATGCGGCTCAAGGGACATGACAGCCGCGGCTTTGAGCAATGTCCTTCTTTCTTGTCCAGGTCAACACCAAGCCAGAGCGCGGCATCAAACGCACGGTCTGTGGGCCAAAACGGCCAGAACGCGTCCATTTCGACACCGTCGATATCTGGAAGCTTCACCTGCAAAGAACAAGATGACTCTTCAAGATGATTGGGCCGTGTATTCCATGTACGCTGAGGGCACCGTGATGCTCGGCTGCTATTTTTGCAGACAGGATCTGCCTCGCAGAGCACCGCCTTCAGCCGTAGCCGAGCTGGTATGACCGGGGCATGCTGCTTGCAAAGCCGCCGCTTGGAGCCCTGTCCATTCGTTGTGGCAAAAGAAAACGTGAAAAAGAGACTGCCTAACGAAATGACACAGAGGTACTGCATGAAAACGCACGCGGAGGTTCCCACCTCCGTGAGAAGAATCAAATTCCTGCAGCATGGTACCGGTAAGAATCGGTAAAGGCTTCTTGATCAAAGGCTAGCACAGGGCCTGAACGGGGAGGGCTGCTGTGCAGTCCGAGCATCTCGCCAAGCCCAGACGCATCCATCAGCTCGCTTACCAGGACATCAAAGCGTCGTTGCTCCGGCAACTCTGGAACACCCCTTACAAGCGACGGAGAGAAGGGCTCGCGTCATTCCATGGACACAGGTACTGCAGGTCTGCACATGATGGTCATGATGGTCACGCTTGTCCGTTTATCCCCTTGCACCTCACGTCAGTACACCAGACGTCAAGCGGACCGGCGCCCAGTGCACCAGAGGAGCGGTTGGCTGATATTACCTCCTCCAGGTGACTTCACGCTGCCAGTATTCACAACTGCCCAAAGTCCGACCGTCCGCAATTCGTGCCTCCGAAGCTCGGGCAATCTGCGTGACATACTCGACTCCTCGAATGCAAGGCCACGAAAGCGGTCAGCTTGTAAACCAAGTGCAAGTCAGAGAGTTCCAATCGTCACTGGCTCTGGAAAGCCAGGTTCAGCCCCCATGGTCGTTGGTGATCGACCAGAATTCTGAATCTGTGCTACGTGGTATGCCGCTTGCTTGACGAGACAAGTTTCCGATGCCCGCAGTGGCCCCAGATCTGATCGCCATCATTGACAAGATACCTTGCTCGAACAGGCAGCTGGCTGTGGTCGGCCTTCTCTTACGGCTTGCGCCCTCTTGCTGACAAGTTCGACACATCATCCTTCAACCTGCCCAATCTATGGCCTAAGTTGTCCTAAGACTGCTCTACCCTAGTGAACTCGGCATTGCTTGCCACCTTCAAGCTCTGCAGATCACCTCACACTCTTTGCAACGGTCGCAGCTCTTCAAGGCCTCGTTCTGTCCGCATGCTGTTTGGACAACCCATCCAAAGACCCAAAGACGAACCCCTGCTGACAGACTATTTCGAGCCCAGATATCTCCAAAACAGCGTGATGATTTTTCACCTTCACTCACCCCACTAAGGCCGTGCTCGCAATATCGGGACTGTGTGATACTTTGGCAAGGCGCCGTCGCCACTGCCAACATCCAAGACCGTGCAAGCGCCAGCGCTCAGCTCCTGCCAGCTCTGAGCTGATGATCTGATGCTGCATGAGGCATCATATGCTGCATGCTCCCTAGCTGCTTGGACGCCTTGGCCTTCGTAATCTCCGCTTGCAGAGCTTGCTCATACAGGTCATGCCTGAACACGTCAGAGAAGCAACAGAAGAATAGCCGACCATCCGATCGAAAAGCCAACATGGTCCCGTCCTTGCTGAATCCCTGAGCATCTCAAAGTACCATTCGGACAATGCCATGAACCCAAACGGTGGCTCCGCACTCTTGGCCTTGGACAAGCGACTGTTTCTACCGCTCTCCGGCATGTTTCATGCTACTCCGATCTACTCCGCAAGCCCAACTACGCCAAGTGCCGACACGCGACATAGTCCCAGTCTATCCATACGCGGCCGTCATTTCGACGGGCTTGGAGGCCCGAGACAACCTTCCAGCAAGACCCCGGGACTAGCCGGCAATTGGTAGATATGCCTCGAAAAAGGGCCATACGACCCAACACACCCTCTCTCTCACACGCACATGCTTAACAGAAAAGGTCCGCCACTTGTCGGTACTTTGTGAGGCCTCAACCTTTTGTTTTCTAATAATTATGGATGCAACTTTGATCATGAAGATAGAAGCACAGCTTCAGACGTAAAAAGTCACGGCATCAAAGCAAACTCGCCTTGCGGCTGCAAGCCTTTGTAACAACTCATGAAGAAGCGTTAGAATGGACATCAAGCAACTGGGCACGACATTGCCCCAAGATTTCTGGCATCAACAACCAACTTGTAGAATGTGCCAATGTTATCGAAACATCACTGAGCTGAAGCAAGTACAAGGCATGCACTTGGCACAGGGGCTCGAAGACACACACCACGAGTACCTGAATGTTGCCTGGCAACTTGCCCAGCACGCAAAGACACACCGCCTGCCATCCATTGCGCAAACGATAAGGTGACACTCTTGCCAGACCTTAGATGGGCGATGAAGAGCATTGCTGCTCATAGCAACTGGGTTTTGAAGAGCAACCACCCCTTGCCCCCTTGCCAACAATCTCAGGCAATGCCAAGCTACGGGAAGCAGATCTCCGTGCAGATCACTGCCACTGATGCCTTTCCGTTGGCTGTGGCTTCCAGGCAGAAGGGCACAGGGCCCTCCTCTGCACTGTCTGTGAGCTGCCAGTCCTCGGACACCCTTACCCCGATTGCATGCCACTGTGCAAGGCAAGGCGGCCACCGTCCAAGTCCCCGGCGAAGACCGGTGTCGAGAAGTCCGTGAGCAGCACCTCATCCGTTGAGACGGTCTTGCTTGACGGGCCTTTCACACTCCCGTCTGCCGCACTGTGCCCACGGCCGGCTTGAGGGCGGTTGCGTGCGGGAATTCTTCTGTGCCAACCTCGCAGCAACCAACTGTGCAGTGGAGAGCCTTCGGTCAAAAGGCCAGACTACACAGGACACAGCTCTAAAAGGTCAGAAGCACCCTTCCAGACTCTCAACAGCAACCACAACCAGGCCTTCAGTGGGCCAGCAGATAGTGCACGGAAGCCTCAAAGAGTGAGAGATCACAATTCCTAGCGAGGCGACCCGGACTACTGGACTCTGAACATGGCGGCAAGATTTCTCATAAACTTGGCTGAGCGGCGTGCATCCATCGCCGTGAGGTCGAAGCCTGAGGCCTTGAGGCCTGCATCTGCCAGTGCAACTGAGACGCGTAGTCTGGCCGGCAGTATTTGTCCTTGGACGTTGCCAACCGCACGCATGCTGCAGAACGTCCGTCGCTTGCCGGTGTCTCCTCTCCTCTACATCTGTACATCCAGTACATTCCACTACATTCTCATTGCACCATCAAGTATCCGAGAGATGCAGAAGAGGCAGCTTTTCTCAAGCATTCCATAGGCCCCCAGCCTCAGCCACCAACGGTTTCTGGAAGCCTTCTGGGACCTCACTTAACCTCATGGAGTCTCATGAACTTGTTGCCGAGCAGCTGAAGACACCCAGGCCGTGCCATCGGTCCACGACAACCAAATCCCAGGGCCCCGAAGGGAGCGGCTCCGAGGAGCTGACTTCACATCGAGCGACCTCTCAACTCTCACAAAGCAAGTTTCACAGCAGTCAAGCCATTGCAAGCCCCTTTGTCGTACTAAAGCGCCACCTCCTCGGGTAATAGATTTCGACGCAGCACCTGCGCAACAAATCGGGGCACACTACTGAGTACACGTGTCCCTCTATCCGTGTAAAATTCAGCTGCAAGCGCATCTCGCCTCCTGTGCAGCTGCAGCAACGTCCAGCAATGGCTCCCACAGAACAACACGTGCCGCACCAGCTCGAACAGCAGACACTGCTGACACACCTGCGGGGCTGTCAGGCTACGAGGCTGGTGCAGCTGGCACTCCTCACTGCACCCAGGCACCATGGCCACCAATCACCAGCACCGTTGCGGGCTTGCCCTTGAGCTCCGCCCGCACTTCCTGTGAAATGGATGCCAGCAGCTTGCCCAGGACTCCTCGTCAAGGCATGGAAGGCAAGGCAGGATTTCCCTCGCCAAGCGTTTGTCATTGGAATCTAGCATGGACATCAATCACAAGGCACTGCAGTCCCCGACCTCCCGTCTGCGCCAGTTCCCTTGCCCGAGCCGGAAGCGCATCAATCTCCGACATTTGTCTGGCATGCTCCAGAAGCCTGGTGGAGCCGTTCAATTGCCATAACATTGGTGGTCGTGCTAGAGAAGATAGCACGGCAAATAACACAGCGTCTGGTTGGCAGGTGCAAGCAGATGTGAGATGATGGGAGTCCTTCCCGGACCCTCAGAGCTCCACAGGCTTGGGTCTTGGAAGATGCCTCCCAGAATCACTTTTTTCATGCAATGTCCGTGATTGCAGATGCCGTGCAGATGCGGTGCAGTTGCGTGCAGCTCTCACGCAGCCTGGGCTGTCCAGCAATCGCCGGAGTGCTGCGTCTCCTGTGGTACCAGACAGCGCGGCAGCAGTCTCGGTCAACGCATCTGGCCTTGCGGGCACGAAATTGAAAAACGGCTCGGCGATGCTCAATGTCACTGCCGATGGCCGATGATTTTCATCAATACATCCTGCTCAGTGTTCAAGTTAAAAGCAGCTGGGCAGCGTGAGCGGAGTTCGCAGAAGCTCCGTTCGAAACTCCAAGCGGTTCTTCAGAAGGGACTCTTTGCAAGCGGCAAAGGCCTGCACACTGCAACCTCTCCACGACCTCTCCATGTCTTCTTCATATTCTCTACGCTCTACTTGGGCAGCGTCTAGCCAGGGAGCTCATAAGAATAAAAGGAATGCAAGGATGGCCTCGCCAGCTTCTTTCCGCAAGCGCTGCTCCTTCTGCTTCAACTCCGCCCAGCTGCTCTGTCCAACGCACTCTCTCCAAGCCTCTGCGCTTCGCCAGTTTATGAACCCCCCCCCCCCAACTGGAAACCCCCCAGCACCTGAAAAGCCTGAGCGCTTGCGCTTGGACCGTCTTGGACCCACCTCCTCGCCTTCTCGGATGCCCCCACAAAGTCGGCATGTGCCAGCTGCTTGCAGCGGAACGTCTGCACAGCAGGATCGCCGGCATTGCGATCCTTAAGTGCTGCCACAAACCTATGCAAACCTATGTGATGGGAAAACCTACAAAAACTTGCACAAACCCACGTGGACCAGGAGGTTTTGAATTTGTTTTTTTCCCGGGGGTATTGTGCTAAAACACAGGGCATGCCGGGCACTGTGTATATGTGTGTGAGCGTCTATGTGTGTCTGTTGTATCTGCGAATCTGCGAATCTGCGAACGAAGGCTTCTGGCTTCGGAGAGTCTAAGGCAGAACTTGGGCCCGGTGGCGCTTTCCAGTCCTTGGCTGAAACCCTGTTCAGGGCCGTGAAAACAAGCGCGTGGAGCAGTGTGGAGCAGTGTGATGTTGTGGAGAAAAAAATTGGTGCGGAAACGCTCTCTCCAGGGCGAGCTGCCGATGCAACACCATCACTTGCACGTTGGACGGAAACGTCGGAAACGTAGCCAGAAGCCTGGAGCATGCATCTTCGAGGCCCTTGCTTAGTTGTTGGCCTTTCGGGGGCCACGAGGAAAGCCCTCCAGTGCAAACAGGAGGGCTTGATCGGACCGGGCAACGAGTGGAACGAGTGCAAATCTCCCTACCGCAGCTAAGCCCTTCACGGTGCAGACCATACTTAGCATGCCTACAGCGGCTGCAGGAGTTACAGCTTTCTTTCACGCTTCGCCATCTTTCAAGGAAAATGAGGCGCTAGCAGTCACTAGCTCGCACAACATGAGGTTCCACCTTGTTCCGCCGGCACAGCTGGAAGTAACCTTACCTTGTTGCTCTCCCCGTGCAAAGCAGTTTAAGGCACTTTCGCCACAGCACACACACAAATCATTCCATACCTAACTAGCCGGAGATGCAAAGGGTGCGCAAAGGAACTGTGATTTGGTCTTGAGACATTCAACGTAGAACCATTGCTCCTTCCTGTGGTTGGTCGCTAGGTTTGGTGGCAGCAGGGTTCCAGACCCCCTGTGTACGAAACGACATGAAAACCTGCAGAAGCACTGGCCAGCGTTCCAAACTCCAAACTGCTTGCGTCTAGCTTTGGAACCGGTTTCTTTCCCCAGCAAGGCTCCAGGTTCTCAATCTGAATGCTCGCACAGGCAAGTATGGCAAGTGTCAGAAATCAGGCTCAAGCAAACTCAAGCAGCTTCGAAATTCTTGCGTCGACGGTGCCCCAAGGATTTTCGCCACATGAACTGGTGCCGTGCTGACCATCACAAACGACCGTATTTCGCCGACTCGGGTTGAGATTCGGTGGGTGTCACACTTCCTGGCACTGTAACTGGCAATGTTGTCGGTACAAGCAAAAGCATCCCTGTTGTGATCACGTGTCCAAAACATTGGCCACCTTCTCCATTGTTTTGCAAAGGCAGGCAAAGGTGTGAGCGAGGATGCTTTCTGCAGGAGTTGAACTGAATCGTTTGACCCTGGGAGACGCACAGGCAACTGGATATATATATATATATGTATATATGTATATGCTTAAACTGTTGGATGCATGCGCTGCTACAAAAAACTTCTTGCCGACAGAGATTTAAGGTTAAGACAGGGTCTAGAGGCTTAAGCTCGTTTTGAGGCCAAAAGAACCCAACCATCTCCACTGCAGAAAACGCGAGAGGCACTACAGCCTGGTGCACCAACGCAAAGCTTGAAGACAAGGCAGGAGCCATGCCATGAACATGATCAAGCCTTGATCCGACCTATCACAATCATGGCGTATCAAATTCTCGGCCTGCGACTCGACAGGCTTTCGGCCCGCGAGCCTGGAGAACATACTCTGCATGACTCTGCAACAGCAACCACGATCATCAAACCACTTCAATATATGGTTTACAGAATCTTGTACCTGCATCTGTCTTCTCTCTGAGAGCTTGGCTGCTGTAGACGGGCGCTTCCTGGATGGGCAGCGAGGCCTTCTGCTAGCACCTGTGTGGCGTTTGCACTACACTTCTGGGCCTTATGGAGTACATTCGGCAAGCCGTGGCCGCCGCCCGAAGGTCCGATGATGTGCCGTCAACTTCACATTTGTGCAACGAGGATCGTGAGCTTAGAAACCCACTGAATTTCCACTCAGGCTTGGGATGGTCTTGTTCTCAAAGTTCAATAGCTCTTCAAACCCAAAGATGAGCACAAGCGGATCCTACTTCAAGGCCCAAATGCAAGGCTCATGCGGCTCATGTTATGGTGCCTGCTGCGCATGCGCGACCGCAAAGAGTCCTCGTTTCATGAGAAAACGCCTGCGAGACCCGACCATGCTCCGGGCCTGGCTTGCCGCTCCTTCCAAGCCCATCTCCCAGAAGTCCTGAAGAATTGGAGTCTGAGCAAGCCTCTGGCCTGCCTTGGCCTCATTGCAATCCCGATGAACGGCCCGGCAACACGGGCAGTTTGCTTAAGCATGCGGTCCTGGTAGGCTTTGACATAGTACTCGTCGCTGCTCGACATTGCGCACAAAGCACTCAACAGAGCTGTCTGAACCACAAGAACTTTTGCAACAAACACCTCAAAATGTGCGAAGATCCTACAAGCAGCCCGTAGCCCTGGCGCACCAAGTTGTCCTGGAGACTGTTTTCAACCACATCTTGCAATACCAGCTACATCAGTACTTAGAGGTCGAGGGGTTGTTCCAAGGGCATGCCGGCTTACTCTCTAAAAAGAAGAGCAGGTAGGTCGTTTTGGTCAAGCAGCTGTTGAAGCCCAAAGCCTTTCGGGAGAAGCCGGACCCTGGAATTGAGCAACATTCAGGCACGGATCGCTTGACCTGCCATCGCTACAGATCCATCATCACAAGGCGTTGGGAAAATTGGTCGTGTGCTTCTTCGATGAATGCTGCAAATGGCGGCACTGGCAACGATGAATGCAATGATGCCTGGGTCCTAGGACTACATCAACATGTGGGGCAACTCTCTGCATCTATGATCGTCCTGCTGGCCCACAGCAAGTGTAAACCCCCCGCGCCTAAAGGGCTAGTGTCAGCAGCCTCCATCAAGCAAGTGAAGAATCGGCCCCGCGATGGTATGACCTCTACAGGACCTTCTGTCCGGCCAGCAAAAATGCCGCGGCCTCCAGAAGCAAAGCTTGCAAATGATGCATTCGCGCTGCTGCGCAACTAATGTCAAGTCCAGAGGCTGCCATGTTCTGAGCAAACCTCATTCACTTCCAAACGCTGTCGCATCAAGAGTCTCTCTTTTTTCTCCAAGGCGGTAGCGGCATATCCCTCTTGCCATCGTTGACAAACCGCAACCATCAAGCAATGCCCTGCGATGCTCGTGATTGGGTAGTCTTGAAAGAACAAGTATTTGGGACAAACGTGTTGCGTGCAGCCGCGCAAGCTAGAAGAGCAACATCTAAAGAATGCAAAACGGGACGTTGGCTTCAGGGTCAAGATGGTTAAGACTCTAACACATTTACCATTCACGGTGCTTCTAGCCTTGTGGTACCGAGCTGTGTCGAAGCCTGGGCACCACACCGAATTCTGCCCCTGTCGAATGACAAGGCAGCGAGTCTGTACCAAAGGTCATTTGCCTGGTCTCTCAATGCTCAGCCATGACAGGGCGCCGCTGGCATGTCCATCCAGCACGCCACGCAATCCTACGTACTCCCGATTACGTGAACCGTGAACCCATTGAATCCAAACCTTGCTGCCTTGCTGCGGTGTCCTCGCCATGGCCTTCTGAAAGGAGGCCAGAGCCGATCCAGAGTTTAACACTGTGCGCCAATGACACGCCCTTTACCCGCGAGATGATCCTATGCTGGGGTCAGGGGTCGTGCAGTATGCTTCTTGATGCTTCTTGCATCCTGGCGACTCTTTGCATGTGCTTCAGCAATTGTCAGGCATCTGGCATGTTGCACGCGCGGTATGTCCGGACATGGAGACTATTAGAAACTAGCAGCTTTCATGTCAGAAGTCTGTGCGAAGCACCTCACTGCTCGGAGAACACACAGCTCGCTCATTGTCGGTCGCAGGAGTCGCGCCAACATCGGCAACAGAGAGGAGCCCCAAAGTGCGAAAAGAGCTCATTGAAAAACCTTCTTAGTCACAAGATAGCTTTCTTCAGGGTTCCTTCAAGGCACGCGGCTGTGAACTCTCTAGCTTTGTGGGTGCCCAAACAGATCATGCAATTTGCTGGCACGGTGCCACCACGTCTTTGAGGCAGCTTGCGTGTTCCACGCTGTGGATAGCTGCCGGGCGTGCGGTGTACAGCCACCGGAGTCCCTCCACAACCCTCCAATGTCCTCTTTCTTCAAGACTGCTCCTCAGGGCTACTTAGCAGCTCCTTATTCTTCATCATGGAGCCTCAAAGATGGAAGTACAAAGCACTCTGAACTGGCAGTGTTTAAGAGCCACTGGCCAACATTCAGCACCATGTTTACAGTCTGGCTGCTAGCATCACGTTCTATCACGCAAGTTGTTGTTGTCCAACTGCTGTTGGCAGGTGGCATGGGGTTTTCAAAGTTTATGCTCCATGAGGACCTAATGTTGTCCTCAAGAAGATTAGATTAAGGTGGTGAAGCTTTGCATCAAAGATCTCCTTTCTTGGAATAATACATCCGCTGCAGCTTGCAAAAAGCTGCGAAGGAGACCACATGACCTGAGCTGATGCATGGGTGCGTTGACTACTAAAATAAGCAAGGTGTCACAAGGAGGCTTCAATGAGCAACTTTAGCCAAAGCAGCTCTTGGGGAAGTAGCCACCAGCCTCCGGCTCTGTAAGCCCGTGTCCCCAAAACCAGCCGCTCTGTGAATCGTGAGTGACCTGTGATGTGAACGATGTGAACGTTGGACTGCGGATGCAGAACGTATACACTTGACGTCATGCCTGCATCAGCTGTCCGACTCCAAGCGCTAGGAAGCTTCCTGGTTCGGTGCCGCCTGACAGCACGTTCACCAAAGGCAACTCCACGGTTGTCCCAACGAACTGAAGCAAAGGTCGAAATCAAGTTTACACACATCTACGAGGGTCAAACAAAGGCACGTCTTTCCAGGGCATGCCTTACGCCTTGCCAATCTCAAGTGGGCACAGCTGCATAGACGGGCAAGCATGTTCTGGTTTTGTAGTTTTGGCTGCTGCAGGATGGATCTCTTGATTAACAGCTGAACATCCCCGCTCGGCTTGTCGACAAAGACATGCAAGCGGAAAAGAGGTCAGTCCAAACCAGTCAGGTGGACCAAGCGATGCTGGATCAAAAGGGTAAAGCGCTATGGCGCAGAAGCTCTTGTCATCCTTCAGGGCATTGCACAAGGATGCCCAGTGTTAACTGTCCTTCCTTGCTTCAGCATCGCTAACACAACCTGCAGGCCTCTGCACTCGCAGTGCCTATCGTTGTCGCTCTCTGATCCACAACGGTGTAGTGTGATGCCTAAGTTGCATTACCGAATGTGTGCGGGGCGGGGGGGGGGGGGGGGGGGCCTGTGTCAGCTTGTTAGCCCACGTGGCAGAGGTCCCAGATACCAAAAGCATGCGCGAGCACAGGAAGACTGCCTCTTCAACTTGTCTTTCTGGCTAAGAATCTTAGAAATGCACACGATCAGGCAATCTAGGACTTGGACACGGTTATGACATCCACCCACGCTGAGGTTCGTCGCTGAGGTTCGTCTATGCTTGAGCAGGCACCCAGCTGGTTCTCAGCAACAAGCACAAAGACTTCTGAGGAGGACACCAATCGGATGAGGTCCGTAGTGTCCTGACACGAAGAGCCCAACCCGAGTCTTGGTGGGATCGAGCTCTTAAAACAACTCCTGGCCCCGAACACCACACAAGTCTTCCTATGTCTTCATATTCCCATGTCTTGTCTCTTCATGCCCAAGGGCAGAAGCTGGGCACAAGTCCTCGGTGTGTTCATCTCTGCTGCTGTTTGAGGCAGGCAAAGAGGACTTCGTACACCTCGCGATGTGTGACTTGCGAACGGCTCTCGAGCGGCTTTGCCCCTGTAGCATTCAGACCAGAAGGCTTGCGAAGACAGCAAACTATGAACGCAGCAGCACGCGCTGAAGATTTCGCGCCGGCACAAGCCCCTCAGTCGCAGACATGTCTGAGGCAGGTGTCGAGGTATCAGGGAGCATCACTGAGATGCTCTGGACAGGCCTGCCGGCATCGACAGCACAAAGAAGGCGCCAAAAGTCGGAAGATGTCGGTAGGTGCATGCGGGCTAGGAGTGTAATACAGCTGTAGCATAAGACTCACTTCCCACTCAGGTGTGAAATGATTGACATTGTGTATAGATTCAGACCCACCATGGCAACCTAACGCAGCGCGACACCATGTCGCACAAGTGCTTTTGACCGGACGACGTGATGAAACATGATGAGACTGTCACCCCTTCACCTCTCGTCAATCCTCGCTCTTTCGAGCTGATACGTCGCACAACAGCACAACAACAGCGGCAGAAGCACTGACTTGGTCATGATGCGAACAGATGCAGGCAGGCATGATGCCACAGCACAGGTGCAGCTGACACGCCTCTGTTTACAAGCATCACCATCTATCACATGGCCGTGCCAGATTCAGATGCTTCTATGAACTTCCGTGATTGTGTGGCCCACGGGCACAACAGCAAAGGCGAAATGTTGTGAACTGCTGCGCCATGTGCCATCATGTGCCCCGCCTTGAATTCCAACATCTCGTGGGGGACAGACGCTTGAGCGCGGGGAGTTCCGAGGCAAGTTGCGGGGGATGCCCAACTGTCGCAGGACACACACCGGCCAGTCTGCCACAGGCAGGGATGGGGAGGGATACGCAAAGGGCAGGCAGGGCAGGGTGGTCAGGGATGTACGAATTGTGCCCAGCCCTCAGGTGTGGAGGACCGGCGGTCCAAGCCAGGCGGCAGCTGCTGAGTCAATTATGAGAAACAGTCGGGGATGTGTTGAAGAAATGCCCGCTCAATGTCCGGTCTTAACCCATCACATGTGAAGCTCATTGGCTCTGGATGCCCCTTATGTGATGGCGACAAACAGCTCAGCTAAACCGGCCTTGAGACGAAGTCCAGCGCATGCTGCCACAACGGCCGTCCATTTCGGCCCTTGCAAACTGTTCCGACATGTTTGGACATCAGGCTGACGAAACATGACTCTGGGCTTGCTGCATCAGCTGCTTTCCGAAGCTTGTAGCCTCGGCCAGTCAAGAGTTCAAGGGAAGCCGGGAAGTATGCTGAATCCTACAAAGCCCACGCATGCTAGCTGCTAGCATTTGCTGCTCGCTGGTCTGGGATCTTAGGACCAAGTAGCGGAAGCCGCAAGCGCAGCAATGAGTGAAGGCCTCAGCCCCAAAACCACGTGAAGGCACGTATGATACGTAGGTATGGACACAACAATCTTCACACATGTATGTATGTATGTATGTATGTATGCATGTATGTATATATGTATGTATGTATGTATGTATGTATATATGTATGCATGTTATATATATACATATATACATATACGCATGCAGACACACACACACATACTCTCGCCTGTTGTGGCCCTCTCAACCGTTTGAACACCGTTTGTGCTCAAGTCCCGCCTTGGGGTTCTGCCCCGAAGCCCGCCACGTGTCAAGGCCTCATGTTCTGCACATTCTGCGCAACTTTCTTCCAACCCAGCGGTGCTCTCTGCTCCTCAAAGCTTAGGCAGAAGCACGATCTGTGGACCCAGCGCACGCTGCCTGCACACCTGTCCAGCTAATCAACTAAAGTGGAGGAATACGCGACTGCAAATAAGGCACTGTTGCTGCATGAGCTGACTTAGCCAGCTAGACTCAGATGAGCTGAAGTGAACAGGAACCAGGAGCATGTCCATCAGCGAGCCCTTGTATCATTTGATGTGGCAGTCGAAGGGACTGAGAGCCATGGACAAGCGGCTGATAGCTGCGCAAACGTCATGGCACACACACACACACATGGTCTATTCTTGATTCGTTACACATGGTCTATTCTTGATTAGTTAAAATTTATCGTGACACATGGGCAGCGATGAACGGGATGGTGGCTGCACTGGCAGTGCCGAATGAGGCCATGTTCGGCCTGCAAGGCGCGATAAGCTCACCTTCGTCTTCCCGGCCTTCAGTCGTGTACTGTTTTAACGACAATGGCCTTACCAAGCACATGCAGCCAAGAATACAAAAGCCAGAAAAATTGAGGCTGTCTCCGAGACATAAACGGCACTCCGGGCCGTCCACTCCCACCCTGCAGCTCACCAGATTTTGCAGTCGCACGACCGGCGAACACTTCTCAGAGAATTTTGCCATTGGGGTTCAATTCTCGGATGAAGCTCATGAGTGCATGCACTCTTCAAACGCAACCAGGAGTTATACAGCCTTATTGCACCTCAAGCCTCGTTCCGACTATTGTAGGCCAACTGTCTTGCTGACTGCTCTTTTGCTGACGCGTTGCGCTGCCGCTGTTGCTCCAGCCCGGCGCGGGCAACAGATTGGCATGGATCCTTCGAGTGTATCGGGTCTTCGTGTCTCGGCAGGTGCCCGAGATGCGCCTACAAGGCGACCACAACATATTCCAACCACAACGTGGCCCAGTCCTCGAGATGGCCCTTGTAGAGGCTGCGAGGAGGTAGGTTCTCGGGGGCTTGAAGCCAGACAAGCCAGAAAAGGCAGAGATGCACATACCCATACTCTTGAATCTAAATTAAACGAGCCGAGCATGGAAACCAAGCATGGAAGCAGAAAGTCAGCCGCGACCGTGAGGAACCACATATCTTTGAAGACCTTCAAGCAATTCTGAACCGTGCATTCTGGCCGCGGGCGTCTAAATCCCCAGACCTAAGGCGTTTGGAGCAAACGAACAATGTTCATTCCCAAACATTGCTCCTTCGGGGCGAAACTGCTGTGTTTTTGCGCGAGCACACTTGGACTTCTCTGCGTGCGCAAAGAGACATGGCTATGCAAAAAAGCGCTGCGTTCTCGCATCGCGGGCACACACTTGGATCGCAATCCGATCGCAAGGAGACCCGCTTTAGCAAAAATACTGTTGTTTTGTTTTCGCGCCACGCACGCACTTGGATCTCAACCCACATGAAGAAGGAGACACAATCATGTGACAAAAAACTGCTGCGTTCTGACGCCGAGAGGACACACAACGGGACATGTTCACGCGACAAAACTGCTGCGCTCTCACGCCGCAAGCACACGTGGATTTCACTCCGTGCGCAAAGAGACATGTGTCCGCGAAAAGGCTGCTGCGATCTCGCCACCCCAAGATACATGATCACACACACGCGCGCGCGCAAACATCTCTTACGCTCTCCAGATTGTAGACCCCGGCCGTAAGCGTGTCCGCTGTTGGGGAATTCCTCAAGGCTCTCCACAAACAATGGCACGGCTTCGCGGGGGAGAGATACGCATGCGCAAAATGTTAAAGTATGGTTGTGTAAATTATCGTTGCTCGGTTGTTTGTTTGCGGGCTGCCTTCCATTTCCACAATAGCTGTAGGTTGGTTGCGGAATTACCGAATGACGATCGAACATACAATGATCCAGAACTGGTTGGATGCTTTCGAAAGACTACATCGAGTTGACCGCATTTTTCAATGCCAAGCCAAGAAAAGGAACACGCTGATCTCAGATGCTCTGCTTCTGACGGCTACATGATAAATGCGGCAGGCAAGAGTCACAGTCTATCACTGACAAACAAGCTGCCGAAACATGCCACTGCTTGGTGCGCAGGGCACATGCACTCAGCCACACTAAGCCTGTTGAATTGATCAAGCTGTACCACTGGTTTAAAATGAGTGAGAAAGTGGGAGCCCTAGAGCCCTCGAGTTGTCAAAGTAAAGCGGCCCTAGCTGGTCGCCCCCTCAGTCAGGCGGTCTCCAGTCTTGGGCATGTCCAACAGGCGAAGCTGCGCCTGGAATCGCAAAGCCGCTAAAGCCGCTAAGCGAGACGTTGCGCTTTTGCTGCTTGCATGAACATGAACGGTTCAATTCTGAAGAGATCTTTTCGAATCTTAAAACTATCGGAATGAATTGAAAATGCACGCGATCGCCATTCGCCACCCCCCGCAACTCAGGCCGCCGCTGAAACACGACGTGTTGAAGAGATCAGCATGACCAGCGACACCACGATGAGACACAGGCACTCTTCCTACAGAGGCATTCTCCAAAATGCTTGCGTTCACTGCATTACGCGGGCTCTACTACATGTCACTCTAGGGAAGTCGAGCGGCCCAAGCAACCTGGTGCTGGAAGCAAACAACCTGAGCGGGCACCCTCGTTCACATCGTTCACTGCCCAAAAAACCTTTTTGTCGAGAGGAATTCCCAGCGGAAGCGACGGCCAGGAACCCTCCGGTTTAATTCAACCGAGTGCGATTCGCGCATCACTCAAAGCCATGGGAAGTTATCCTACGTGTAGTTGGGGGGGGCAAGCTTATCAGACTGTACTAATGAGTTTCGTCTGAATACGGCACAGGCACCGACAGCAGCAGGCTCATGATGGCGCGGGATGTCATGATCAGTGTAAACACGGCCGGTCCAAACCTTGACTTGAGAAAACAAAAGCACATGAAGGCACCCTGCTACCATTCAAAAGAAGCCATCGATCGGAGTCGCGCCTGGAGCTAAGAATTGGGGCGTGACTAAGCCCTGCCTTCCACCCATCTAAGCGTAGGGTAGCCGACACAGCCGGACACAGCCCGACGCTGTTCAGATCCCTGCCCGAGATCGCGTTCAAAAGACTGAAACTCAACCCTTCTCAACTTTTCCTGTAAGGAGCAGTTTGAACTTTGAACCTCTTTTTGGACGGCTCCTTACATTCATGGACACGTACAACCATGAGCGCACTCTTGTACCACAGTAGACCACGAGGTGGGCACCGGCGAACAATGCTTGGGGGCTTGTGTGCTGGAGCAATGAGGTGCAAGACTGATGACACACATATGTACCAAAACAATGCGCTTAGGGCTTCATGCGTGCCGAGCATGCCTTGTTTGTCCCGGTGCACGGAGATGTCTTGGGAGAAGTGGCGGTTTGCCCGTGCCAACTCGGGTTCCAGCTGGGCCAATGTCGGGTTGGACTGCACAGGGGCGTGCTTGTCGGGGCTTGGCTCATTCTGGGAAATGCACACACGAAGTTGTCATGGAAGTTCTCTCATGCGACATCTACCATTCCCTTAGAATGGCAGAATTTCCCTTTGCGAGCTTGCAAAAGGGCTCTCAGCGAAAGCCTTTGTTCTGTGAGACTTTACATCCCCGCCCTGCTTGTGAAGGGCAGATGCGCTTGCATGAGGCAGAGAGCACCAAAGCGAAAGAGACAAAGGAAAACCATGTCTAGCAAGGCCAGACACAGTTGCATCAGTTGCATGACATCTGTGGAGGGGCGGCGCCTCCCTCCAATCCCCCACACCCGGCCCACCTAAGCAAAGCCAGACGAGCCGGAGTTTAGCGGAAAGGGGCCTGTGGCAACGAATGCTTGTCGTCAAACCTACACTCCTGCGCGTAACTCAACTAGTAAAGCTGGTGAAGCGCCAACGTAAGACAGGGTCTCGGCAAAGTAGAACTGGTTTCATGGACAAGCGGCAGCCGAACAGTCAGCACGCAACTGAAGGCACCAACCGCTGCTGACATGGCAAATATCCTGAAGCAGAGTGCAGTTCAACTCCTATCCTACACAGAAACTTTGCACAGCTGCGCTAGATGAAGATCTGGTCCAAGCAGCGCCAGGAAGAAGATTATCGCTGGATGTATACGGATGAACCTGCAACACATGACTCGCTTGGCCTGGCTCGTGATCTGTAGTGCTGGCGAAAACTGCAATGAAGGCACGACCGGGTCAGAAATGATGCGCTGTGGTCGAAATGGTAATACGTCTGGTGCAAGAAAATTGAGCAGCATTCAACATGCGGCCCATGCTTCTGCCAAATCACTGGTAAGCCAACGGAAGTTCACCGGAGATGATTGTTAGTATCCAGGCCATAGCGGCTGATATAGACTCCTCAGTTACTGGGATGCTTTCTGCACATTAGGCGTTCCTCAGTGCGTTCCTGCGCTGGCTCCGAATTCGGATTCCTGGACTTGGACTTGCAATGTGACTTTCTGCAGCCGAGGCATCCATTCCCAGCAGCATGTGGCCCGGCTCAAGTCCGGTTGTCTGATAGATGTGATCCTGCAAGGCCGCAAGAATCCCAAGAATAAGTCAAGAACATGTACTTCGCACATGGCTTTCGACCTACTCAAGCCACATCTTGCCAAACCGTGCCCTGCTTGACAGGCGCTTCTTCCGGCCATTGGCATCCGTTTAAGCATGCTTAAGCGTGTGGTCCTGAAAGTTGCTTGTGAAGGAGTCCACGCTGAGATAGCCAACCATCATAAGAATCCCAACTAATGACAACTTCCTTTCCACCTCTTCTGCTTCGTGGATCTGGAAGTCCCAGACAAAGAAAGCCACGAAGCCTCAGTCAGGAAGGCTCATGTACGAGCACTGTAAGGCAAAATGCTGTGGTATTTTCACTATTCACCCAGACCACTTCAGACCCTGGACCATCCCGTTTGCTATCCTGCAACGGCAAGCGAATTGGTTCTGCCAAGGGGTTTGGGGCACAGCCGACTAGTCTGTGTTTGGGGGCGGGGGGGGGCGCACCCACCATTCCATACCCCGACAAATTGAGATGCTCTGAGCATGCGCTCCGGACCGGTCAAAGAACGGCACTCGTCTTTTCTACATCACGGCGCACGAAGGTTGCTGCTCTAGTTCGTTAACTTGACGGGTGAGCTCATCGAGAGAGTCTGCCAGGGCAGCCTCTTCGGAAACACGCTCATAGAAAAGCAAGGTGGGAAGGTATTGGCCAGACATCATCACTTTAGCAACCGCGTTCCAGTCAGCTTTTTCACGCACACTCGTGTCGTCGAAAAAGATCCAACGTTTCCGAGCAGGACACCAGAAAAGCGCAACGTAGTGCATGCCAAAATAGCAAATCATCCCGTGAAAGCCGTACAACTCTTCTTGGGCAGGTTTGGCAGAGGCCGCACTAGGTTGATCTGTTTGAAGGTGGGTCTGAAATATCTGGTCCATCCGCAGCTGCGGCTGGATCATGGCCAGCACCAACCACAATGCCTCCCTCCCGGGTGTGGACGTCGGCCAGATCAAGGAAAGAATAAACGTTTTTGGCTGTTTCGTGAGCCAGCGCTCTGTAACCAATGTCTTGCGCGAGTTGCACTCTGAGCACTTTCCATCTGCATCCCTCTGGCAAAGCCTTCGCAGAACCTCCTGCAACGTGGCGGGGTGCTGCCCGGCCAACTTCGATGTCAGCTGCAGCACCATGTCCTGAAAAAGGCTTAGCGGATCGGTGGCAACCTGCTTGTCTGCGGGAGCCCGATACTGACAGTCGATCAATTCCGTGACATATGCTCTGTACAAGTATGCACCTGAAACTGAGGGCTCACCTGTCGCCCCGCAGAAAGTACAACGGGTGACATCAATATATTCAATGCCGAAGACCTCATGACCGAGACACATGGGATGACAGCCAAAGTCACTTGCTTGCTCGACAAAGTCAGCCTGCGACTGAAATGGGCTAAGATGGCTAAGGCCGGACGGACCCTGCGAAACGTTGCATGCGTGGAGAATGCCGAGAATTGTTTCTATGGTCTCAGTAGCGTCTTCCATATCACCAATCTTAAATCTCCCCTGGGCATCGTAGACGCTGGAGAGGGCACTCCGCAAACAGTCCGGAGGAAGCGTGTCCGCGTCTGAAAACTCAAACTCTTGAAAGACGGTCTTTAACGCGCAGTAGCAACACGAGTACTTGGCGCCTTCGGTGTCTCCATCCACCGTGGCTCCTGCATGGTCGTGCTCAGGAGCTTCGAGGACGCGTCTTCTGAAGGAGCGCAGGTTCCAAAATGCCTGAATGACTACGTTCAAGAAGCCTTAGGTCGGACAAGGCTTGGGAACACAAAATGACGCAATACAAGCCGTTTTAAAGCATAGTGACAGCCTCTATCTTCTCCGCCAACCCACACTGCACTGCAAGTGCACATAGTATGAGTGCTACAACAGCCTGTAGGCTCGATGGAATGTAAGGGGAGTCTCACCTGGAAAGAACTGCACATAGGGCACAGCGAAAATCGAACTTAACAGCGACTAAAGTCGTATTCAGAAGAAGGGTCCCCAAGTTCGTATAACACGGTCTGGTTGCAATGGTTTGCGCCACTGTCGTTCTCCAATCCACGCGCTCGCAGTGGAAGGTGCTCAGCTTGTGCGGCTGGGCCAGCAGCAGGCAACGTGGGTTGCTCCATGGCAGTTCTGGCCGCTGGAAGACATGCCGGGCACAGCACGCAGCTCGGCAGATGGTGCGGGTTCGGGAGAATACAGGACCCAACGAGTTATAACCGGAATATGTGGGAATGAAGATGTCCTTTGAGCAGGCATGCGGAGTCTTGCACAAACAGCTCTAATCTGATTGACTCGCAATTCTTCGGAAACCTCCAACTTGAGTCAGACCAGCGTGCTACAAGGTTGCCGCAAACGTCGTCCGGTTTCTGGTTTCTTGTGGTCCGAGGAGCAAGTAAGCAGAAAGCCTTCAACGTAGTCCAGCCGGCTGTAAACACGGTTCTGCAAGCAACTCCTTAGAATCACTTGCCTGCTTTCGCCCACAATGTGCAAAGGCCTCTGCATTGTGCTGCGCAGAAACTCTACGCTTCTGGTGGACGCCTTTGGAAAGCTTCACTGAATGCAACACTCACACAGGACACGCTCTCTTACTTCTAACCCGTGGCCTGAGACCAGCTTGGATGGTAGCACCTCTATTTCTGGTCAAAGCATCCCCACAAGCATGACCGGAAGCACCTTGAGAGTCTTCATCCTCGGCAAGCAAGAAAGCATTTGGGTACAGACAAGCTACTACATGAGTGCATGTGCTGTCGGAAGCAGCACTGCCCGCTGCATCACGCAGCGCTAAACCACCCCTGCGAAATGCCGCAAGCATCAAGGATTGCGCCGGGAAGAACCTCGCAAAAAAGCTGCGGATGGCTGCGCAATGCATCATCGACGTGAGACTGCATGGAGGCCGTCAAGTAGCATAAGGTACAGTGCAGCATGTTGGAGGGATGTAGCCACCAAGTCTGTAGTAGCCGGGAGGAGAGTGCGCACCATCCCTGCCCAACCACAGCAAACACGAGCAGATCAAGCACGCCGGCTGTGATGCGCTGTGCCTGGCACAACGACTTGGTGACCAGCACTGGCCAGCGCAGCCAGGGACAGCAAGGCACCCGCAGTGTGGCTTAGAGCGACCTCTGGCACTTCTCAAACTTCTCTCAAACTTCACGACATTATGCTCTCGAAACTCTAAACTTCTCAATTCTCCAAGCACAACAACGGGACTCGAATTTAGAGAAACTCTCGAAGAGAAGATGAGAAAAGTATGTGATCGAGGTGACCTGAAATTGGAATTAATTGTGGACGAACCGCACTGAAAGATGTCCCAAGTGTGGCGCCAACTCCTGTTGCAGGCAGTTTGTTTAGTGCCTCGCTCTAAGGCCGCCACGAGTGTCAAAGGAAAGTTGAACAAGTCGCTTTCGAAGGTATGACTGGAAAGAAACTCCTGCAGATTGCCCAGCACAGCAGCGGTTGCAAGAAAGATCTGTACTGGAACACGTACATCAATCCATGCAAACACCTGTTCTCTCGTCGACCGCACACCCAGGTAGTAAGCGAGTACAAGTGTCACATGACCGAAGGACCAAACAGAAGCTGCGTGAATCAACATGGGCCTCGGGAGGCACTGATGGTGACCCTAGTCAAGCCTAGTCTTGCAGTGACGACTTCCTGAGCCGCTTCCCACTCTCCTCAATTATCAATAAAAATCATGCTCGTTCCTTCGTCCCTCCAACAGACTATTGACAGCGCACGGCGATCACCGCAGTTCTTCTTCTCCCCTCCGGGCATACGGTCAGAGGTTCGGAGTGTGTGATGAAAGGTGTGTGGTGAAGGCATTTTGGTGGGGGTTGGGAGGGTTGGGTGGGTTTTAGAGGGGGTGTGGGGTGTGGTGGGGTTGTGGTGGGTGTGGTTTAAGCCTGGTCGATGCTGTGTTCCGTAACATATTATGCCACGCCGTGTTGTTTGTTGCTGCGCACAGGATGAGGTGGTGTGGGCACATGCGTGTGCTAGAACAGTCGCGCGTCTGCGCCGAGGGGAAGCGCGACTCAAACTAAATGGGGCGGTGGCAATGGTGGAAACACATGAACTTCGCCCGCGCTTTGAGACCGTGCGTCTCTTCCTTCCTGCACCCAGAACCGTTCATAACCCCCCACAGGCGAATCGCCCCAAAGGGCGCAGGTGTCACAGGTCTCGGTGTGCAAGCAAAGTACACTGGCACATCTGCCTGTTCACAGTACAATGTGAAGCCATGCGCATGCGTGGACGTGAAAGATGCCTGTAGCAATGAGTATACCAAGTAGACGACGTGGATGGCCATCCTTGGTGCTGAGGTGAACAACTTCCCTGCACCGCTTGCCGCTTGGAACTCCACGTGTACGTTGGCAAGTCATGGCCAATGCATCAAATGCATCAGAACCCGAAGCGACCCGAGCAAATCCAATCTGCTAAATCGAGCTGCGAGCACACAAAGAGTGGCGAGAAACGAGACAGCCTGCGCGTGCTGGCGCTCTAGAGTTTCATTGCCTGCCCCTACGCCCTGCAGCAATTCCGCCTTGCCGAGAAATTCCTTGGATGGGATGAAGACAACTTGATGAGTGACATGACTGCGACGTCTGCTACTGCCATGGAAATGCCTATCAACAACAACTTGGCGGCTGCCGAGATGCAGCAGTGGCATGCGCTGGAAAACCTGGGGAGCAACACAAAGACTCAAAGATGACGGGGCACGTATGGCACGTGCTGTGGCTGAGAATCACCGAACAGATCATCGTCCAGAATGGAGTGATGTGTGTGTCTAGCAGACCTAAAGTAACTCTCAAGACGCAGCATGTACTGTCGGCACTGTGAACCCACGTTGAGTCTAGCCGCTTCTGGCTCGACTGAAACTAGCTCTTGGTGTTCTTTTGCCAGTGGTCGAACTGCTCGAACGATTAAGGTGCCGAATATGATGGACATCGCCACGATACTGAGCCCTGGCGGCAAAGAGCACGAACCGCCAACTATCCATCTAAGCATGACAAAGAACTCGGGAGTTTCAATGTCTCTCTGAAAGTGGCGCCCAGTGACCCAGCTAGGAAAATGAACCACCCTGAACAAAACCGAGGTGGCACGTTGCCACCTTGCCACAGCCTGGAAAAGACAGACAAGCAGGCAAGCACAGGCAGGCCCACCTGACATGTCATGCTGGAAGAGCACGCAGGATACCAGCACAGACAGCACTTGCCGTGTGGAGGCAATAAGGGTGTAGACAACAGGGCCAAAGTTCCTAAGCAGCACCAGAAGACGCGAACTTCGTGATTCGAACATGCTCGAACCATGCCGATGCGTTTTGGAACAGATTCCACCAAAAGCTTCAAATCTTGGAAGCTGAGCCACTTGATGGTGTAGGATATCATGTACTGTGTCACTGTCGATGCCAGCGAAAGAACCAGCATGTGCATCAATGCCTCTGTCACTCAGCAAGTGACCATTGCTATCTAAGAGCAAAGACGGGCAAAGGTCGCATCTGTGGTCGGGAGATCACATTAGACACTTGCTCCACACATAAACTTCTTCGGCTGGGCGGCGTCTGGACACTGCCAAATGAAGCTGAAGGACGAAAACCTTAGAGCGCGGAGTTGTCCGGCTGCGTGTGTTGTCGAAAGGCAACCTGGAGGAACTGCCAAAACAATTCAAGACCCTCACTCCGAAACTGCGAAGCTGCAAATCCGCGAAGCGGCGTAGCTGAAACTCAGACAAGCCGCATTGCCCCGGTTAGGAGCAGCCTGCGTTGCATGCTATGCAACCGTTCATACAACAGACGATGCAACTGTGAACATTGGGAACAGGGCGCCCACGCTTGCAGCTGAGCATATCCATGAAATGCGGCTGCCAGGCAACTCGGCAGTTATGATCGCCAGGGCGAAGGAAGACATCGCCAAAGTGGCCTGAACGACATCTATCTCCTCCAAGACAGATGTCATCGGACCATGTTATAGTACATCATATCTCATGGCCCTACCAGTATTAGCTGGCAGGCCAACTCTCTCCATGACACAGCTTAGCGCTCATCAATGCTCAAACTACCACGCCATGTGCGCCGTCGGGTAACTCAGTTCCTGTGTAAACGGAATGCTTGGGCTTTGGGCTCCTGGAGTCCTAAGGCATTTTGGGGCTCATGGTGCGTTCCTGGCCCTTCCAACTGAAACTGTATCAAATCGCATATTGCATATGCATGAGCCGTCTGTGTCATCCCTCTTCAGGTTTGACTCAGGGACATAGGGCTTCGAACAGCAGCCATGTGGGGACCACAAGATTTAGGATCGACCTTTGATGCTTACCAACAACTCGGTACACCTCTGGTGAGAGGTCCCTTGCACAGGACTATTGATGCATTTCATGAGTACGGGCTTGTCCGGTTTCGAGAGGAACGCAGCACACGGTCTGAGCCACGATGGGGTGGCAAACAATACAAACTTCGCCATAAACAGATGTAATTTGAAATAGTTTGACTGGTTCAGCTGAACACCTTAACAATTCCTTTTTCCAACTTTCAAATCCAATCATTCTTTCATGAACAGTAAGTGAGATAAACTTGTTTTCACTTGTAAATGAAGACTTTTGCTAGATAATGTGAAGACCCATATATCATCTCTATGTTTTTTCCGGCAAAAGACAAGACAAGATAAGGGTTTTTGGTATGGCTATTTTGCGGTTTTCCATATACTAGTTCATATAAAACCTGCTGCTGCTAGTAATGGTTACAATACATGTCGGCTTTCTGTTACCATTCGAGGTGGAGGCTATCGGCTACCAGCTTTTTCTTCCCTTGCTCTTCAACTCTTCAACCCAATCTCCCGGTGCTTGATGAAGAGAACATCTTGTAGATGAGGAGTCAGCGAGTCACACATGATATAGATGGCCAGAAGAATCAGTCCTGGCAAAGAAGCCAAAGATGCACCCCTCCCCGGCGATTCTTCATAGATGACTTGGGTCTACAATGTCTGCAGAATATACATTCAATGATGATACAGACAGGCTCTGTTTACGGCAAGCCTGTTGCCGTGGTGGAGCTGTCGAAGCCAGTCTCGCTTTCGTGGCCGAAGACGAAGCAAGATGCTGTCAACACAATGCACTCCGCATAGTCAGTGAGGGAATGAAGCTTCCCTCGTAGGGAGCTGATTATGACCTCATGAGTCCCGCAACGCTCACGATCAGACATACAGTCTGCACACATATAGACTGGCAGACAAGGGACCACCGGCAGAATCTTGGTGCTTTTTGCTGTCGTCTGCAATCCAAACGAAATGTAAGAAAGACCTCGGGTCATGACCCTTTGAGGCATACTGAGAAGCACGTCCCGGAGATAAAAAATAGGCCTCGGGCTGGAGTATTGACACCACGATGCGAGGCTGTTGCTCACCTGAGCGCCCAGGTTTGTCACACTCGGCAATGGCTGTTGAACGACTTTTTTGAGCAGTGTAAGGGAGAGCCCACATTCGGTTCGGATGTGTCGAGCAGCTGCAGGCGGAAGCGAGTCAAGGCAGCCGTCAAAGAAGAGCTGCTTCTGTCGGAGTTTCAAGATGAGAGCTGAGAATGCTGTGGCCGATGCTCCTTAGAATGAAAGTCACAGAAATGCATGCTGCACGTGCTGCGGTCGTCAAAACAATGTGACTGATTTGGCCATATCCGCAGCTGAAGGGGTGTAATTTGTTCTGCCTGCATGCCAGGCTTCGATTACAAAGCACCAGGAACAATGAGCTCGGGATCTGCAGACTTTCGCCATTTCTTCCAACGTACACGTTGGTCATGATGAACTCCTCTATCCGACTCTAACCACCAAGAAAAAGCTTGGCCATGACTTGAGAGCCTAAGACAATTGCAAGTGCTGGACATGACTAGGACATTGCCCCTGGCCCCGGGCCTTGCAACAACAGGATGATCTCGGCCCATCTCACTCCAAGGATACTTACGCAGGTCATCGTCAGACTCTACCTGGCTCTAGCTGACTCTACCTGACGCTACCTCGCAGCCGCAAGCAGTCCTGCGCGATCCCCCAAAGAATCATGCATGTGTTTAGTGCCTCGGTTGGCACCATGTAAGCTCGATCAGGACGGTCGTCAAATTGAACCAGTATCCACAAAAAAGCGGGGCAAGTAACAGCAGCTATCCCAAACTGATGACTTGTCCAACATCAAGGCCGTGAGGCACCGAGGCACTAGGAAACAGAAGAAAAGCTTCTGCAAGTTCGCCGGCGAATAAAACATCTCCATCTCGGCCGCATCTGCCTCTGCAAAGCTGAGGTTCAGTCAGGTAGATATCTATCTTGTGAAAAGGAGTGAGCTGGGATCTGAGGGGGGCAGGCACCCAAAAACGCTTGGCCCTTCATGGACAATCTGATACTGCATGCGGCGTCCAGCCTCAGCACGTGCCGTGGGACCGGGAGGTGTTGAACCTGGGCCGAAATGATGGGCCGAATGTCTAACTGAAGGGCCAACCTCTGTGCTGGTAGGCGCCAGTATCCTAAGACGTCTGAGTATGCGATCGCACAATGGGTTGATCCACCGAGGAGGGCAAGGAGGGTGGGAGTTATGTTGAGGGCACAACCTTCAACCCAAGGAACGCAATCCCGAAACAACCCTCAACTAAAGCATAACTGCAAGCCCAAAAACAAGCCCACAACGTCCCGAGCCCTGAGTCACGACGAGGATGCAGACATATGCAGACCATCATCAACCCCAAAACCTGGGTGCCCGAAAGGCCGTCAACCCTCAACTAAAGCAGGAGCGCAAGCCCACGAAGAAGCAGACCACCCAACAAACCCCGAAGAACCCAAATCTAGACTGGGATGCAAACTACATCAAGCCCAAACAACTTGTGTTTCTGTAGCCGTAATGGCACTAGTGCCCCAGCTCAATGTAGCAGAGGGTTCTTTGTCTCGTGAGAGTGGCACTGAGCTGCCGCCATGTTTGAGAGTCGTTCAGAGGTGCTCCACTTGCGAGCTTCAAGATGCTTGGATGCCTTCCGTTCGAACTGCGATCCCTGCAGTTCTCAAATATCAGGAATTTGCGAGGGACTCTGACTCTCTGAGAATAATCTGGGGTTGGGCACTGCAGGGATTTTCCGGTCATACCCTGGGGTGGGTAATGGCGAGGAGTTGATCGGGCGAGGAGAAAGAGTTTAGTTGAAAATCTAACAGCGCCACACCGAGAGTGGGGAACAAGCATGCGTGAGGAGGCTCAAGTTTGCTGTACATTCAATCCTTGCTGGCCATCACAGGGTATTCGACGCCTACGAAAGATCCCCTGATCAGAAACAGGACTTACACCTTTCCCAGCATGCCATGCACTCAAGAAAGATTGGGACACAAAGCAATGCGCCACCACCAACTGCAAAGTCTTTTCCCCAAACTCGCAAAAACACTGCGCAATGAAACAAAGCTGGCTATGACGGTGCATGTTCCTGCTGCCGCCCTGTCTCCGGGCACTTGGTGGCTACGGCGCGGTCTTGATTTAGCCCATATTCCGCGACAGTTGGAAACACAACATGATCCCCCGCCAATCTGCAAATTCTCCCCCACCGGAGCAAAATAAGTCCGGCACGGTCCATGACTAGGTGGCGACGACAGTTACTAACCGGGACCTATATACTATTTGGAACTGGAGAAGCTTCAGTACAGGACGCGTCCAGCTCTCTGCGGTCTTTGCCGAGGAGCTGCTCTTCTCCTCCTTCGAAGGCTCCTTGGACGCCTGGCTTTCCACCGCAAACTCGGCAGTGGTTGCTTCTATTGGAGGGCGGTCTTGAACCTCCATCCTGCAACGCATACATCGCATCGTGGACGTTGACTCTGAATGAGTCGCATGAAGTCCCACTTTATTATTGGTATGTAGAGTGCGCTTGGGAGGTATAAGGATTCAGTCAATACAGTCTGCGTCTTAAATTGGCATGACTTTTCGGAGTTAGTTCTTCAACATGCACGGTGTTAAGCGGATGAAAGAACGCAGGAAAGACCCCGATCAATACCTGAACGACTCCTTCACTTTCAGATTTCAACTCGCGAAAGGCTGCAACAACAGTCCTGATCACCACGACCGTCACTAGAATGATTAGGCCAGCCATCATCCACCAGAACGGTTGCTCTGACAGCATTGGTACATGCTCGACTCGGTGCCTCCTGACCTGCAGTGATGAGGTGACGCAAGGGACAAGGGGCCCGACACGTGAACCCTGAGAACATGTCACCCAATCTGCAATATCCAAGTCCACCGCGACATTTCTGGGCTTTTGCAACAGTGGCCTTCGCTCTCCAACAAGGAGTTCACTCCAAGATCATGCAAGCGCCAGGCAAACATGACGACAGGTGTCCTTTTCTCAAGCTACTTACGCTGCCACCCCAACTTTGCGACTTCGTGCTATGGGGCATCTAAATCTTAGCGCCGGAGGTTCAAGACCGCTCAGCTCGCACGCACATCTCACGTCAAACACACACGTTTCGGAAAAAAACCTTCGAGATGGATGCCAACCACCTCAGTTCAAAGTCCCAACTCTCAGCCTGTACTGCCGCTCTGCCCTGCTCGACTTGGACTCTCTTCTCCAAAAAGTCTTTGTCAGACGGTTTGACTTGTCATGAGTTTGTTTCTCCCTTGCTGGGGTTCAGTTTAAGAGTGTTGACCAAAAAATGCCTCATTTTCAACAGCCACTACCCACCAAACACTGAAGCATAAGGGGGAGAGTCTGGGGATGTGCTATGCGCACAGTCGCTGACATAAGCCTGCGGATCTTTGATCGTTTTTGCTTTGGCGTCTTGTCGCACGACGACGCTGCATTCATCCGGATCTTTTCCCCGTGACATGGTGTGACCACTCAGCCCTACAATGAACGGAAAAAAAGAGAATGTTGTATTTGTAGATCCTACATGCGCCGCAAGAAGCCATAAGTAGGGAATGCTGTATACTACGCAAAGACGCCACAGCGTGCGATGAGTAGGAAATGATGCTGAGCACAGCATTTGTCGGCCAAAGTACATGCACAACGACCCCCTCCGCCCTGCTACAGCACGCTTATCAGCAAGACAACATAGTCAGCTTGGGGCCAGGCTCTTGCCTGTTCGTAGCATTCGTTGTAGAATTTGATCTTATCCTGAAACAGCGGCCCCAACCGAGTCATAGCGTGAAGCTGTGAAGCAGCCGAGCGAGCATGTGACATCATGTGACGCGTCTTTTTGCTGTCTGCTAGATTTCCCTTCTTCCATGCTCGCTAATCATTGCTACCAAGGGCTCCGTTCGTGGGTCACCTGCAACAGTGTCATGCAGCTGCCAGTGTCATCACCTGCACATGCCAATCACAGTCAAGTTTCGCCAAAGGTGCTGGCATCATGCTGCTGCAGTCTCATGATTTTTAGGGCTAAAACTGCACATTTTTGCTGTCCACCTGCTTCCTGAGCTGCGCAGCACGCGCATGCTACCAAAGAAATCACGGCGGGTAAGACCTCGATCAAATCATGAACTGAGTCACACGAACTTTCAATGCAAAGGCTGGCTCCAACCAACGGACCAGAGGGCTGCAGCTTCATAGGAGCGTGAGCTATATATATGCTTTTGCATGCGTTGTGCTCATGCGGTAAGCACCGGTATTGTCATTGACAAGACAACCCCGAAGGCACAGAGCTAAACTGCTGCCTCAGTTCTCTAGTTCGGCAAGTGCGTGGCGATAGCAAGTTAGACCAGTCCAGACTAAGTGAAACCGCTGCAAACCTGCTCCGGCAAGCTACAACAACATCTCAACAGCTTGGCAGACTTCAGCAACTGCGTTTCACTGACCAAGCCAGAAGCGGGGACATACTGCAGGTGTGCGACCTTCATGGTTCGCTCTCAGATGTCTGGTCTTTCGGTTCCTCGGCATTGCGCATGATCAAGTCAAGAAAAGCCGTTGCCTCGTGGATTGACAGCACAGTGTTTGCTGACCATGCAACTTGGAAGTGCATAATGCCAATTCTTGCTGCCTGGAGTCCGAAGCACATCATGGAGAGTACGGCACAAATCGTGGTTTAATCTGAGCCGAACTTGAAAGGCGAGAGATCCAGTGCTGAAGCTCAAAGCAAGGACAACCAGCTGGAAGTCAGCTGGAGGGGCATCTTGTCAAGGAGAGTCTAAGCCTACATTTGCAAGCATTGCGAGTGTACAAGGGTCTTTCTCCGAAGCCACTGTTGAGTCTGCTTACCTCCTCGTGCAACTCGTGTTGCTTGTCTTGTCTTAACCTCTTGGCCGCGTGTCAGAAAATGCCCTCGAAATGATCTCCTGGTACGGAACCCATGTGGGGTTCGTGACACCGCGACCACGAGACCGCGAGCTCGAAGGTGGTTCCAGTGATGACCCCCTTACCTTTTTGATTCACAACGTGCATGTCCATGGAAACTGCATGCTGTGCTCTCTTCCCCAGTTGGCTGAGGCACTGTGATTGCTGCACCAACGACCTGACCACGAACCAGAAGGCGACAAAGAAAAGGGCTACATTCCTTAGTCGTGCCCAGTTCACACACGGTGAAACCATTCCGAGAGCGTGGTCATCTGGTCATGCAGGTAAGTCGCAATATGGTCACCAAAACATACTCCTCACTGCACATACATGGGCAAAGAAACTAGGTTTCAACACTCAGTACAGAATTGATCTGCTGCCAGGCAGCATTGCATGCATCTCCCACTCTGGAGACACCATCTTCGGTGATGTTCACCTGGACAGGGGGGTATATTTTACTTGGCGTGTGCCGAAACCTAGCAGACCTTCAGCTGACAGATGTTTCACCTCCTTTTTGCCCACGACATCTATGATGGGACATTGCCTGACAAACCTCTAAAAAGGAGATGCTTTCAACTTGGTTGCCTCTGGCACTTCGCAAGGACACCAGGACCAAAGGACGAGCCAAAGAGGGCACGGCTGAATGGTGTTTTCAAATATGGGTCTAAGCTGCCGGCTACAACATGACTCCATCTTCATTCCGAAAGACATGGCTTCAGAAAGCTGGCACCTGGAAGTAAGCCTTTTCGATTTTGAGAGGCAACTATTGCTCTCGTCGAGGACATCGGCAGGTCTTCTCAAAACATTCAATTCAAACGTTTGAACTTCATTACGTTGTACATGTTGGCCGCGGCGCAGCAACGTTCCTTTTACATTGCTAACTGATTAGCATGCCATTTCGGCTTCCTGAAACTTCCTTTGTGGCTTGCTTGCGTTGGGGCAACCCTTACAAAAAAAAACAAAAACTGTGAGCACTTTAGAGTCGGAAACTGTTCGGCGGCAGCCATGGAACTGCCGAACGCAATTGAAAATACACACGACACAGCCACTGGCAGAAAGGACGTCGTGTATGTATGCGTAATACACCCTGATTCGAAGTTAAACGATTTGGTGGCTCGACTTTTGCACCTTGAGCATGGGGGGCGGGAAGCAACGAAGGAGCCCTGCTCCCACAAAGTGGTTCTTCAACGTTTCGAAATGTACCTGCTTCACGGGTCGGCCTGGGTATGGCGGTATGCAGCTGGAAACATGATTGCAATAGGTTTCCCGGGTATGAGGACAGTCCTGTCGCGTGTTGCATCGTCCCATGTGGGACTGCATGCCAAGAAATGTGCAAGTGTACTGTCCAGTCCTTGTGTCTTGGCCACGCCATATGCAGCCATATGGTAGGGCAAGAGGGCTTGGTTTGGTGAGATGTTTGCAAGTGACAGCTCAGGAAATTCCACTGGGATCGAGAACAGCTACACTGTTTCACATCAGCTTGCAATGCAGAGGCCTCCCAATTCAGCCAGCATGCCGGGCTGTCCTCACTGAAGGCCCATGTGCCTCGCCAGGTAGGGAACTGATTGTTTCAGGCTAGTTTTGTAAAGCCCGGGCTGGCGCTCAAGGGTGATGGCACGTTCATGCAGCTTTGACGCCTAGCTACTTCCGTAACTGCAGCACACAACTGAAAGAACAAGTGCCTTGCACAACAACGAACGCCAGTAGAGCTCGCAGTGGAAGGCGAAAGCCGGCCCATCTCATTCTCAAGCGTGACTCATCTGCGTACTCGTCTGATGTTGTCTCAACATGAAACTATGCCTGTACCAATGTTGATGGCTGCTACGCAGACGCATGGAGATCGTTTAAGTGGCATCCTAGGTTCCTTGTTCCGCTTTGTTGCGGTATGCGTGGACTTTCAAAGTTTGTTGTTTACTTCGGGTCACGTAAGATAGCGGCAGCTGCTAAGACTGTGCAAGCATACACGCAGCATGCACCGCGCTGACCTACACGGAGCTTACGCGCAGCGGCCCTCAGCTTGAGGCTTAGGCACCCTTTCTGAAGGTTTTGCTCTTGGAAAGCTATGGAAGGCCGATAGCTCTCTGCTCGTTTAGACAGACATGCTTTATGTGCTCAATGCCCAATGCTCTGAGTCCTTCGAGCCAAGTCAATCGTCTCATGTGTGGCAGCTCAGGTTACGAAATCGGATTTCATGGGCAAAGCGGCTTTCCATTCGTTGTTTGGCACAGCGCAGGACAAGCAGACATGAGCAAACCTTTTCTGCACTTTTCTGCACTCCTTCCGCTATGGGCTTCCGCGTTTCCTCCATCAGCGCAGCGGCCTCAAGTTCGACACAAAGGGGTTTTACAAGCCACCCTGCAACAGACTCGATGACAAGTCAAAAAACATGAGAGTACCGGAAAGTCAGCCATGACTTCCTCGAGGTTCTCTCTCTCGACTAAACTACCCCAACACTGCTGGGAACACATGGGATTCTGATGGATTCTGGATCGCGGAAGCTGCTTGCGACGAAGGCTCGAACATGGGGGGGCCTGCGACTTCACTGACTTGATGACCAGCCCAGCTTCAGCACGGGGGAAAGTCTATGACTTGAAAACCTGCGCAACATCGAATGCCATCGGTTCAGAACTTGTAACTGCCAATCAAGAACTTGCGTAATCGTTGCCGAACATGTAGCCAGAAATGAATGTCAACGCTCTTATTCCTACACACTTGACATGTTCGCAACACCTTGTTAGTCAGCTTTTCCCGATACTCATCTAAACGCAAATCGGCTGCCCGTGCTCTCCTTACCTCGCAAGGTTGACAAGCGCAGCATGTAACCCACCTGGACGCCCCTCTGGACAATGGTGATCCGGTCGCCCAGGGACAAAGCAATGCCCTGTGTTCTGGAGCGAATGCGGCAGCTGCCTTTCGCAAGACTCTGTGGCTTTCACAGAGTGTCAACTCACGGACAGCAACGACGGACTGTTAGCTGTTCGGCCTGTTAGCTTGCCATCTGGCAGCTTCTCGATGGAGATGTTTGCTAGCGCATCCTGCACTGCGCTCGCCACAAAGGTGCATGATTTCCGTCTGCAATTCTACAATGGGGTCATGGTACAGCTGAGGGAACTGACTCTTTATTGATCGTCATTGCGCTTCCACCAGCTCAAAGCCTCGCCAAAGATGGACTTGGCATAGAGATTCACTGCGACGAAGCTAGAGGTGTCAATCAGCTTCTTGATCCTCGGCCAGGCCACTGTTTGACTTGCCACTGTTTGCCTACGCTTACAACTCAGCAACTCAGCAACTTCGGCCTGGATCGCCCATGCTGCAACTGAAGCCAAGCGGCCCCACAGCATCTCGCAACATCTCTTGCACATCGTCGGCACTAAGCTTGCCTTTCTTCTGGGTCTTATTGTCACCTGCGCAGGAAAGCTCAACACGCAGCAAGCTGAGCAACTTGCCTCAGACTAGAGATGCAGACTGTTTTGAAAACTTGAACGAAGTCGGCACAAGCAGTTGTGATGCCATCCTGGGCTCCTGGCTCTTCTTGTAGCTTCTGCCAACGATCGACATGTTGGTATTTCTCATGATGTGCTCCAGGAATGTGCCAACCTCTGAAGCAGAAGTTGAGCTGAGTATGCCACAGACAAAACAGCACGTGGCACTTGGTTCCAATCTATTGAGAAAAGCTCAGCCTCGGTTATGGAGGTGTTGATGTTGACTTTGTTCTCCCACTCGAATTCCGACCACATGGTCCGGAAGGCCAGCTCGTTTATCCAAGAGCCTAGCATTCTTCAACAGGGATGCAAGAAGGGCATGAAGGGCAAGAAGAGCATGAAATCTACGCATGTCGACTTCGCAGATTGTTAAACTTTTCATCTACAACAATGGCCAAAGCAAGTTGCGAGGGTTTGCGGCAGCCGGGGCGCGTTCGATGTAATCTAGGATATCCACGTGCAGCTCGTTCAGTACCTCGGTCCCCAACCTTCAATGCCTACTGAAAGGAAACTCAAACCGTTGGTAGTCAACTGCCCAGCGTTGGGATTCCAAAAGCCCAACATGGTCCTGGAGAATCTGAGTCCAGTGCAGAGCATTCCTTGTCTGCCTGAATCGCGCCATGGCCACCACTTCCATGCAAAACACTCAAGCTAGTCCAACGAGCACCGAGGTACTGCACTCTTCTTCTCAAAAGTGACGTAGCCAAAGATGATGCCGGTCTCAGTGGACGCAACCTGAAGCAATGTAAGCAATGTGGCTCTTTTGGGCAGCAAGCTCTTTTGTCTCTGCCATCTCTTGAGTGCATCACAACCGTGTTGCGTTTGCTGGAACAAGAGGAACAAGAAATGTGAATCCGGACCTTGATCGAGGCATGGAGCGTCATCTGCTGACCTGAACAAGCGAGGGAACCAGAGCCTTGAAACTCCACGCAATCCAATGCAACAGTGCCAGCTTCACAAGCACGTCAGCGACGGCGAGTTGAATCACAATTTCACTCCGCTCGTCTTCCCCTGCCTGCTGCAAGGGTCACTGCAGACGGTCTGTCCACAATCTTCAAGTCTCCCTGCACGCTTGCAGATACTGGCCATCTGGGAAAAATTTGCAACTTGGCGAATGCCCATGACACCCCACAATGGTCAATATTGCTAAATACAAAGGTGACAGGCAAGGGTGGGCCTGTGTGCTCAACTCGACCAGGACGTTTTGCAGAGTCTCGCTCGTTCTGTTCACCACGAGAAGCTCCAGCATGAGGTCGAAGGAGTGCACCTGGAAGTCCGGGACTTGAACGCTCGTGGGCGCGTGGAGAGTCCATGTCACCGCAAAGCTGCGCCTGCAGGAAGGCCTCCACGTAAACAGGGTCGGCAAGTCCGGTCATCTGCTGCACCTGCCGAGGCACGAAGAAAATTAAGAAATGAAAAAGAAACTACGAGATGTGAAAGATACTCTGAAAGGAAGGATGCACCTGCTAGGGTGGCCAAAAACCCGGGAGTGCCCGCATTATGGAATGCTGCTTTTCACTCAGACAGGTTTAAAATGTTGAGACTGTTGAGAGTGCTGCATCATGCTGCATCCCAATCTCTATCGAAAGTTGCCTACGATGCGTTCGTAGGCTCGTAGGCCCTATCTTCAAGTTCTGGAACACCTGCCATTGAAACTTATACATGACACGTTGTCCCCGAATGCTAGTCTTTGCTAATCCTGATTCCAGCACGTTCCAGATGTCCAGCACATGCAAATCACAAGCCTTGGCCAGGCGCTCTGCAAACAGCGCCCCGTCTGCAGCTGCCTTGCACATTGCTGGCAGCTTGCGATTGTCTCCTAATCCTGGAGAAAGAAAATCAAGCAGCCTGCGCCAGGAAGGCCCCCCGAGCTGCACTGAAGTCCTCATCGTCGTCCATGGCACCTTCTGAGACACGTCTTTTGTTCACATCTTTTCTGACATCTTGTGCTGGGAGACGTCTAACAATGCTCATCATGACTCCTACCACTCACATCCAGTCACTACCCCCGCTCTGGCACCTGTAGGTCCGATTCCACCCTTTCTTTCACGAAGCTGTCGGAACATGACGCACTCGTCCGGGCCAACGCTCTTCTCCTGTTTGGGTGGCTACTGGCAGCCCGGAACCGAACAATGCAATTTATTACACGTCGGTCCAGCCCTACTCTGTCACGTGTCCAATCCTAGAGGTCCAACTTGCGAAATGACGAAACGACATTGCATACGTAAGTGATTCGATGCCAGCGAGTCGAATTGAATGAGCAGACAGGAGGCAAAAGAACATAAAAGAGCCCAAGACAGCAAGGACCCTGAAAGTCGGAGCCGCGTCGCTTCTTCGCAAAACACGCTTTCGTTCACTGAGTGCATCATAGCTTTACGCCAGATCACCAAGCCAGCCGAGACAGAGATCGGCGCTCCGATTCGCATGCGATGCGTATCAAGGAGGACACAGTCGAAACCCGTGATCTGCTTAGTGGCACCTGGCCTAGCTTCTGGAAACATACCTCATTCATGTTGCAGCCTCTACTGTCGGGGACCCCCTGAATACAGCCTACGTTGCCGGGTTATTCAGGATGGTGTTTGGGGGTCTAGAGTGAGGTCCGCAATTAAGTCAAGTCGTCCGGGCATACTTGCAGAGAGAAGAAAGGCTCAACTGGGCGAAGCTTGCGACGTCATCAAGACCACTTTGCTCCAAGTGTCCTGCACCTCTTCCTCTTGTCCGAGAGCCCACTCCGAGTTTTGTGCGGCAAGTTCCAGCACCTGCCATCACCGCTGAGACGAACGTGTTCTGCTGGAGTTCTGCCAATGTTCTGCGAGCGTTCGGAGAACAGAGGTACAGCCCATCTCATCCCAAAGATGATGTTCCTACCTGCTGTTTGAGACACTGAGACACAATCTGGAAGAAACCGAGACAACGAACCCTGTGGAATTACACTGCCTTCGCCAACTGGTCACGGCCGTAGTTGGATGTCCAATCGCCTTGAACCAGCTGCGCGGCTGCACGCTGCGTGTCCGGCAGCTGCGAGTTGCCTTAGAGTCAACAGAGATTCCGCGACTTCTAGCTGATTCTAGCTTCGCTTCTCAATTTTACAGCAGGGCCCGGGCCGAGCACTGCAAACGCGCGGATGCATTGACTGAGTCGGACAGCACTGTCGCACTTCTCGCCACCTCAGCAGCAACGCCGCAGCAACGCCGCAGCGACGCCAGCGAAACTGCAGTAAACAGCGAGCAGTTAAACAAGACAAGAAGAAGTCAGAAGAATTATGATTCCACAAAAGCCTGGTGATCGAAACGAGCGCTCATCAAGACATTTCGAGTTGCTCATGTACGTGGAAGGATTTTGATGTGCAGCACGCCTCTTTCCACAACGTCAACGTCTCAATGAGCTGAGACGGGTGGACTTCATTGGACTTCCATTCCAAAACAGGTGTGCCGTTCCGCTTTATATGTTCCGAAGTCTCCAGCCTGAAAAACCATGGGAACTGGCCATCAGGATCTTGACTTCGGCTCGAGATTGCTTGCAGGAAGAAGGGCAAGCTCCAGCACATGCGAAGAGATCCCGACCATGGCTAAGTCAAATGCCACAAGCGTGCTGCTTCACAAGCTTGAAGAGATTTGCGATGACCAGGAGGACCTTGGCAGGTCGACTGGACAGCTTGCGCAAAAACTCCCCTATCCATCGAAAACTCACAGCAAGCACGATGCCAATGCAGCAGGCCAATTTCAAAAGAAACGTGGCGAGGCACCTCGTTCCGAATCCCTGTAGGTAGCTTCTTCAGCTTCATGCACAGCTTTGTCATCGACACCTGTGCCGCATGGTAAGATCTACTCTGAGACTTACATCCTTATGCTGGAGATGTCGGTCGAGCTTGGCCGATGAGATGGGCTAAGCCAAGCGTGCACTTGGAAACAGCTGAGCATGCTTGAAGCCGTGTGCTCATAGCATCTGCTCGCCGATCAACGTAAAGACTGACATTTCTGGCCGAGCGGCACCGACCATGGCCGAGAGGAGAAAATCGCCACCTGCGCAGGGATAAGAATGTCTTTAGTCATGTTGGGGAATGTAGTAACAATGTGGTACTCTTCGTTGAATCGGGGCCCACACCAAGCAGCAAAGTTCGCAAGGCCGTCTTCTTTGACTCAGTCTTTGCCTTCTCTTCGGGAACCTCCTCCTCCTCTCCTCGCATAGCATGCCAACTGCATTACAGAAACTTGCTTCGACTCAAATGAAGTCAGGTTAAGCGTACCTGGTGAATGAAACAGAGCGTTCCATGTCAACAGAGTGAGCTGTTTGCCGGTCTGACACGCTCGTACCCTGTACCCAAAAACTCCCGCCCGAAATTGCTTGGTGTTTGAAGCTCGAAGTCCCAAGGCTTCGACATAGCCTCTAGTCATATCTAGTCATATCTAGTCCAGATTCCTTCAGAACCTGGCAGGCAGCCCGTTGCATCGGGCCCGATCTCCTCCCCCCCCCCCCCCCCCTGTCACGGATGCCCAGCCGGAAGATATGCCAGGACAAGCCTCGAGCTTGCAATTGTGTAACAACAGCATGGCGCTCTCCTTCGCCTCCTTCGTAGACGTTCTGAGTGCCTTGGAGACGCTGTGTTAGCACATCGGGATTTTGACGAGAGCTTCTCAGGCTGCGGCCATATGTACCATCTGCCAACACCACAGTTTTGGTGGTGATCTTTGGTGCCTTCTTCTCCTGAGAGTTCTCCAGTTCACAACTCTTCAGAAGCTTAGATATGGGGCCTTCGCCCCATGAATGTCATACTCTTCTTGACGACATGAAGCAGCATCGAGTTGAATCCTGCTGTTTCTTCTCACTGTTACCTGAGTCCTTCTTGTCCTTTGATGCTTCTTCCAAGACCAGGGGCAGCGGCCTGGCAGATGCCACAAGAGCGTACAAAAGCTATGTCTGCTATGTCTCAAGGCGCAGCATTCTTAGACAGGGCAACCGTGAGCCTCACTGCCGACAGCACTCCCTGGATGACATTTTCAATGAGGGCTTCATCCTCGCAGTACTCGCCGAACAGCCAGAGGCAGCCGCGCAGGACCTCAAGAAGCTAGCTCAATGAACAGCGCATTCATGCAGACCCATTCCCTGCGGAGAGCTTTTGCGAAGCCCGCGTGATCTCTAAACGTCGTGCTTGGTGCAAACACTCCTCGCTTGAGGGTGGTACGCGCGACTGCGAGACATCCCCGATGCACTCGGCAAGGCGCTGAAGAATGGGCAAACGCATGTCCTCGGGAAACCGAAGTCAGCAACAGAAAAATCAGCTTGCATTGCAACAGAGTCCAGAATCGTGCACGAGAACCTGGCTGTATAGTTCGCGATCAACTCACGAAGGAACATGACCTTGAAGAAAAGAGCACACAATTGGCAGAAACGTGCCATGCAAGCAAAGATCACATCATCCAAGGCTACTGAATGCAGGTTGTCAAGGCGGCAGCTACTTCGGTGGCCGTCGTTTGGTCAGACTCAGTCAGGAAGTCCTGGCAGATCATCCTCTGTGAAAGCCTTGCCTGAACCCATTTCAAAGCCGACGACATACAAGCAGTCAGACAAACAACGTCAGGCGGCCATGAGCAGGAACATGACGCTCTGAGCTTGGTCAGGATATTGTCCTGACAGCCGAAGCGTTTGCAACGTTCACGATGTCACTCATTTACCAAAGAAGTCCCTGTTAGGGTCGGTGGAGCCTGTGCATGCGTGCAGTGCTCTGATGAGCAGCCGCCGGTACTCCAGGTTGCCTTCCGTATTTGAGGCCTGCAAGTATTCAAACTGAGATCTTTGGCAGGAACCAGGCTTGTGAGGACCTTCTTTGTGTGCCGAACTAGCGCAGCTTCCCCGAGCAGCCGCCTCATACCCCAATGTCTTGATCACCTCTTTCTTGAGCAGGGCCACCACATCCTGCTCTCAGTAAAGCTTGCTTCATCTTCACAGCTGCGCGAGAGGCGGTGAGCGGGTAGAGTGTCAGCAACTCCTTGATGTTCCGTGGAGTGACCAAGGAACCAAGGCAAATGTCCATGACCTTGGACACTTCTGACTTATGACACTTGTCACTCTCCTGTCTTCAACTGCCTTTCATCAATCCCACAGGCAGAAATCATGTGGATCTCCCAAATGCCAGCTTGGAGCTTTTCTGAAAATTGCAGACCACACTTCAGTCAGCACGTTCGCGGGACTTTGACGATCACTCGCCTCTCATAACTTTTGAAAAATCCGAAGAACCCCGCTGATGTCTTCGACATCTCATTGGGGCCACCAGATCTATCCGTGGCAGTGTGAGTCCAAGAAAGAAAAGCGGAATTCTTGCCAGCAACAGCCTGACAAACTGTCGCCAGATGCGACACATTATCAGCATGCCGCGCGCTGCAGCAGTTCGCTGCAACAGCCGCTGCAATCATGTACTGGAAAGAACTGGAAAGCACTTAAGTGACTTTATTGACCTAAGTGCTAAGTTGTGTTCGAAACTTCAACTCCTTCTTCTTCGACGCACGCGAACCCGTGCCTGCTCCTCGGATAACCTCGAGCCTGGTGAGCCGTCTACGAGACATTGCAGTCGGTGCAAACTTGCCCGACTCCCTCATGCACGCGAAGTGGCGCCCATCGCCTCACCTGAGGGAGAAACCAAACCCTAAAACAAACAGGCAGCAAATGCCCATACACAGATTAAGATTCTCTGCATGCTTCCCCGAAGCATCACACTCTGATCGTAATCTACGTTAACAAGCCGTCCACCCCTAAAAGCTTGTCTTGCTAGTCCCCACCTTCAGAGCCGCACTGACTGCAGTGATGTCCTCACCCAGAGGGTGCTGTGCCAAGCCGTCCTCGATGCATTGCAACACTTCATTATTTAGTGTCATGAGTACGATCCGAATCGAGAGCAGCTGCTGTTAACCTTGCGCGTCGGGTACGCAAATTTGCACTTGGCTATACATGTGTAGGCCCAATGTCGAGTCTTGGTCCCGAGAAGGAACTTCATCCCCTTGCGTCAGGTTGGGGACCAACGCACGATTCTGCCCGTGCCCTAGGCGCTCGCAAGTATGGGGAGCAGGGTGTCCTTTGCAAAGTGGTTGGCGTAACCCAAACCCTGCGCAACCCACCCTGTGCTTCGGAGAACTGACGCCTGGTAATGTGTGAAGTGTGCCATGCGTAGCTGGTCAAGGTCGGTGAGGCGTTAGGCTGTTCCACAGGTCTCATTTGGCTCCTTGGGCTCATTCATTGGTACTAGTGGTTACCGGTGTCTCCATGTCTCTACATGCTTCTACATGCTTCTGTATGTCTCTGCATGTTTCTGTCAGTGCTTCTACTGGGAGCGGCGAGAAACCCCAAGGGACCGGGGGCTGGGACCTATTGAGAACCAGGACAACCAGGATGCCTGCATCATGCCAAGTCTGCCCTTCTCGGGCTCTGGGTTTCTGCGATCGCGCCGTAGGCTTCCGCAGCTTTGTCATTTCATTTCATTTCCATGCAGTTCAAAGAAGATTTGGAGATGCCATCTGATCCGGGAAGATTCGAGAAGCGGCGTGAGGTAAGCCGAGCCAATGACAGTCCACACTCCCACGATGATTCTGCCATGCAGTCAAGGCTCTCGCTGGGCAGCCATGGCAACTTTGACGGCCACATTGTGGCTGACTTGCTGAATGCGCGATGGGTGTGGCAATACAGACTCTGCCTGCAGGATGCCAAGAAGGATGTGCTGAGTCTGCTATCGGAAACACGTAAAACATGATCAGAGTCTTCTCACTTCAGCTCCCCCTCTTCACATTTGTCGCCTCCATGTCCCTGTCATCGAGGGACTGTGCCACCGTGATGGCTGCTATCATAAACCATCTGTCGGGAATCTTCTTCGCCTGCCCAGATGCTAGGACAAGCTAAGCTCCTGGTTTGTTCGAGTTGATGTATGCCCTGCCTGGCACCAGTAGGCTCCAAAGGACATTCCCGGGAAGATGAAGAAATTGTTCACTTGGCCAGGAATCCGCTTCCTGCCCGTGTGCCCATCGGTCCCACTCCCAAACTCTGTGTGTCCGTGTGTCTGTGTGTGCGCGTGTGTGCACGTGTCGAAGAGCCCCAACCTGCCATGGACATCCACAGGCAGGCAACGGGTACCAGAGCCGAAGATTGCCTTGGCCAGGGGGCAGCAAGGCTTTCCAACCTTTTCCTAGAACGTGGGTTCCAGCAGATTCCACCTTCTGCGTCTTGCGACAACTCAACCTGAAACCCTGTGAACCCTGTGTGAAAAATGAGGTGCCCAGCTGTGCTGCGGCTGGAGCAAAACGTTTCCCAGGATCTGGCGTGATGCATTTTAAGAAGGCCCTTTCGGTTGAAAGATGCTGAGAGTTCACTTGCTGCTATCAAAGTCAAGTTAAACAGCGATGCCGTCTAGCTTCGTGAGAAAAAGCCTTGTGCCTTGTCTTCAGAAACAACACACTGCGTTGAGCCTTTGGAAGGAAGAAGCATGAAGACGGAGAAAGCCTCTGGAGATGTCATCTCCGCAAAATCGTGTAAACAGCCTTCAGAGTACAGCTACGGAGCTCATTGTCTCTTTAGAATTCTTATGCTGAGGGTAAAGAGAACCCAGTCGCTGTAATAAGCCTCTCGCCTGAGCGCAGTGCGAATTTAAGGGCCCTCAAACGTCAAGAGACGTCAAGTAGCGTGTTTTTGAGCCGCTTCACGCGCTCAAATGTGTCCTTCTTGAATTGTAGGCTCTTCGCTGTCATCGCTTGGAGTGCTCTTGTGCTTTTGGTGCAATCATGGAGTGCTTTCCCGGAGTGATCTTGGAATGCTCTTGGAGTGTTCTCGGATTCTTCTACAAGTAGCGATTGGCCAAGCGTCCTAGGAACAGCCGACGCGACAGTTGAGCCGCACCCGACACAACCACTCTTACAGCTCCTGTTCGGAGCAAGGTCCTTGTCGCACATGTGCTTATACCCTGGTCCGACGGAAACCTCATAACACGCAAGCCGCAGACGGAGTGTCGTTGCAGTGCAAGGAGTGGTGCGAACAAAGTGGTGCCATTTCTGGCTACGAGTACGCCGTTGATCAGCTTCAAGGCCACTGAGACTGTTTCCCCAAGGTGCCTGTCCATCAGAGAACTTGTAGCAATCAGCTGCAGTCAGTTCTGCTTGCGTCAAGGGGTTGGAGAGGGCAAAGATGATGGGGCGTCCGCCTCCTCAGTCCATGCGAGAAACTCGTTCAACATTCTAAACGACTACAAAATGTCCGCATCCAGCAATGTGGGGCCTCTCAGCCCGGCTCAAGCAAACAGAGCTGTCCGTGTGCAGCAGCAGTGTAGCAAATCCAAGTGCAAATCTGAGCCGCCCCCAGGCTTTTCTCTTTGCACATCCAGCATAGCTTCGACGACGTCTTTGTTGAAGCAGTTTGGTGCCCGCCCAACTGCCTGAACCCGACAAGACTTTGAACAACTCTCCAAACCGAGGATATCCGAGGATCCCAAAAAGGATACCCCAAGCTCATCACAACAAGGAATCAAGTCTCGCATTGCGCAGACCAAAAGAAGCTTTTGACGAGGCCAAGGTACACCAATCAGGACATCGGGCTTGTGATGCTTGATAGTGGCAATGAGGTCGGTCTGATCGTAGCCGGTGGGTTCCCCTGCACAAGGCACATCTTCATTTGGCAAGCCCAACAGCACAAGTCCAACAGGCAGCGAGACTGGTGTTCGGCTCTACTGCACACATGCAGCCAAGCCGCCAATCGTTGCCGCAGCTTTCTGCTCAACGTTTTTGAAGTTCCCCTTTGTTCCATTCTCAGACTTCCAGATGACGCCTTTCGAGTTCCTGCTGCATTTCAACGGTGCAGGAGCAGGTCAAAACTCAGACGCAATAGGAATGAAAATGAGGAATATAAATCAGCACCTGAGTTATCTCATATCGTGGATTGCCCTGATTCATCATGGAGCTAGGCCTACCACCTGGACCTCGCCAGACCTCTCCATACCTTTTGCCAGGAGGCGTGCAGAGAATCGACTCTGCAGGCACCCCAGCTTCGTTTCGGAGCAACATGGCACCTCAGAGTCCTAAAAACCCTAAAAACCCTCAAAACCCTAAAAACCCTAAAAACCATCAAAACCCTAAAAACCCTAAGAACCCCAGCTAGAACCCTAAAACCGCTAACCCCTAAACCGTAAACCTTAAACTCTAAGCTTGGAAAGGAGTCGTATGCCTTTGAAGCATACTTGGCACGGCTCACATCCCAGGACAAGCGGGGAGGGAGAAGTTGGGGGGGCGTTGAGCACAATGCGCGCATGATGGGGTTTGGAAAGGATTCATATGCTTTGAAGCAAGCATTGCACGGAAAAAAAAACAGCCCGTCCTAAGCAAGCGGGTGCGTTTGAAGCAGGCTTCTGCACCCCCCCCCCCCCGCCCCCGGCATTTGCAAACACAATGCTCGCATGATGGCTTTGGAAAGCTTTGATATGCTTTGCAGCAAGCACTGCACGGCCTCAAGCTAGGTAACTAGGTCAAAAAGCCCCCGAATTCCAAACACAACGTTCGCATGATTGTGTTTGGACAGGACTCATGTGCTTTCGAGGCAAGCTTGTTCGGATTAGAAGAGTGGGCAGATGCAGGACCAGAGGACCACAGACCAGACGACCACAGGACCAGAAGACCACAGGACCAGATCACAGGACCAGACAGAAGACTACAGGACAGAGGAACACAGGACCAAACGAGAAGCAAAAAAACACATCCTGCCACGCCTTCTTCTGGAGGCTTTCAAGCTAAGACTAGCTTCGCAACACCAGTAAAAGAATAACCCGCCATACCATCAAAAAACATGGCGTGGCGCCACCTTTAACAAAACAAACTCGGGACACAAAACACCCTCCAAACCTGGAACACCCTCCCACCTGACACCCAAGAAGGCCAAAAAGTCACCAGAAAAAAACAAAACGCCTAATCACTAAACAGAAACGCCATTAGCCCAAATCCCTAAACCCTAAACCCTCTACCAGGCCCCGCAAATTCTGATGAATTAGAACACTCCGGTCCGGCGAGTTTCTGTTACAGACCCACTTACGAGGCTGCGGGGCTTTTTCCGTTTAAGCTTTGGCCGTTTCCTCTGTTGCGTTCCTCTGCTTCGTACTACCGATGCGCCGCCACTGCGAGTACGTGCCGCTGCGTGGCTTGCCACGCGTACATACTCAAAAGAACTTCGTCACTCTGCACTGGAAACTTGACACTGTTCCATACTGTTCCTACACAGTGATGGGAGCCAAGATGCTTCCCAAGTTAGCAGAGCCGGCTCCATGGAAAAGAATGCGCGTTCTTCTGAGCTCCTTGATGAGCTCCTTGCAACCTTGGGAAAAGCTGGCGCTGCGGAGACAAAAGCCAGCTGCACCGCTGTCAATGTAACGAGTCAAAGCCACGGCACCTGGCTTTTGAAGCCTGATGCCACCAAGCACAGCTGCAGCGACAACAGCTGCAGTGCCTTGGATGTCGTCATTGTAGCTGAGGAACTTGTGCCGATACTCCTGCATGGCTAGGCGGCTGGGTGGAGAACTGTTGCAGATACAACTGACTCACTTCCAAACTTTACAAGTCGAATCTCAAGCCACCTTGCTACACACGTTGCTACAAACATTGCTACACACCGCGCTACATATGGACACATCATGCTTGACACAAGCACAAACATTGACGTTTCTGCTTCTGCTGGGCAAAAGCTGCAAGCTACAGACTTCGCGAAGTGCTAAGGAACAAAGTGCAGGGAGTGCATCTTATGATGACCGGCTGGCTTGACAACGACCCAACGCCTCCAGCAGCGGAAAGGCATCGTTTGTGTTGAAGTCTTCAAACTGAAGCAAGCACTTTGGGCTGAAGAGATCTGCTGCTGCAGTCATAAACTCTCCGATGAGAGAGCAAGGCCCGTAGTAAGCAGTGTTCACTTCTGCACCTGACACCGGCCGAGCATGTACGAAGATTTTGAGGAACGAAGAGTGAAAAAGGCAGCGAAGGCCTTGGCCATCTTCATGCTTCATTCGATCTTGCTTCAGTCCTGCAGCCGGAGAATGCCATCAGATGCTCGATCAATTTCCATCAGCCTAAATTAACCAGCTTACCCCACTGAGTCATTGCACTTGCTGCGAACCGCTGGGTCCTGTGTACAGCTCATGGTCACGGATTGTCAGCTTGGCAGAATTGCCAGTTGCATCGCTACATCCCGCATCGATGATAACAGGTACCGTCTTGTACGGGTTGAAGCCGGCACAGACTGTGTAGAGATCCAGCTTTCCAATGGGTATGCCCATACCCCAGCAGCCAAGGTCTCCCAAACCGAGGATGCGCCCGGCATCTGAAAAAACAATGCATTGGCACTCGTACTTGCCAGTCTCATCCTTCGTGAGCATGGCTTCCGCATATTCCAACAGTACCTGTCTTACCTTTCCACAGTCACATATTGACACGTAGCAGCCACGAGGAAAGAAGGGAAGCAAACCAAACCTCAGGTGCCACGTGCAACATATTGCAGAATGACTTTTCTCCAACTTAGGAACTTTTTTCGACAAGGATTGTGTCAAGTGGCTTTTGACAGGCTTCACCGACTGTCGGCGTGTACACAATTGGCAGCAGAAAGGCTGGATCATGCCACAGCGCTGCATAGTACAGGTTGGGATCCTGCTGCACCGGAACTCGCTGGCGATATTCACATGGTTCCCTCAATTCAGGTTTTTCTGGAACTTTCGCCTGGGTGCTTGACAAACGGCATTGGTATGTTGTTTCAAATTGTTGCTGCGCGACAAACCGGCAATGATGATAACCGAGCAGTTATGGATACTGGGGTCATGCGCAGCCAAGACGAATGTATCGTTGGGGCATGATAAGCATGTATGCACTCTAGTCCGCCGAGGAATCACAAAGCCATAAAGCCATGATCTCATTTTGGGGGAGACAGACTCCATGGGCGGCTCGCCGATGCTGACGTCCTTTGCCGACAAGACTCTCCAGGGTCCATTCCCTGCACATGGACATCTTCTTGATTGCCAGATCGTATAAACACCCGAGCGGTGTCAAACATGGGCTGCAAGGCCCTCATGAAGGTACTTCGTGCCAAGGAGAGCGAGTGCATCAGCCAATAGAGGCGAGTCTGCAATTGAAATTGCGCGCAAAATGCAATATGCGGAGGACAGGCCCTGGCTTTCTGACCCCTATGAGCCTCTATGGCCCCCTATGGCTGGATTCCTGCGAACCTTGTAGGCCGCTTGGCCACCTTCTATTGCGAGTCTGCACAGCCCGCGCAGTCTCCAGCTGTGAGGTCAGCGGGCAAAGCGCGGCGTCAATTACCAGACCCTTACGTCGTAGTCGTAGTCGTAGTCGTAGTCGTCGTCGCGGTCGAAGCCGCCGTAGTCGTAGGAGAAGCAGAAGTAGTAGCAGTAGCAGCAGCAGCAGTAGTAGTAGTAGTAGTAGTAGTAGTAGTAGTAGTAGTAGTAGTAGTAGTAGCAGCAGCAGCAGCAGGAGCAGGAGTAGTAGTAGTACGAGTAGTAGTACTAGAGTGGCAGTGGCAGTGCCAGTGGCAGTGGTACACGGAAACAACTGTATAAGAAACCATTGAAACTAAGACCCTAGATCCGGGGCTTTTGGGCGATTTGCGTTGCCTTTAAGCTATGAACTTAGGATACCCTAGTTTGGGGGGGGGGGGGCACGTTCTTAAAATTCTGCCTGCAAACCCCTCCGGGTTTCCATTTCTACACACCAAAACATTTGCTGTTATTGTACGCTACAAACCCGATAAATTCTACAAACCCTATAAACCTACTAGAAACTCTAAACATGCTCTAGACTCTAAAACCTACCAAAGCATTGAAGCCTACGGCCTTGAGATTGGAGCTTCAACAATCCTAAAATGTGACTCCCCCAGCGCTTCTGGCGTCCCCCATCACATTCTAAAGCTTTTCAGGGCTGAAAAGTCCTAGAATGTGACGCCCCTGCGCTTCTGGCGTCCCCGCCGCACACCCCCCCCCCCAAGACGACTTACATTTTCAGGCACGGCGGTGAGCCAGGACGCCGAAGGTGAAGACACGACAAGGAAGGGCTTTGAGTTGTTTGGGGGAGGTGTGTGGCCCTTCTAGTTCCCCGCTTTGGAACCCCAAACAACAACCGGCTGTGCAGGATTCCTCTAGCCAGGGTGCAAACTACGATTAGAAGCCTCATGCCTGTATCGTACTCTCTTAAGAAACAAATTAAGAAACATAGCATATCGTGGATCAAACGCTCCGAGTACACGGGGCATTGGAAACTGCGAGACATAGGTACCCTACCGCCGGAAAACCTTTTTCTTACACAACGTTTTCACTGTAGTGGTGGTCGTCGTCATCTCAGCACAGGACAGGCCAGGCCTTGTAGTGAAGCATCCGTAAGTATGCGTAGGCATAAAGCAGATGGCCCAGAGTGAAGAAGCCACGGACCTCTTGCATGACCTCGCTCACGGTCCTCGCCTGCATGACCGAGATCATGCCTTACACACATCAGGTCCACTAGGTCAAACCCATACGGGGGGTTCGGGAGCCTTAGTAAGGTTGCCAAGATCGTGCCAAAAGCCAAAAGTTTGGCATAGAGATGCACAGCGCCTTGCAGGAGGCATCCAGAGTCTTCAACATCTGCGCAAGCTGTGCCTGAAGGCGGGACCACTTTCGCTGGGGAACAAGCTTCCGCGGCCACTTGCTTTTAACAAACGAGCACTGGCCCAGCCTTTCTGTTCCATGCCTCGACACCTACTGCTGCCACGGATTTGGGCAGCGAAAGGTGGCGTCCAGGAGCGCTGATCGTCACCGACATGTCGGGGTGAAACGGGATGAAACACTTACACTATCTTTGGATGTTTGTGAAGTATAGCAGCATGCATAGCATGCATAACTGCAAAGCGTAAGGCCAACAGGTCAAATGGGTTCGAGTGCAGACACGATTTAATATTTACATACGCTCACACGTAAGCGAACTGCCGACTATGACATGTCACATGTTTGTTCTGAGACTGCCCGCAGGGAATGAGGTCACAACAAGGGAAACCCATGCCTGCTAGAGCAAGCCGCAAGTACGCGTGCGACAGTGTGTCACTCTCCAGGGATAAGGCCTTCTTCCGCACATCCAGTGATGGGCAGCTTAAAGCTCTGAAAATATCCATCACCATGCCCTCCATGACCTGCACATGCTGAACATTGCGCCGATTGCTGCGCCATATTACTGAATTCTTAAAGATGAGCGAAATCAGCGAAATGTCAACACCAACGTTAAGCATGTAGATAGGCAACGTTGACTCAAGTTGATTCATACTCCCAGTACTCTTTGTTAATCTGACTCGGCTCTTGGCTCAAGCAGACATTACCACCACAAATTGGAAGACAGCCTGCTTGTGGTGCTTTTGCACATCTCGCAACCGATCAAGCACGATGAGCCTGGGGCAGGCACATGCTGTATCTGCCCAGGTTGTAGAGAGTGATGCACATGATGCTCGCCACACACACACACACTACAGAAGATCCTACGGAACTAGAAAACTTCACAATGACTCACATACGAGCAGCTTGACGTTGTTGTCCGACTGCTCTGTCAGCAGCTGCACATAGGCCTGCTTTGCAGTGGCTGTGCACCAGTGCTTTGTCCGACATACTGGTTCAAGAGCTTGCTGGGCATGGCTGGGAAGTGAAATGCTCCAACTCGTCGGGCCACGGCTTCTCAACAATTCATCTTAGAATGCATTTCACCCTACCGAGCCCGTTGAGGACACGATAGCGCCCTCGCGAACACATCATCTTGGATCAGGACATGCAGCACCCATGAACCGTCACAGCCGAGTCGCCTGTGCCGCCTGATGTATGGCTACGGGTGACGAAGACAGCGAAACCAGCGAGGATGCACACTCGTAGGACCTGTCCAGATGTGGCCAGCGAATGCAGGTCAAAAGGCGCGGCTGGTGTGGCAACAGGCAGTAGCTGTTCTTTGCATGCATGCGGACGACTAAGGATCTCACACTGCTGTGGAGGATGACGAAGCTAAATCAAAAACCTCAGCACAACACTCTTAGCTTCCCGTGCAAGATATTTGGGGGAAAGAGCTGGAATCACGAGAAGCTACCCGGCTGGCTGCAAGAAGATAAGCAGGCGAAGCCAGGTCACAATTCGGAGGAATCGGCCCTTGTTGACTGATGTCGAGCGGCAAACCTGCACCAATAGCACAACTCGACGTGTGAAACCTGAAGCTGCAAACCGTAAGTGCAAACTGGTCCGCCAAAACACGACACTCTGGCAATAGATCCAAAACTGCGATTGTGTGGCAATGTTTGGCTTGCGACGCCTTTCGTACCAGCTCCAAAACGGCCAGCTGGAAAATGTCCCCCATGGAACTGACCTTGCAAATCAACTGCCTATGAGGCACCGATGGTGCCAGGTGCACAAAGCACGGAACTTTCGACAACAACCAGAAACAAGGTCTGCTATTGAAATTGCTTAATTCGTGTTGAAGCATCACGGCATTGACTGTCCAACTCTTCAGGCGATACGCCATCTGAGGTCCTTCGGAAACCAAAGTGGTATAGCTGCTAGTAGAGAGTTTGTTCACCGCGATGAGATTTCAGCCGTGTGTTTGAGAATAGCGGAGCATGTTCCCCAACTCGATCTTCAAAGAAGAGGCAAGCCTTTTGCCAAACTTTCTCTTTTACTCACGGATGACGCGGGTTCCCTTGCATGACGTCGTTAATGGGTTTCTCTCTCTCACCGAGATCATTGATATCGGTCGGAGGCTCGCGAAGCTTATGACGAAGGTGGGCATTTAAAAAAGACTTTATTTGTTGTTTATGCCCCTCTTTTGGAAGTTCGTTGCGCTCTGATGCTGGGGCCAGTCCGAGAGTGCCACAGTTGTGTTTGCAGGGGCTAACGAATACTAAGCACCTTGGAACCAATAGAACACGTGCAAGCATACAACCACCTGGCCCGGTGGAGAAGGGCACGCAGTGTAACTGCACTAGTTCGTGGTCTCCGGCGTCTCAGACTTGAGATACAGAACCCTTCTGCTTCCAAGCTACCTGGTCTTGCAAGCTCAAGACATACTTGATGGCTCTCTCCTGTCAACAAACGAGGCTCCGCTTTGGCATCGGCACATGCTTCAGAATTTTTCATTTCCCAATGACTGCCCAGAACTGGCGGTGCCATGTCGCCGCATCACAAAGGCTTTCCGCGCTCGAATGCAAAGCGTCCTACGCACCTGTCCTGATCGCAATTCACGAGCATGAGGAAAGCATTTCCTGTGCAAACCCGCTTGCCCAGAGTCCAGGAGGCCTTCGGAGGCCTTCCTCTTACGCAAGTAAAGGGCTCTACGGAGCTTCAAACTTGTTTAACGCTTCTCGGGATGGCAACGAGCTCTGGGCATGATGTTATCATGAAGTATCTAAGTTACCTAAGCAAAGCTTTGGTGCCATGGCACTCTTCGTGGACAGATCGCCCTCGACGAGCAGCAACTGCTCGATGTCCTCTGGGGCCTTGCACGTTGCTGAGAGGCATACGTGCCAAATACTTCGGAATGACGAAACTTGGTCTGAAGCATGAAACCACTGGGTGATACTACTATGCTAAGGCGCGTGTAAGCACCTCCGATGGCAGGTTTTACAGCATAATTTGGAGTACATTCATGCCGTGCCATCAAACAAAGCAACGTGTCGCCTGCGTGGCATGTTTATGCAAACCCTTGCCTCGGGCAGAACTTCCACACCAAAGCTCTTCACGATGGAGAAAACGCACATCACCGCATTTCGGCGAACGTATGAATGCCTTGCAAAAGCTTGGAAGCTCCAAGAAGCTCCAAGAAGCACGAAGGAAGGCCCACCACGTTCTTTCACAAAGCTTTATCACAGCTTGGTCTGCCTGTGGCCCAGGTTTCTGAGCATTGCCTCTTTTAGAGGCTCAAGGATCCTTCCAGGAAACACGCTCAGAAATTGCGATGCTCTGCACTCGACTCCAGGCACCTGTAGTACTTCATTTTGCACAGTAACCTTAGGGAACGTTCAGGCACAACATATTTGGACACTCGGCAACGAACCATGCAACAAGCTGAGTCAATTCTCCAGAGATCCAATGTCCAAAAAAGCCTCTATTGCAACGCCAGGAACCGCAGAGTCGAGCCGCAGACATACCTGGGTACAAAGCACACAATGGGAACCTCTAAGGAAACCAAATACTACAAACAGGGCCTCTGCAGCGAACTGCAGCACAAGACTAAGCCCACAGAAAGAGAGGAAGAGAGTTCGGATCCAACTATGCTGTCATCTCAGCTTCAGCTAAAGCATGTCCTGACTGTGCGATGCAATCAAGGTACTCATTGGCATGCATCAGGTCATTCCGCAAGGCGTTACAAACCAAGATCATTTCCTCCTTTAAGTCACCGTTGTCCTGATCATGAGCAGATGTACGAAGGGCAACTGCACACAAGGCTCTTTCCATTCAACTCGGCCTTGGTTTTCTCTACAATCTCCCAGTATATCTGGAGGAGCTTCTTGACTCGGTGGTCTCGGCTAGTCACCACAAAACCTTGGTTCTTCTGGGTGCTGAATGTCCGGTTGGCTCTGTGCCAAAGCTGCAATCCAGAAACGAATGATGGTCATCAAGAGCTTTGGGTATGACCTGATCAAAGAAAAAGCAGAGCCAAATAAATCTGTGCCGCAGAATGCCGCATCTCTCGGTTGACAGCAGAGCCAAGCCACAATCGTCTCTGTTGATCTATTTGGTCTGTGTAGTGTAACAATGTATGCAGCATTGTACAGCTCAGCATCGCGCTCGCCATTTATCATGAGCAGGATCAGCTCCTCAAGAGCCTCTGCTTGCACGCTTTCCTGCAGCATCACATTTGGCAAATTCCAGGGTAAACACGGGAAAACCTTGGCATGAGTCCTTCTTGCTTTCCAACTTTTTGGCAAGCTCTTCAGAAGTCGGCGGCACACCCTTCTCATAGTGAATGAGGACCTTGGTGTTTCTTAACAGTCAACATCATTTGTTTGCATTGTTTGCATTGTTTGCACGACCCTGCCCGACACGTTGTACAGCTTCTGTGGTCTCAGACTGTGCAGTACTTTTCGGTTTCCACCTCGGTTAGGCACTCAGAAAGCCTGCATGACAATGTACAGTATGTTCTCATGCCAGTGCCACAAACAACCGTCGGAATCACTCAGCCCCCGTCGCTCATCCGGTGTGGCGTGTGGCGTCACCCTCTCGGAGGTGCACACGCTAAGCCGCTAAAAGGAATCCATTGCTTGAGCAGTCACTGCCAAAAAACGCAGCGGGGCCGTCGTGCATTGCCAGCTTGCTTGTAATGCCTTGCACGCTTGTGTTGCCCGGCACAGGTCACGTTCTGTGCAGAATCGGACAACAAGCAGACCTCGCACTTTTTGTTTCATAGATACTGCCTGCACCGTTTATTGGTACAAGATGCAGTCAGTCCGCAGGTCTGGCAGCATTGGTAAGCCTGGTTGGCTCCAAATGCACCACAGCTAGTCTCATTGCTGCATTGATACCATCTTTGCTGGTAATCTTGGATTCGCATCTAGTTACGATGCTTGTGTGAAACTTGCAGTCTGTTCATGTTGGCCGGTTGCAACTTCAGAGGTCGAGTACTCTTCCGAGTCGGCACGCTTCGCTGCCAGAGGGCGCGAACAAGGCGGTCAATTGTGCGCTCTGGTGCTCGAACGAATGCGTAACCACGATTCCGCCCACTTGCCGAAAGTGGGACGCTCAAGTTCATGGGCTCAGCCACAAGGCTTGTCAGGAAGCTGCTGAGCTCTGTCCGTGTGCACCTTATCGAACCAACCTAGAAAGTACAAAGAGCTACACATAGCTACATACACTCTCTTGACTCTCATGCTGCTGCCTCGACCTTGAAGACCTTGTCACACACAAGCAAGGCTCAGGGCAACACCTTGCTGGAAGATTGCAAATCATAAGGTTGTTGACTCCGGTCCACAAGTCGTGCCCAGGGTGCAAACCCTTCTCATCATCAAAGTCGTGTACTTCAGGATCAGGCTGTTCTTCAGGCTCTCTGACCATGTCGGGGGTCTCCGAGGTCTCCGTCTCAGCGTCAAACAGCTCAACCACGGACTGAGACAAATCTGGCCAAGATCTCGAACGCGGAGGGCAGGGGGTCAGCAGAACTCCTCAGCATTGAAATCAGGAATCAGCGAGTCGAAAGTGGAAAAGTCGATTAGTGACATTTGCTAAAATTAAGTGCCCCCCGGTCCTTCGATGAAAGTTCGATGCACACGGCAGCACGTGATGTAGGCTCCAGCCTCCATCTCAGAGCTTCGAACCCCGCTTCGAGCCCCCCTAACTTTCTGTTGACATCCCGGCCTCGTCAGGAATGAACGATCTAGGCAAAACAGCCATCTCGCAAGGTCCCGTCTCCACACGAGAGGAGAACTAAAAGGTCGGCTTTGCGAGCACTGCCTCTCCCCGCCCCCGCGGGCCCCTACATCTACGAGTCTACGATCTGCACCTGGGAGCGATCGAGCGAACAACCGTTGCCACGGACAAGATGCTGCGACACATGAGATACTCACTCCAAAGCTGAATACAGCTCCGCACAAAGTCAAAATGAAGTCAAACAATTTTGACATCAGCATGAATCACTCCTGAACATCCTGTCAAACAGTTGCTGGGGGTGGCTACATCGGAAAGTATGATGCTTCTGCGCACACCCAGCTTCGCAATAAGGAAACAATGCTTTGCAATGGCACGATGAAGTAGGCAAGTCATCTTCAAGTTTTCCATACATTGGACAGAAAAAGCTCTCTTGCCGGGAAGAAGCTGGAAGCAGGCATGCGTGATTAAGAAAGCTGCTTCTAGGTCCTTGCCTGCCAGTTCAGGCTGGCGGCGAGACCCTCGAGAAGATTCTGCAATGCCCTCACAACATCTCACAGCTCATGATGCTTCTTGTACTCCTGGTCGAATGACTTGTGCGGCACGCTGCGTGAATGTCATTCCGCACTCGTTCTCACGTTTTCTCTCTGACACACACCCACACACGCTCACACACTCAACACCCTGACACCTCCCGCCATTCACGGTCTAGACACATGTTGGATGCCGTCGCAGCTCATGACAGACATCAAGAAAGCTGGGCTGAGTCCTCCATCATTTGCTTGTTCCAACTGGGCAGCGTGCATTTTAGCATGACCGCGCCAAGAATGAAAGAATGCAGGAGCGGGCATGAAAAATCAGAAGCTTCGACTCTGGTCCGCGGCTTTTGCAAGCTACGAAAACAAGACAAGGCAGCCTCTTCCCATTGAGTCGAATATGAACAAAGGGCACGAACATCGCTTCTTTCAAAGAGCCATGAGAAGAGGCAAGAAGCTGCGAGACCAAGCGTACTCAGAAAGACACAGACTCAATAAGTACAAAGTGATACAACACTAACAAAAAGGGATACAGAACACAACAGCAGCAATGGGGAATTATTGGGCAATCCTGCAATCTCTCCAGGTGCGTCTGGCCAAATACAGGAATTGTGAATCTGAGTGCCGCACTGCATCTGAATGTTAAGGGGGGTGAAGCAAATCCTTGTGGCGACATTGGTGCGATCATGAGGAGGATGGCTCAGTTCAGCCTGTCATTACCTTTAAGGTTACACACGGGTAAATCTCTGGGCTTGGCCACCGCAAAGAAGTCCACGCATCGAATACTACCACCGAAAACTGCCAACAAGCGTCGCGATGCCCAGGATGTGTCGCAGAAGACGCCAGGCCATCCAACGGTCCACAACAAAGAGAATGTGGCCAAATTCCTGGGTGAACATACAGCTTTGTCGATACACCACACACTCAGCATACAGCTCAAAGTCGTGCTAGCGCCATACAGACAGCGAGTAGTCTGCTCGGGGACCAGGCCCACAACGGATAGAAGAAGTTTGCGAACCATCCTCGGGAGCATTCGATCGCATAGCCGCGTGTTTTTTAGCCTTTTGGCGCATTTTGCCTGGTCTTCAAGCAATGAAACCGCTGGCACACGATTTTGGCGTGCAAGCACCAATGTGCATAAGTGCCGAACACACTACCCTGCACGAAAAAGACCGCAAATCTGCTACACTAGTCCTCTTCTGGAGCTTGGGCTTGCGCTTCAATCCCCAGCTGCTGACACAGAGTTCACACCACAGACAGCCGCAGAACAAGTCAAGACTCCTTGCGGCATCTTGGGGCGGCCATAGTCATAGCCTTACAGTCATAGGAAAAGGCGAGCAGCTTGCAATACATCAAGGAATGAAACTTGATAAAGAAACTCAGAACTACGAAGCTATGTAATTACAACCTCAAGAACTTGATGTATCGATCATTACACACAGCATGAGGCTCTTGGAATCCGTGCATGCGGCAAGTCAGCAACGCGTCCATCACGGCATGTCGCAGTCAGCAACGCAGCGCTTTTCCGCAAAGCTTTGTACGGTTTTGGCCTTTGAAATCGGCTATGGACAGTCCATCATGTTGACGAACTCATGCTTCGGTCAGACTGCGGCCAAACAGGTCCGACAGCACTTGAGAACCCCCCCAGAATTCACCCGTCTTGTGCAGGAACATCTCCTGCATCCGATGAGTCTGATTCGCAATGCATGGGCAGTGCATGCGTGCATGCGGGGTGCGCAAGGGAGGGCTCTGAGTTGCAAAGATCCTCTCCCGAGCAGCAGTGCGCCCAGTGCCAATGCTGGAAAAAGAACTGCACCTGCTGCGGCAGATACAAAGCCAGCTAGAAGTGGCCCGTGCGATATTGATTTTGGCGGTTTCACATGTACTGGAGTGTAACAGCGTAGCAAACAAAACTGAGCTCGTCCGAGCTGCATGAAACATGAACGGCATGAGGATTGCGGGAGCCTGCAGTGGTGCCTACAGTGAACCATGAAGTTGCCAGCGCACTAGAGTATTCCAGCCGGTGGCTTCAATAAAAGTGCATGCAACAGCAGCTGCAGCTGCAGCATTCCTGTTTGGGCGCTCGCTTCTGTCTTGCTAAGAAGTTCCTGTCGGCTTGCGTCATTCGCATCGGGAGGCCGGAGACACCTCTTCCGAACCCACCCGCAAGGGCACTTCGTATCGCCGAATGTAAACACCTTGTCGTAAGTTCGCATTGAAGGGATGGACCCTTCTGGCCGCCTGTCCTGCGAGAACTAGAAGCAGGGGCAGGTTTACCAGTACAGGTCAGACGAGCCAACTGGACTGTTCTCTGGATTTCGCATGTCAGGGGACAACTCGCCCTACTAGCAGTGCTCGCACAAGCATCGACATCTGCAGATTCTTTAAAGTTTACATGATCTGCAGGATCAGCAATCGCAACTGCATGACCCATGTTCTTATGCAGTTATTGACGTTCTTGAAAAGACACGGACTCAAGAAACACCGGACTATGCCGGACTTGTTGATGAAGGCATACCACAGCACCAGCATCCCTTTCGGGCCACACGAACACAATGCCCCCAGCCTGCGCAGCAGTAAGCCCTGAAGCATCCAGATGCACATCCCTGGAGAGGCAACAGGAGTCCCCAAGTTGGGATTCCGAAAGCCGTGAGCAAGTAGAGCAACCTCAGGCACTTGCAGCGTCGTGTACTGTCTTGTCTTTTCAGATCTTTTATCAAGTGGCCAATGTAGGTACATGGATAGGGACAGCTTCGCTTCACTGTCGGCGGAAGTAACCAGAATCGACTTTAAATGCTCTGCCGAGCCAAACCGTATTGAAATGCAACGAACCTCGAACTTGGGACTTGAAGTTGAAATGCAAGGCGGCGAAAATTAGAAACTCAAGCATCTGCCGAATGGACAGGCAGGAAACCCATAGATCATGCCCAAAGACCCAGATCCAAATAGCAGCCTGTCAGCATCAGCAAGGTGACACATGAATGAAGCGCAGTTCTTCGCGAGCCCTCCCTCCTCACCCCATGGCAACCCTGCATCCTGACAGCCTGAACCCGAAAAAAACTGAAAGCACAAAGAGCCCATTAGCCTATTCCACTCAAGGAGTCGGCGTGGTCAATATGCCCTGCGCTCCAAACTCACAAAACCTTGCGTGCAGCCTCAACGCTGGCGGGCTGACGCCAAGCAAGCCTCCAGCACCAAGGCTGCAGAACAAATTCATAACCTCAAAGGTCTCAGATGGGCCAGCAAGAGCTTTCTGAATGCCACTGTGAAGTGCACGTGAACAAAACCATGTCGGTCACGCATGCTGGAAGTGGTCACTCTCACGAGCACGCAACCCACGCAGACCAGCACTTATGAATGAAAGTACTGTGGACAGCATGTTAACTGAATGTTGACTGCAACTTCACAGATATTCTAAAGAGAGCTGAGCGAGAGTTCAGGCTTGGTGCCGGACATGAACAGACATCGCATTTGGATCAGATGGTATTCCGGCAGCCGCCAAACCTTCAAGAGAGCACGATGGGTACTCCGATGGGTACTCCGATGGGTATTCCGATGGGTACTCCGATGGGTACTCCATTCATCTCCACGCTACATCACTCTACATCTCTACGTTGCTTCCATCAGAGCAGCTGGACCCGAAAATCTCGCCAAGACCGAAAGGATGAAAAGACCCAAGTGCAGGCAAAGACACACTTTGCTTCAAAAACTCAAAAGCTCAATTCGTTGGCCAACCCAAGTGTTTGTCCTGCACTCTCACTGACTGGGTAGTTGGGGCTATGTAAAGGAAACAAACACACCCCGTAGTCCAAGCCTCGACAGCCACCCAAGCTCAGTTTCTCTGAACCCCCAAGGACTTCACTTCGAGGGTTCGGGCAACAATTTTGAACCTAAGCCCACAGAGGACAGCCCGGCCTGCAGCAAGCGAGAGCAACGAAAGGGCAATGTACGTCATCGGACCACCATTGCGGTTGCCGCGAGTATAGTCCAAAGCGCAGTTGGCCAGCACTCGCGCAACTGCGCCATAAATGCCAAATGTTATGGTGGCTCGCGATGCAGGTAAGCCAGCAGCAGCATTGATCTCACCTACGAGCGGGCACATAGAGATGCATGGAGCTAATGCTGCTACGGTCCTTTCAGTGATCTCATACATCTTTGATTCCGTCAGTAGGCACGTCCTGCCTGCAGCATCCAAGTAGCTGAACACAAATCCGACTCCGATGAAGAAAAGTAGACACATGTATGCGAAGTTTTTGCTCAAGAGCGCAGACCTCGGCTAGGGCAGCACTTTGTTCGTTGTGCAAAACTTGATCTCAGGTGGCAACAGAGAATACATTAAGAGAGAATCAGAGCGCACATCAGAGCACGAGCACGTAATCAGCGCAGTGCGGCTTTAAGCTGCATTGCTCCAGGTCGTCTGGAAGATTCGTCTTGCTTCTGTGAAGAAGCTGACTATTCTCCCAGAAGGCCAAGACCATCAACCCGCCACACGCCACCGTGCAAACAAGCATGTAGGTGTAGTAGGCTTGGACAAAGTTCTTGAAGTTGGCCTTCGGGCAAGGTAACGTAACATCAACGAAACCGGTTTTGCAGAAGCGAGAGACTCAGACGAACATGCATTGTACAAACGATGACGCAGAAAGGCGTAGCAAATCCACGCAACGCTCCAAGAGTTGCTTCACCATTGCAGCATAGGCTAGCATTTACACTATTTACACCATAGCATACCTTCTTCACAGGCTAAGCGGGTCGTCCTTCATCAGCACGTAAACTTCGGATTGAATGCTGGCACCCAGCGATGTGCTTACCTGAGCAGAGAAACAAAACCCCTTCAGACACCGATGATCCTGAATACGTGAACACTGACCAGTGCCGAAAGACACCCACTGATACCGAAACATCTGCACTTTGGGCTAGAAGCTTGAACAACCGCAGAGACGGCCCCGACATACTGAACAGGGAACGCTTCCAAAGGCGCAAAAGTCGCAATGGTGCTGAAGAAAGCCTCAGGCTATCGCTATAAACAAGGCCGCACTACCAGCGCCCTGGGTTCAAAAGGGAGGTCTATTTTCTTAGGAATTCTTTTTGTTTCTTTTGGCGTTTTTCTTTTTGTTTTTTGTCCTTGCTATTGGTAAACCCTAAACCCTAAACCCTAAACCCTAAACCCTAGACCCTAGACCCTAGACCCTAAACCCTAAAACCTAAACCCTAAACCCTAAACCTTAAAACCTAAACCCTAAACCCTAAAGCAAAAAACAAAAAAAACCAAAAAACACAAAAATATGCTAATTTAATTCTCCGGCCGTTCAAAAGTTCTTCACACGGCAGAAGTAGCAACCCATTGACCCATCAGACTCTTGAACCATGTCATTCCTCTCTACCGACTCATCAACTCGAATTCGGTCGGACATGCAAACAAACGTAACTAAAGCACAGCATTCTCAAGACATCTCGTCCTGCCTCCGCCATACCAAAGATGGCATAGCTGAGCTTGAGGCCTCGCCAACACCGACACGGTTCATGCCATCTGATGAACAGTCCGCGACACACCACTGGAAGGCCTGTCAACGTGTCCAATGATGGAAATATCGACGACCAATCGAGCTGTCCGAGGATAGGCAGGACACCTCGATAACAGGATCTACGTTCACAGATCTCATTCCTCATCCAAGCCTCAAGGAGATAAGCAGATCAGTCTTCAGACAAGCTGCCGATGATGGTGCCTATGCTCATGGCAACCGTTGCGCCATAGTAGTCATAGAGCAGGCCGGGCACAAATGACAACGCACAAGCACCAAAGTTAAGCATATCCTCGGGTGGCGAAGAATTTGCACAAGTGAACCCAGCTAATGCTCTTTTCCATCATCAAAACGTTGACATGGGTTTTGAGAACTTCAGCATTGCTGCATGATATACTTCCTGAAACTCGTGGTCCCGACTAAAAGAACTTTCAGCTGCCCAAGTAAGCTACGTTGCCCCACATGACCCCCCCCCCCCGACCACTACCCGTTCTCGCCCCTCTGCTGACTTGCCTCACTTGCCCCCGCTCCGCCCCATTTGAACCTCACTGAGCCGCTGTTCCCGTCCGCTTGTCCGCCGCCCTCTTCCAGCTGAGCGCTTTGCCCCACTTCCCCACCACTTGCCCCTCCTCTTGACCCACTCTGACGCGCTTGACGGGGCGTCAAACACACCAGTCCGTCACTTTGGCCCGCGTGCCCCGAATGAGAGTGGTGCACTTTGAATTTAGGCGGCACCAAGTGGAGCAAGTTGGATTTGGGACTTGGGTTCCAGTTCGACTCGTATAAAAAGTCCATTTGCATGTGGGTGGTCTGCCGGGTTGCTGGGCTTCTTGTCGTTATTCCCTTTGTCTCGTCTCTTCTCTCTTCATGTTCCGGTTCCTGGTGCTCGTGTCTTCCTTTTTGTCTCACTAGTTCTCCCTTCACGTGGGCCGGTTCCTGATCTCCTTCTTCTCCCGCTGCTTCTCTTCACGCAGGTGGACTGCTGTGCTGGGTTCCCGGGCCACTTGTCGGCCTTTGTTTCCCTTTGCCTCTCGCCTTCCTGGGTTCCTTGTCTTCCCTTGTCTCCTTATCTTCCTTTATGCCGGTGGGTTCTGCCACGTTTTTGGCTGGTGGCTCAATCCGGTGCACCAGTGGCTCGCGTTCGGTGGCTCAATCCACTGTGGCACTCGCTGGCTCAATCCATGCTCGGTGGCTCAATCGCGCGCTCGGTGGAGAAGCTCAAAAACTTGTTTCGTTAACATGACTTAAACTGTTTGAGGTTCAGTGGTGTATATAAGGCAGACGTGAACATCACATGATTCGCCATCGGGACTAGCACTAAAACATCTTGTTGTTTAGGATTCGGTACCACATATGGATGCGTACGGGTATGTACTTTGTAAATATTTATACTGTTGTAAGCATACATGTATATATATATATATGTATATACACATACATACGCGTATCTTACATGCTGCATGCCGGACGATGGCAAGTTTGAGCTTCAATAACTGAACATCAAGTCCTAGGACCCAACCTTTGATTTCGCAATCACATGGGATCGCTTTAACAAACCTTCTTCCGACTTGGAATGCAGCTGGCAGGCAAATAGCTCCGTTCCTCCACCTTCTTTCAGACCATAGTAAGACTCCATATCATCTGCAATCACCGCAAAAACATACACCATTCCGTACCTTAGACGTGTTCTATGTCATGGCAGCATCAACAGGGAAGACGGGATCTGCACAAATGTCAGGCTCGGCAGAGGCCACGTGAATGCTAGCCAATGCTAGCCAGAAGCTGAATCACACCCAACAGGCAAGCCATCAACAAAGCTCCTGCTCGTAGCACAGGGATAAAGGGCATGGCTGGCATTGCACTACCGTGGCAACTGAGCAATTGAGGGAGTTGAGCGCAAGCGTCAGTCGAGCAAGTCGGAGATTCTGTGCGCGCAGAACGCAGAACCATCAAGACTTACATTTGCATTCATGAAATCCGATCCAACCTCTGTGCACAGAGTTCGCCGGAAGCCCCAGGGTCTTGCTGAAAGACTGCTTGAGCAGCGGCCGCTTCATTGCAAGAAATCGCAGGAATGCTTCCTCGATAAACTTGTACTGAAAGAACGAGAAATGCCGGGCCAATATGGGCCAATGTAGGTCAGGCCTCGAGCAGACTAGAGCAGATTTGGGAAACTGGCTGGCATTGGCTCGCCATCATCTACGGTCACACTTCCGTCTGTCAAACGATTCTCCGATGCTCGAGCCAAAGCCCGCGTCACATGTTGCAGACATTTCAGACAGCTCTTGAATGGGAGCCACGGTCACGAACCATCTTGCTACATGTAAGATGGGTACGTCCAGGGCCGTAGTAAATCCGGCCGAGGGTGCATAGGCCTGGACCACATCTGACGCTTGAGTTACTGGTAGGTGCTGCCAAAACTTTGCCAGCAGCCTCCAGCCGAATGCTTCTGTCCCGGATAGCCAATGCCCTCAATGATTTCCTGCGCAAGGGTGCTAGTCTTAACATGCTCTTAATTCTCCAGCATGGTCTTTGCCTTGTACTTCGGGAGATTGGTCATGTTTTCCTCATCTCAAGGCAACTGCGAATGCGCAGAAATGCGCCAAATGTCAAAGTGGCGTAGTCAGACCCAAATCCATTGCGACAGTAGATCAACCAAGATGCAGAGATGTACTTGACAGTGTGCTGCACCGTCTCCGGAGGGTGCAACTGGTGATCGCCTGATCATGGTAGGAAAACCGACGCAAGCACGAGCGATTTGAGCTGGCAAAAAATGGCCACATCCCCTTAGGAAGAACCAACTTGGATCACATCACACCCACAACCTCCAACGCCCGGCGCGTTCGGTGGAAAGGGGTCGCCGTAGCCGAAGGATTGCCTCCTCGCCGGTCGGATGACACAGTGCAAGCGCTGTAAGTGCAATCAAAACCCAGCTTGTACAACTTCAGAACCCAGCGCACCCAGCTTGTCCCGATGGAACCATTCACTAGACCGTTCACAGGGTCTGCCAATTGCCAGCACTCGGTCGTCAATAGGCTTTTGATTGACTTGCCCTATTAATTACTAAATCTGGTGTGAAGATCCTCATGGGCTGGCCATGTCCAGCGGCAGCACGCAATGCCAGGGCACGGCGGACCCCCAGCCGACGAGCCGACGTGAGCATGATGCCTTGCTTGTGACAAACACAAACGGTGGGAACAAACAGTGGGAACTCCACGTTCCGTGGCCCGTACTAGCAAAGCACCCCGCCTCGATTGCGCACTTTGTGGCTTTCCACACGCTTCAGCTGAGCCAGGGTGGCTACAATGTGTAAGCAATTGTAAGCAGATAGATGGTCGTCTCATCAGTGTCAATTTGCATCACGATCACAGACTTGCAGGCACAAGGCCGACTCTAGTGACGGAACAGATCCCGACCCCTTCGGACGGGTTAGGTATGGCCAAAAACATAACCATACAGAAGCATCAACCACCATGTTGATGGACACAAGAAAACACACGAACAGCGAATGTTCATGACACCAGCTGATTGGATCGGATGTTTCACATGGACAGTAGTTAATCATTCTTCTTCGGCAGTCCAACACAACTCTTCTTCATCGATCTTGGTCATCATTTCTGTGAGAATATGTGATAGGAGCTTTTCTTGAGGAGCAACTTCCACGTTGGCTGCCCCACTAGCTTGCTCAAAAACATACCGGCCACGGCTACTCTGTGAAGGTGCAAGTATAAGTGAGTAGAATTCTCGGCGTCTGCGAGGAAGGGGGTTGTGAGGACTCCAAAGGTCAGTGACATGCTTTCCTGGTGCGCTGTTCCGTCCAGCTAACCCTGCATCTACCTGAACAAAAAAACCCTTGTTGAAGCAGCAGTTTCGTTCGATCTGTTCAGGGTGCTGATGAAAGGTGAGTTGGAAGATGTCCTGGTTGCTGTACGTGGCGGCCTCTGGCTGCAGAACCTCCATGCAGTATGTATTGCCGATTCTGGAAATCTTTCGTCGAGACAAGCCTCAAGCCTGTTTAATGTCAGAAGTGGTGAACGGCTGATTCCAGCCCGTGTGTGAGGAGTGGGATGAATACTACATTGGAAATAAGAGCAAACTCCTTGTGCAGTTGAAACGCAGATTGCTGTTTTCCACTGTGTGGAGAATACGCTCGGCCATGGAATCAGTGCCTGCCATCAGGGCAGTGTCGCTAGTGTAAGCCAGATCATACAGAGGCTGGTGGCTGTAGATTGACGGCCGGGTTGGACCATTGGCTGTGAGGGCTTCGTCAACATGATTATCATACAATGGACGTCCGAGAAAGGTAGGGAAAGCCGGCAGCCGTCTCATGCCTGCCTGGGCTGTTTCTATGGTGCTGGCGCGTCCTGCTGCGAAGACCCGAAGGCTCATTTTGTCACAGGCATTTGCCCAATCCAGCAGGACGGAATGAGGATCTGCCAATGACTTCTGCAGCCAGGAAGGTCCGATAACCCTCGAGCCTGTCCCGTTGCAGCGTCACTGGGCAAGCCCGTCACGTTGGTGAATTAATGGTGAGTTTTTTGAACCATATCTGCGGCCTTGTAGACATCCTCCATGCCACTCAAGATGTCAAAGAAGCGCCCGGGAGCCACGCGAGCGCTGCACCTGCGAACAGCCAGCCCAGCGTCTCATCAGCCACGGTGTCTTATTATAAGCCTCGTGCCTCAGCTTGCCTTGAGCGGGCCGCCCCCCGCTATCAGCACAGCAACATGCACAAGTCATTTGACAAAAAGCCTGTCCAGATAGCCTGGAAGACCTGATTGATGCCATTCCAATCCGCTAGCTCAGAATTGACACAAAAGGAAGAGCTTGATGATGAGGTCGAAGCAACGAGGTTACTAATTGAACATGCATCCAGCATCATGACATCAGGCATCATCATGCCATGAAGCTACATCTGACAGCATCCGCCATGACTTGTTCTCAACCGATGATGCTTCTGATCTTGCGACATCACGCCGTATCGCGCCATCAGGGTGATCTGTGATTTTCCACGCGAGAGACATCCCTTTAATGTCTAAAGCGCAGAAGTGCACATCACGTGGACGAAAGCAACCCAATGATTGCCCATGATCAGAATTGCAATTTTTGCATGTCACACGTCCAACTTACTCAAGAGGCGGCCCTCGTATATCTGAATCCAACACGCGAGAGACCGACAAACACATTCTGAGCTCCTCGTTGTTGAGCTCTCATGCTTGACAGCGATGCTGAGCTTGGTTTGTCCACTCAGCTTTACTCCCTGGATTAAAGCAAAAGACACGTCGACACCAGCTGCGCACGTGGACTGTTTTCTCCTCAGCGCTCCGCCTCCATAATCCCAGCTAGACGTCTATGGATGTTCAATCGATCCGTGTGGCGCTCCTTGGACCGGGAGTCGCAATTTTGGGAGCTGGATGGAAAAGTGGGTCATGAAGGGTATTGGAGAGTGTGAAAATAGTAAGCTGGATAATGACTGAATAGAACGGCCATCATGGAAACTCGCACGGCACGTGCATCAAATTATTTTTTACAATCCAAGGAGCGAGTGTCTGAGATAGGAAAAGGATGCCACCAAATATGTAGAAGACCTCCAGGGCAACTGCATGGTGATCTCACAACAACCTTATGACAAGCTCTATGAGCTTGTGTGACCCCATCTCTGACTCCGAATCTGACAAAAACTCTACCCGTCACTACCCCAAATCACACTGAAGCCATGTCTGATTGTCATCTTGCGCTGCGGTGACAGCGCCTCAGTCAGAAATATGCAGTGTTCTAACATTTGGTTCCTTTGGGTGTGTCACAAAGCCCTGTATAGCCAAAAGATGTCCAGCAATGGTCTTAACACCCAAATTCCAAGAGGGGTCGTTTAGTCCAGCCCCCGGCAGGATCGCCTGCCCCATCTTTGTCATCGTCGCCTGGGTCCCCAAGAAACTGATTCGTCTCGGAACGGAAAGCCCTGGAATAACAAAGAAAGCGAGTGGCAGGACTTGCCAAGGACCAGTAAGGCATCGCGGCGAAGAGAACAGAGCCACTGAGATACAAAGCACTGCCCATGAAGCTCGGGTCCGAGACTAATGAGCGCCACAAGCTCCTCAGGCGCTCGGTGCAAAGCGGCTGACACTCAGATTCCCTTGCTTTGCAGTGCACTTTGTTGCTTTGCACTTTCCATCTGTTCTCCAGAAGAGAGCACTCATTTTCAATCTAATGACAGTGGCCTTCTGGTGATCTGCTAGAACATGCAGGGTTTCGGATGCACCCACATCGATCCAAGGCACAGATAGAAGTTTCGCTCGGCATTGTCGTGGAAGCTCCGAAACTCTTCTCTTGAAATAGCGTCCGAGCTTTCAGTGTTGATCTCCTCCCATATAGCATTAAAGCCGCTCATGTCCATTATGCCGCAAGTCCTTGGATGCTTCTCAACAAAGGCTGGCGATGCGAAAGCTTCGAAACGGGACTCTGCACTTCTTTCTACATTCAAACCAGCGACGACACAACTTCACAAGACTCCATTTCTGAAAAAACTTGAAGTACAGCCCTGAACTTATCATGCCTCAGCAACGGCTGTAGCAAAACGTGCTTTGCAGAGAATACGGAGTTCACGGCTTTGTCCGCCACTTGTTATTCTGCAGTCGAACTGCGCTTGTGAAGCATACGCATGAAAACTGACAGCTGAATTGCACATTTGGTGCTTGGTCGGAAGTGTCGTTCGCAAAGGCCGGCGTTGTCCCCAAGCCCAGTTGGAGAGCAGGCCTGTTCACTCTCTTCGAGACTCATGTGCCGAGGGTGCTTTCATTTAGTGACACGGTCAGTCCCACATCCCACAAGCGAAGGAATCGGTACCCAAACCGTAGCCCTAGTAGGCGGAGTGAACTTGCCATGTCTAAGAGACGATAGCAGGCGCCGAGCTGTTAGCAGGAACATACTTGAAACAGACAGTACGAACAAACATGTTGTTGCCAGGCACCTGGACCGCGACGTGAGAGTTTAAAGTTTAGGCCATTTTGAGATCATCACAGGGTGCCCGGATGCGAGCGTCGTTCCTCGCACTATACGATAGACTGTCCCTGCCAGACCCCTTGCCATGCCGTTGCTTTGCTTCGGCACGACAGGTCTTCTGTTCGAATTCGGCATGTTTGTCAAAGCTCATGATTTGGGGGATGCAATGACCCTGGTTCTGTTTACCCTGGACCGGAAGGCTCACAGCAGCTTTGAATGCGCTTCGGTCTCCGGACTCCGAAATTTTCTTTGCTTTACCGAATCGTTTTGCTGCCTTGGGAACCTAAATGCCTGGCCGAAGTTTCATAGCTTCTCTTTGCCACCTGTGGTCGCCTTACACCTTCATGGTCGAGCGCGTCACTTTACAGTTGACGGACATGACTATTCCACAACTTTCCGGCCGGACCGTTGTGGGTTTCTTGAGCTTCGAGCGTCATCATGTACTGCGCCAGCTCTCGTCTGTCCAGGTGACCATCCCGATCCACATCGGCCTCTCCACATCCGAGCATAAAAACAATGCCTGGGGCTTCTTTCCTCGACTAGAGACGCGCCTCGTACTACAGGATTGAATGATGCACGCCCGCCTTGTCGAAGATGCGATCGGCCGGGTGACTGGGACCCATCAAACGCTCCCACAAGCTGGGTGCCTTCCCATCGATGCCGGCATGCACAGCTCTCTTACAATCGCATGTGGGGTGCCCTCGATATGCACTGCTCCGTGTTTTTCCATTAGTCACAGAACGGACCACATAGGTTGAACTGAATAATGTCTATTGAATCTATTCACAAGGCTTGTGTGTAGGTCCCTGATGGATTTCCCAGGGACTCACGCGTGTGCAGGACTCAAGGCACCACAGCACAATGCACTTGATGATCTTGCCCACTACAAGTCGGCAGAAGCGCAACGTGCCTCCTCAGGCTCAGAATGCAGCACCTGAAGCATACCCACACGAATAAGCGCCATTGAAAGTCTCAGCGGCCGACAACTCCTCAAAGTCACCAAGGGACTGCTTGAATACGGGGGAGCTGCCACCAGGCCAATGCCTCACAGACCAGGCAAGTAACATCTGTGTCGCTTCACAATTCAAAAGTTTGTCGGGACCTACACAAAGAATGAGATTGACAAAATAGAATAATTAAAACCCATGGCATAGCCACATTTCCGTCATATTACCTATGATAATTACCTATAATTACATAACATGTGCTTGAAATCCCGTGAACCTCCGAATGCAACTGATGCGTCATTTGAGTTATGTCTGCTATGCCTTCGCGGATTTTGCCGACCTGGCTCTGACACTTCGCGGAACAGTCGACGAACACATCGCACCGTCTCACGAATGTTACAGGGTATCATCCCTTGGCACACATGTCCTGGACTGTGCAAGCACGGTGGCTACATGCTGTGTCCCTCCATGATTTTGCAGCACAAGTCGGCACAAGCCGTAGCCTCCACAAGGAACAACTACTATCATGTATGTTGGGGTGCAAATACCGAGGCGCCGCCACGCTGCCCACTCCGACGCTCAAGGCACCAAAACCCACGGAGATGCGCTGCGCCAAGCCCGGCGGACTGCGGGGAACAACATGACAAAACAACACACAGCTGTTCAGCAACATTGTGAGTCTATACACTTCCTTGCCCTAACCACATCCGTGAAAGCCTTCATGTTTACGCATCTGAGATTCAGCATGAAAATTGGATGTGAAAGCAGTGGGAACCCAGGCAACCTTGCTGCAGGGCCAATTCGCGCTCCACTGGTCGGGTGTGCCTGCGGATGTGATCCGATGGACCATTGGACAGTTCCCGGATCCTTTCCCACCAACTTGTTCCCTAAATTCTAAACACGTATGTAAATTACACAACTTCATTCGTGCTTGCTATTGCCCAGGAGTGCGCACAGCGCCTCGGCCTCCGCTGCAACGCTGCGTAACGCCTCAGTTTCTGATGCCAAAACGAAGGTTTTGCCTTGGCAGTTGTGTCGGGAGATATGAAGGCGGTGATGCTGAAGCTGCACCTCAACGCGCTGCACTCGTAGCCGCGCGTGCAACCGACAACAGCGACCCAACTGGAAAACCGCGGCCATGCTGTGAGGCCCAGTTGGTGTTGAGCTGACATCGTTGAGTTGTGACGTTCAACTTTGGCATGTGGATGAAAGGTTGATGTACTGGAGTTCGCTTCGGGCTTCTTTCAAACATCCTGCAACACCACGTAGATCGCAAATGCCGCCTCAGTAACACAACCACAAGTCGAAACATGAACTTACTTTCCAACCCAAACCTGTCGTAGCTGGACCAAATTCAAATGGCGTTGTCTACTTAGCAAGCCCTGGGCTCGAGCTGACAAGCTGAAGGGAACGAAGTAGCTGTTGATTGTATTTTATGCTGCAACTGCGGACTTTGTACTTGGGTAGGCTTCCCAAACTGAAAGGTCATGCATCCAGCATCTGCTTCCAAAAAGATGCAGAACCTATTTTGATCACAAATATCGACGTTTTCGGGACCGCAGTCCCCACCGAAAACTCCGTACGGTCACTTGCACACGCTCGATGCTTCTGGACGACAGTGATTGTGCTGGTGGATTGGAGGTCTCGTTCTTTTCCAGCCACGAGGCCGACAAAGTCGGGCAGATCCAAAAGGAACCTGTTTTGCAACTTGAACTGCAAACTTTTCGAGCGTTCGACTTGCGGGTTCGCGCGTTGCGGAGTGTTGCAAACGGCTCCTCGCCTTCAGTGCGGCGCACGCAAACTCTTCTGGGACCAGAGTGGGCCCTTGTTCCCGTGTGTTCGGGTTTAGGTTCCCATATAAGGCCCTTCAAAGCAAAAAGGATTCGCAGGTAACTCTTGGATGTGCAAAACTGTCGTCGCTTTCGGCCTCCGCAGCGCTCTTGACGTCTGAGAAGTGGTCTTGCAGCATTTATAGGGAGCCCTGGACCGGTGCCGCGCGCGCTTGGGGGCCTCGCTTCGCGTTGGCAGGCGCGACACAGGTGTCGTTTCTGCTGGCAGGCGCATTTATCGCGTTGGCAAGCGCGACACAAGTGTCGTTGCAGCATTCAGGGCCCTGGACCGGCCCCGCGCGTGATTGGGGGGGCTCGCTTCGCGTTGGCAGGCGCGAATCAGGTGTCGTTTCTGCTGGCAGGGGCAGCATTTAAGGGCCCTGGACCGGCCCCACGCGCGCTTGGGGGGGCTCGCTTCACGTTGGCAGGCGCGGTGTCGTTGCAGCATTCAGGGCCCTGGACCGGCCCCGTGCGTGATTGGGGGACTCGCTTCGCGTTGGCAGGCGCGACACAGGTGTCCTTTCTTTAAGGTCAACCTTTGCCGGGCGGGTAGTCACGCTTTGTGTCATGTCGAAAACCCATAACCATTCACTCAACGCATTTGTCAGACCCAAATCCTCGACCGTGCTATATCCATCGAGCCCACGGTGCGGAGTCGGAGCGCGTCACGACGCCCTGCCAGGAGGACTGCCGCAGCAGCTTGACGTTCGGGTTTTGTGGAGTCGAGACATGCCTTGCCAGCTTATGTACTGAGGTTGGGGACTCCCGCAGCCATTTCGTCTTAAGAAAAGCTCACATGTCAGCTCTGCCTTGCGCATAAACTTTGTGCGATGCTGCTACTCCGATTTGCTGGTCAGCTTTCTTGTTGCAGTTGCAGCTGCTGTTTTTGTTAGGTCAGAGATGCCACTTCAAAGGTACCATGGTCAGTGGCGTGCGTTTTTTCGCGCCACGGCACGTTGTGTGAAAAAAGCATGTCATGACGTGCCGGGACGAGGACTGCACCTTCGCAAAGTCGACAGATGTTCGAAGAGGCAGAAGACGCATAACTTTCTGCGATGCCGTTACTTCCGATTTGTTGTACGCTGCTTAGGTGTCAGCTTTCTTGTTGCAATTGCTGCTTTTGTTATGCAATTGTTGCTTTTGTTAGGCCAGAGATGCCACTTCAGCAGCACCATGGTCAGTGGCGTGCGTTTTTTCGCACCACGGCACGAGGTGTGAAAAAGCATGTCATGACGCGCCGGCGCGAGGATTGTACCTTCGCAAAGGCGAAATTCGAAGAAGCATGTCATAGCACGGACGCCAGTGGTCAATTCCCGACTCGTGGAGAGCGCGCGCAACTCGGACGGAGAAGCGAAAAAAGCTGTGATTTGCCACTCACACTTTTGCATCCAGCACCCATCAAGCTTGCGTACCGCACCAGGATTTGATGAGAGAACACTCATTGCACATTGCAACATTTCTCAGGGGCGACCGAGGTGGCCCTTGCGCAGGCAGGCACAGCATTTCGGGGTCCTGGACCAGCACCTTGTAGATGAGACTCAGACTCGGCTTCAAACTTTCACTTTCGCCTGCGATAAGTGTACCGTGACAGGTCTCCCCAGCTCGCTGACGACATGGTGGATCTCGCTGAAAATCCGCTCGCCGGACGACAAACGAACCCGAAACTCTCTGTCGCCTCGAACCCCACACCTGCACACTACTAAAAGAGCGGCGAAGGACACGACTCACACTCTCACTCGTCACGCGATCTTTCACTCACGCCACGCACTCACACCCAAGCACTCACTCGCTCACTCGCTCACTCTCTCACCCTCTCACTCATATTCACTTATGCACTCTTTGCGAATAGATAACTTTGCGTGTGGGGTCATCCGGGCCTTTGATTGTTGGGCTCCGCGAGCTGCAAGCCTACATCATACGGACTAATATCATGCTATGGTGCGAAGCACTCTGCTTCCTCGCTGAACACAGTTTCAAGAGGGCGGTGTGATACAATGGTCATGATTGTTGTCGGACACAAATCCACACATGCTGCCTCAACCCTTGGGGTTGGTAGGTGGGGTTCCCAGGTGGTAGAAAAACTTTACACCCCGCCTTGATGTTGCGCGAACTGTAAGCTCAACATCACCTGTACACTAGCGGGTTCTACTTTGTCGTTGGGCTCATCTGGTATTGAGTGATGGCCTCGTTGTGCTCTCCATCATGGAGTTCCTGCACTTGGTGAAAACTGTGCCTACTGTTTCCTCGTAGGCAACACTTCGCTCAGGTAAGCTTGTACTCGTCGTAGCTCACTCTGTACGGAAAAGGGTGAGACTATTCACATCTTTCACTCACATGGTCCCGGGCTGACAATTGCCACAAGGACGGTAGCGCAATCTCGCATGCACTGCTGCACTGTAAGTGAATCTCCTCGACCTTTGCACATCTGCACACGTAAGTCTGTGATACCTCTTGCCATGAGGCGTGTACACATACTGGGGTTGTGCTCGTAGCTGTTCGTCCACATCCTGTGCCATAGGAACGATATCAATCATTCCCCATTCTTGAAATCGCCTTGCAAGCTCTTCGTCATTCAAATGGATTTGGCTTGCTGGTACTGTACTGATTCCAGGCATTCCATCACCACTGCCTGTCGCTGAATCCTCTGGTGCATCATGGAAATACATATTGACTGCCCTTGCTGTACGTTGAACATCGCCTTCATCGGGCGGACAATACTGCTGCACAAATTGCTTTATACTGAACTCTTCCTGTGGCTCTTCTGACTGGTAGGTAGTAGTGGTCAAATAAATGAACTGGTTCCTGTGGTCCTTCTTCCTGCGGTTCCTGTGGTCCTTCTTCCTGTGGTTCCTGCGGTCCTTCTTCCTGTGGTTCCTGTGGTCCTTCTTCCTGTGGTTCCTGTGGTTCTTCTTCCTGTGGTTCCTGTTGTCCTTCTTTTTGGGTTTCCTGTCGTCCTTTGTTCACCTTCTGCTCGACCATGTGGAACAAAAGTAAAGCGAACATTCCTCCAAGTAGCACACTGAAAAGAATGATCCATCCGCTCACTTCCTTCAAGTAGATGAAAATGAACTCTCTTTCCTCTCGTTCTCTTCCTCCGAAATCGTCTGGCTGTCCTGCAATCTGCGAAATCATATTCACCATCATCGTCAAATACATCGCTCTCGCTGTCTTACTTCCTCGCTCATTCAGCAAAGTTGCACGTAGAGCTCGAACTTGACTTCTGCTGCCACATGTTCCATCGCTTCTTCTTTCCCATAGCGTTCATAAATTTCTCCATTCCACACCATGGCTCCAATGTGGTACATGAGAAATCTCCTTCTAGAAACTCCTAAGCGCTGCGGGTTCAAGTCAGCAATGCTTAATTTGGTAGGTACTGGCTTTGCTTTGAAGCTGTTGTTCTTCACACCTCGCTGAAGCCATAATACTCTCAGATCTATATGTTTGAGTCCTCCGACTCCTATTCGCATCATCCGTTGTCGTCCTGCACTTGAGTCCATTCGGATCTCCACTAGAATCTTGCCTGCAAGAAACATCCACAACTTCTTGAGTAGCATAGCTGCCGACGCTCCCCCTGAGCATGCTAGTACTTCGGACTCCGCTGAGCTTTCTGGGTCCGGCTGTACGAAAGTACTCGTACTGAATTGGCACAGATGATCACTGAAGACGTAGACCATCTTGCTTCACGGTCTGACGCCCAATCTGCATCCGTGAATACCTCCATACTGTGTGGTACATTCCTTTCCTCTAGCCGCATCCTCCTGCTCTTCCCTTTGATAGATCGCATCCATCATTTTGTTTCCGACATTGGTGTACCTCAGCATGAATCCCAGTTGCTCTGTCCCTTGTACATAGAGCGGCGCTTGTTTCAAACAGGTTAAAGCTTGTTCAGTCGGCTTCGACATCTTGTTTGCCAAACATTTTGTCACATGCTGTAAATCCCATCTGTCTTGAGAAATGCACAACAGTGTTCCCAAAGCTGAACGAAATCTTTTGCATTCGCCCTCCTCTAGATCTTTGGAATCATCCACTGTTCCAATCAACTGGTGCCCTGGGGTTTGTCTTGGCTTGCTGCCTCCCAGCTTGTAAAGTCGTCTGAGATTTTCGTAATGCTTCTTTGATACTGTCACCAGAATTCCTTCTTCCAGGAACGCGTAGGTCCTCTTCAAGTAATGAAGCTGTTTTCCCGATCCCCGATGGGATGGGAACGGTCCTTCCACGGTGAGCTAGAAGAATTTCTCTAGCTCGCATATGAGCCATTTTCCTTCTCCTTTCGCACCTGCGACTAGCTCATCGTCAACATGAATTGACACTGCAATCTTCTTCACCCTGTGCTTCAAAATTGAAGGTATCCCCAACAAATTGCTCAAACCCCAAACGCTTCAAGATCGACCAAATGGGTAAACCATTGTTCTGCTGCCGACCTTTGTCCTGGCAGACACTTCTCCACTTTCCATACCTGATCTTCATCCAAACCAAGTAGCGCTCGAACCACGGTAAAACATCAGCATGCATCAGAGCTTTCTGCGTAACTTGTAGAAATGCATTACGAATATCAAGAACTGTAAGTTCACTCTTTCGCCAATCGAAAACTGTCCTTAGTGTAGAAACTTGCCTTTATCTGAACACTCTACTTTCTTGATCGACAACCTTTATGCTTGCTAGCTTGTCCGACTCTGCCTTTCTGCTTCTGCATCCAGGCGCTCAAGTTCTTCTTCGCTGACTTTTGGCGGTTGTTCCTCGTCTTCTTCTCTGTTCGCTTTACGCTTACGCTTCTTTGGACTTTTTTCCGCAGTCTTCTGTTGCTTGCTGGTGGCTTCTCTGCTTCTGCTGTTTTGCTCGCTTTCGCAGGCTCTTCTCTTTATGCTCCTTCTGTTTCTCTTCTCCGCCTTGGTTAGAACTCATTGATGAACTTTGATCCGTCTGCTCTGGCGCCTTTCCTTCTTCTTCACCTTCCTTTTCCTTCTCAGGTTCCTTCCGGATCCTTGTTAATGGTGCTGCGTGTCGGTGCTTTTCTTTGCCAGGCTTTTTTTTTTTTTGGATTGACGCCTCTTTACTACATCAGTAGCGCAGTAGGCCGGTCTTGTTGGGCTCGACATAACAGGTGAAACGAAGTCAGCGCGCTCAAACCACCAAACACACCACGCAACCGCCCAAGAACCAAAGAAACAGAAGAAACAAAGCAAGCAAAGGCGCTGAACTACTAGGTAACCCCACGCACTCAGTACTCGAAGTCGTCGTTGAAGTCCCGGTGCAATCATACAGCACAAAGCATGCGGGGAATCGCAAATTGCGACACTGCCAGATTCTCAAAACCACCATCATGTAGCTACTGGTGCGACATCATTCGAATCGAACCGAGGTCATCACTCGATGGTCAGGATCACGTACCCATCGTCAAGGACAGATAACAGACCCGCAGTGGCAAAGGGATGTTACAGGTCAGACTCCCCAAGGAGAGGAAAGACGTGCGTATGCCCCATGGTGGTCAGCCAGTGGGGACTTAACAGCAAGAACTATCAAGGCAAGACCGGCCCAGGGCACTCCATGGTGGTCAGCCAGTGGAGCAGCCCCGAGCGAAAGGTCCTCCGCTCACCCTGGCTTGCAGCTGCGCCCACCTGGATAGATGTCCGCGCACAAGCAAAGTCTCATCAGACGGCCAGAGGGGAGGCCAAGCCTTCACTGCGTGAGTAGCTACAGCTACCGTTTCCACCGTGAGCGTCATCAGCACACAAGGCCACACAGCTTTTGCGTTGGCCTGCGCATCAGTCTGCATCAGGTCCCTCCAAACCCTAACCCACGAGGTACGTCGGTAAGGAGATGGGAGGGCTCACATCACGTTTGCGTGCCAAGGATCTCCATGGTAAAACTGCTTTGATCCAATCAGAGCCATCAGGTTACAGCCAAGCAAGCGGCGAAACAGCTGTGCCGCCGCAAGCCAAGCACAGACGAGGATGACCCTCTTGAAGGCCAGGTTAGTGCACAGGTGCTCAATGGCTCCCTACCATGGCAGTGGGTGTATATTCTCCACATAGAAGTGCCCACAGTCTGGAAGAAAGCACCGCAGTATTGGTCTTTCCAGAGTCGGCACTCAGCCGAGATATTACAGAAGGGCGGGTCACATTGCCGTGACAGCACGTGAATCACGTGTCGTCTCGTCCAGCGATGAGCAGCGGGGCAACCAGGGTTGGCGGTTGTTGGGTCTCAAGGCCGAAGGGTTCACGTAAGGCCATAGCACAGAAATGGAGCAACCGACCCGGCTGACGGGGGCAGAGGAGAGGAAGACTGGGCAGTCTTACCTTGGACATAACACGATGAACAATCAAGGCAAGACCAGCCCAGAGTACTCCATGGAGGTCAGCCAGTGGAGCAGCCCCGAGCGAGAGGCTCTCCGCTCCATTAGGCTCACCGCAGCGCCCACCCAGAAGGGTGTCCCCGTCCCGACAAGTCCTTCCTTCCGCAAGGCAAGAGGAGACGGCAGGGTCAACAACAAGGGCCGAGGGCTCAAGCGCCTTGAAGTTGTACACCTCACCACATTCGCCGAGGCAGGTTGGGGTGCCATGGAAACTTCCGATTACAAGCGTCCGTGCGTGGGGACTTACAAGTGAGCACTGCAGACCAGCCCAGGGCTCCCCATGGTGGTCAGCCAGTGGGGCAGCCGCGAGCCGCAGCCAAGAGCAGCAGGCTCCCTGGAGGCTCCCAGGACGGAAGCCATTGAGCAGCTACCGATTCAGATAATACAGTCCAGTTGTCCCACCCATGCAATCAGGTGGGTCTGAGGGATTATTGCCAAGGGCCTTCCCAGTCAGGGCGTCGTGGGCGGTAGCCTGCAGAGACAGTATGGGCCCATCTTCCTGACTTTTTGGCAACCGGCTTAGTACCTTCGGCCACTTTCAAAGCCTCGTCACTGGCGGCATCACGAGGCCTGACGCATACTTGTGGCAACTCCTCCTCGCTAACCCCCCACTCAGGGATGCCAGTTGGGATGGAGCCCCCTATGTGCCGTTTCATTGAGGCTTGGGCTGCCTGCCACATCGTCCGGATGGCGTCCTGTATTTGCCGATATTGCACAACACCTTCGTCCCGATACTGAAAGGGCAGGGTGGTAAGCGCGGCAGCGAGGGCCGAGGGCTCGGGCTCCTTGGGAGTGCCATGGCAGTACAGCTTGAACCAGAAGCTGTTGAGTTGCTGCTTAGTTGGATGCTTGGATCTTGCGAGCTCCTTGAGGGCAGCCCAATGAGCAGTGGCAGCATCATACCACGCATTCCGGGAACGTTGGGGTCCATGCTTAGTAGGTGTTGTGCTGAGCCGGCTTCACTGGCACGCATCACCCATGGCTCATCCGCATGCGCAGCCGGGTCGAAGCCCTGACCGGAGTGCACAACAAACGGCTTCCAGCAGCTATCCTTGATGCCAAAGATTGGGTGACTCAGCTTGCTGAACATCCTGGCCTTAGCAGCTGCATTTTTGGCAGCCTCCCTCATCTTCACCGCTTCGTCTGCCTCTTGCTGCCTCTTCTTCCTGGCATCCGCTCGTTCCTGCGACGTTTTCTTTTGCTTGAGATAGCTCTGCACGTCACTGCTGATCTTGAGCAATGCTTTCATGAACAGGTCCACGGTCGCAAGCTCGGTTTTGATCAGGGTGGTCTGCATGTCACTGACCTCCTTCGCATCTGTCAGGTTCTTCAAACCATGAGCCCTGCATGTGAAGTAGACAGAAGGCATCAAGCTAGCATCACTCTTCACGAGCTTGACATCAGGGCCCACACTTTCAAGCGCTTTCTTCAGATCATCAAGGGCCTTCTCCCGATCAGCATCACTCGGGGAGGGCATGTCAACCTCCCAACATCTCAAGGCTGCCTCACAGGCCTCGAGCGCAACAGCATCCTGCTCAGAAGAGTTTGGAGCAAGGTACTCCCGGACACTCTTGCGAGCTTCCTCAAGCTTCTTCTTGGCATTCTCGGCTGCTTTGCTGCAAAGACCAAGCTTGTCCAAGACCTTGTTGCAGGCAGTCGTCTTGAACGCCGTGAATGCTGGGCCTGACGATGCAAGCTTCTCGAACTTCATGCGGGCTTTCTTTTCTGCTGGCGTCTCGACCTTCTCACCGCTCTCTTCCAAGGCTCGCTTGCCCTTCGCAGGTGGTGTTGTAGCCATCCTCGTTGAAGAAACCATCGATGTCACGACCACGCATGTTGCCCTTGCACTGCTGAAGCAGCACACGGCGGTCCTCGGCATTGAGCTGTTTCTCTTGAACCCCACCTTCTTCAAGATAAACGGACTTGCTTCGATCCTTGTCTGAATGCTTTTCTTCAATCACCGGAATCCACAATCGCTCGGCCTTCTCAAGGCCAAGCGTGTCACGATCGATGCGGCTATCCTTGAGGTATCGTTCCCACTCATTGTGTGTGGCCTGTTTGGTCCAGCCCATGGTCTGCTGACCCCGGATCATCCACTGGCCGTACTCAAAAGGCCTTGTTCCATCTCTTTTCCGCTTCACCTGCGACACACAGTACTTGCGCTTGAACTGACTCCAAACAATCAGTTTCTTTCGTCGCCATTTCCCTTCGCTCGGGTTCTCCTCGTCAAACTCTTCCATGGCCTCGGGGTTGCTCATTGCAGTCTCAAGGCTTTCGATTTCATTTTCCTTCTTTGCCTGATAAAACATGTTGTCAAAGGTCTGGTTGTGCTTCTTGCACCATCGCTTGCTCTTCACGCACTCGTCGTCGCAAGTCAAGATGAAACATGTCTTCACAACTGCTGGCCCTTTGGATTTGGCCTTCGCCTTCGCTTTGCCCTTGGGAGCTGCTGAGGCTGAGGAAGGCTCACCTTCCATCTTGGCCACCTTGGCCCCCTTAGCCATCTGCGTCACGATGTCGGGACAATCATTCGCGAAGGCGTCAATTTCAAGGTCAAAATCCATGACTGCCACACAATGCGGGGCACTCACGCCGGCTCCACGATGGAGGCTGACTCACAAGATTGCATATGAGACAGACTTCAGTGAACAGATAGGTTCGCTGAGCTAGAAAAGATGGTGGCATCTTCTTCTCTGCTCCTACTGCGAATTTAGAAACTTTGCCTGGATGGAAAGATTTGAATTCCCGATTCCCGACAGCAAACGCCTAGTGCCGCTGCAAAGGTGCCTGCTGTTTCCTGCTTAAGACGACACATGTGCGCAGCATGGGCAAAAGGTGGCCTTGAGCGGAGCGGAGTAGAAAGATCCACAAGTCATAGCGGCCATAGCGAGCAGTCAGAGTCAATACCAAGGCAAGCAAACTCACTCATTTGGATGATTCCTGCAATACTTGTCGCACTGCCACATGGCATGCAAAGACACACGCAGCACGCCACGGCCCTGCCACATAGCAAGCAGGCATAGGCATGCAAGATGCAAGATCTGGGCCAGTGGGTTTCTTCACTTCCGTCACCTGATGTCTAATTTCGACTTCTACCTTCTGCTACTTCCCCTGCCCCTGGCCTGGTTCTTGCTGTTGTCACGGTGATGAAAAGACACGTCACACTTGTCACGCTGCGCTTCAGCTATGGACTGTACACTGTGAGGCAAAAGTTTTGAGTCAAAAGCACAGACAAGGATACACTCACGCAGGGCTGCAATGCCAAGGTCGCAAGTCGCAAACTACCCACGATGAATCACAGCTATTGCTTCTGTTTCGGACCGAAGTTCGGACACTGCTACTCATCCTGCACCGAGGCATCTTGGGAATCTGCAGCCAGAGACAGGTCTGGCGTTGAACTTCCCTGGCCGATAGAGAAGCTAGAGCCGCCCTTCCTGAGCAAGGTTCTTTCAGGCTGTATGCTCACCGAGCGATCAAGCTTCACAGTGTGCGCCATGATATAGAACATCCATGAAGCAATCACTGGCAAATGCCAGCCGTTGCCAAGGAGCTTCTTCTGCTGGCAGGAAGAAAAATCGGACAAAGCATCCGTAATCAAGCAAGCACGTTTCCATTTGCTTCTGTCTGGAAAGACATTGAACCCGTGCGCCAGAAACTGTTCCATTGGCAGCACCGGCCTGTTTGCTGACCAAGCGTGCAAAGTTCCATGAGTCAGCCGAGGGCAGCATCTCTGAAGGAGTGCTTGCACCTTGGCCCAGATTCTGCTCCAGGTCTGCAAACCATGCACTAGGGCCACCGTCGACAGCACTGAGAGCACCAACTGCAGCATGGTCAACCTCAACCGTCTCGGCCAGATGACGCTGACGATCCTGCTCGTAGGACTGAAGTCGCACCATCTGGCCTGGTGCGTAGATGTGATGCAACTGCACATTCTCCAAAGGAACGTTCTCTGGCAACTCAAAGCCTCGCTTCCGTGCCATTTCACACAAGTACGCACGCACTTCTGCATCATTAGCAGCCAAGCAAATGTCACCGGTTGTTGCGACGCTCCTTTCAAAGAACTGCATGAAATGAGCTGAGATCTCAGACGCAGGAGGTCCAAACCACGCCATAGTTTCACGATTCAAGGCACAAGTAAACACACGCGTGCGCCTGACCGGCCATCCAAGCATCATCGGAGACAGCACAATGCTGAAGACGTCGTGCGTGTTCTCCAAGGCAGAGAGCTTCTCCTCCCAAAAACAAAAATGACTGGGTCCTGAAAGGCCTCTGGGCCTCTGGGCTTTGGTAACTGTTGGTGGTTCTTCGTGCCGGTGGAACAAAGGCAGGGCAGCACAGTCTCACTCATACGATTAAGACTCGGTCTTCAACATTGACTAAACAACAACACGCGACCAGCACTCTAAACCCTAAACCCTAAACCCTAAACCCTAAACCGACCTAAGCCCTAAGCCCTAAACCCTAAACCCTAACCCCTAAACCCCTAAACCCTAAACTCAACCCTAAACCCTAAACCCTGAACTTGCCCCGGCCTGAACTGGGTAGCGGGGAGTACATTCACTGATCATGAAATCTTCCAGCCCTTGTTCAGCGCGAGCCACACGCTCACTCGCCCATATCGCATGTGGTCGTTCAGATGGATCTGCAAAGTGCAAGCCCTTGCCTGCAGCACTCCATCCTGTACACACAGTGCCGGCCATATTCACGCGCACGAAGTTGGAGCTGCGGCGGGCCCGGCCCGGCGGGCAGTCTCTTCTTCTGCAATGCTCCTGGACAGGGGGCAATCCAACTCCGACTCTGACGCAAACAACTTGCGCCTCACATGCCTTGTTGAAAGGCTGGACTCCGACTGGCTCGACAACGGTGACGGTGACAGCATGGTCTGATCGGTCTCTGAGGTCTCTGCATCTTTCACCACGGCAGCGTCTGTCATGAACCAAGCATTGGCACGAATTCTCCTGCGCAAAAGCCCAGGCACGGTTCTCCAGCAGCCACTCTGACATGTTCCGGTACAGGTCCGCTGCTTCCTTGCTTGATATCTTCTGCTTCGGGGTCATATTGTCCAAGACTGCCCGGGCTGTCTCAGGCAGGCGGTCGTTCAAGTCGTCAAAAACACAAATGCTGTTGTTGTGCAAGCTGCTGATGAAGCGCAGAACCTGCTGCTGCTGCTTTGCCTTGTCACAAAAGCGTCCATGTACTATCTTGACATCTTTCAAGGCTTCTACGCCAGAACCTGACGCAACCAGATTCAACGCTTCCACCATTTGGTGCATCACTTCATGCTCCCCAGCAATTCCGGAGTAATCAGAATCGATCCAGAGCCCTCGCCCCAGCAAGGCCTTCAAACGACTAAACCGCTCTCCATCATTGCCATCCTTTGCAGAAACGAGGCTTTGAACGACTGTAAGTGGCCAGCTGCACAGCTCATCCAGCGATTGCGGGCCAGGCCGCAAGACCCGGCTTGCTTCTGCCATGATGCACCGCTGGCCTACAACAAAATTGTTTCTGCTGCTTGTCACTGCTTGTGCTAGGCACACTTGTTTGTGCCCTTCTGATTTCTGAGGATTGGGGACGTGACAGACGTAGAGTTTGGGACAGCTACACTGCTTCACCTACATCTCAGAACTCAGAACACTCAGGGAACCGGCCAGCACAGTCCGGGCATTACATTGCATGACTGCGGCAGACTGCCGACAATGGTATCCCAGAATCCTAGAAATCTAGAAAAGACACGTTGTCAGGCAGTCAGGCAATAGTAGTTCTTGCGCCTGTGAGTTTAATTGCATCTTTATTCTTCTGATTCTTCTCTCATAGCTGCCACCATAGCTTTCGATATCCTATATCAGTGACAATCATTGAAAGTTGAGAGTTGAGAGCACGGCCTGGAGCCTGGAGCCTGGAACTACCTGGAAACCACGCATGAACATGAAACTTTGTCACAATGCCACTCAACCACCAACGATTGTTACTGACCTTAGGCATTCTGGCACTTTTGACAACGAGCCCATAGACGCTGCGCAAATCAACGACATTTCAATTTCTCCGCCGGTTTGCCAGCCGGGGAGGCCCGGGGAGGCTCAGAGCCTAAACGGGCCTTGACCTACGGTTTCAAGGCTCGTGGGCCCAAAGCAATTTCGAGCAATTCCGAGCGTTCCGAGCAACCAAGGAAAATTCCGAGCAACCCCCAAAAATTCCGAGCAACCAGCCCCAATTCCGAGCAAGTCAAAGAGGTGGCTAAGAAGGGCGAAATTTGAGCATTCCGAGCGACCAGCAAAAATTCCTAGCGACCCAGCAAAAATTCCGAGCAGGCAGCCCACGAATTTCGAGCATTCCGAGCGCCCATCCCCAGCCGGGCCCCAGGCCCCCAGCAGGACCCCAGGGACCCCCAAAGGCCGTCCCAAAGCCCCACCGGAAACCCAACCGCACCAACCGCACCAGAACTCTGCCGCAAAGAAGGTTTCGGGGATTTTTGGGGATTTCGCGAGTTTGCGTGGATTTTCTCAGAGTGGACGGAAACAGCGACCCCGAATATTGTAGGTGGTGCCCGTCCGGGTATGCGCCGGGTGCCCGGGTATGCGCCGGGTATGCGCCGGGTATGCGCCGGGTGCCCGGGTATGCGCCGGGTATGCGCCGGGTATGCGCCGGGTGCCCGGGTATGCGCCGGGTATGCCCGGGTATGCGCTGGGTGCCCGGGTATGCGCCGGGTATGCGCCGGGTATGCGCCGGGTGCCCGGGTATGCGCCGGGTATGCGCCAGGTGCCCGGGTATGCGCCGGGTGCCCGGGTATGCGCTGGGTATGCGCCGGGTGCCCGGGTATGCGCCGGGTATGCGCCGGGTATGCGCCGGGTATGCGCCGGGTATGCGCCGGGTGCCCGGGCATGCGCCGGGTGCCCGGGTATGCGCTGGGTATGCGCCGGGTGCCCGGGTATGCGCCAAGTATGCGCTGGGTGCCCCCCCCCCGCCCTGTCTTCATTTTAACCCCCTGTAAGGGCCTACCCAGGCAATGCCTAAGCCTTTTAAGGATAAAAGGGGAAAAACCTGTATGTTTTAAACTTGGGTTCTTCCAAAACCCCTTGAGGCCAATAAAGGAAAAACCTGTGTGCTTCAAACTTGGGTTCCGCACAAGAAGCTATGGCCATCCTTTTCGTGGCAAAGGTCGCTGGGAGTCTGCAGATGGTCAAAACTCGTGCGTGAGGGTATCCAGGGTTCTTGCTAAGTCTACATTGCTGTAAACCTATGGTCGAGGAATTATTTATTGTTTTTTGCCTTTCAACTTTTTTTTTTTTGGGGGGGGCCTCCCTATTGCAAGATAGAGGAAATCCAAAGAAAATAGAGGTTTTCCTGTTCAAATCCAAAGAAAATAGAGGTTTTCCTATTAAAATCCCAAGAGAAGAGGTTTTCCTATTAACATCCAGAGAAAATAGCGGTTTTCCCATCAACATCCGAAGAGAATGGAGGTTTTCCTCTTGAAATCTAAAGAAATAGAGGTTTTCCGCATAGAGTACAAAGGAAATACAGGTTCTATTCTTAACATACAAAGGGAATGCGGGTATTCCTATTCAAATACCAAGGAAACTTAGGGTTTTGTCCGTGAAAGGTAGGATTTTACCATGTTAAAAGTGAAAGGAGATAGAGGTTATCCATAGAAGGCGGGGAAAGAGGGTTTGCCTATGCAATACACAAGATACTAGAGGTTGTACTACCAACAGAAACAGAAAGAGTTTTCCAAACAAAAGGAAAGAGGTTTAAAATCGAAGGACACATAGGGCTTCTAAACCAGAGAGACGCATAGAGGTTTGCTGTAGAGGTTTTCTTACGTAACAAATATAGGGTTTACTTTGTTGGACTTGCACGAACGAACGGCATGTATGTATATGCTTTGAAGACAGCTTGCGCGGCTTTTAACAAAGGAGGGGATTGGGAGGGAGCGCAGCCCCCCCCCCCATTTGCAAAACACGATTCTCGCATGATGGGTTTTCAAAATGTATGAATAAAGCGGGGAGGTTGGGTGGGGGGGGGGGGGCGAGGCCCCCAAATTTGCAAACACGATTCTGGCATGATGGATTTGCAACATTTTAATGTATGCATATGGCATATGCTTTGAAGCAAGCTTGCTTGGCTCAAAAAAAACGGGGGGGTTGGGGGGGGGGGAGCCCCCCCATTTGCAAACACGATGCTCGCATGATGGGTTGCCGAAAATGTATGCATATGCGTTGAAGCAAGCTTGCGCGGCTAAAAATAAAGCGGGGGTTGGGGAGCCCCCCCCCCCCCGCATTTTGCAAACACGACTTTCGCATGATGGATTTCCAACAATGTATGCACATGCTTTGAAACAAACTCGTGCGTACTCGTGCGTAATCGTGCGTACTCGTGCGTACTCGTGCGTAGTCGGGGGTACTCGGGCGTACTCGAGCGTACTCGGGCGTACTCGGGCGTACTCGGCGTACTCGGGCGTACTCGGGCGTACTCGGGCGTACTCGTGCGTACTCGTGCGTACTCGTGCGTACTCGTGCGTACTCGGGCGTACTCGTGCGTACTCGTGCGTACTCGGGCGTACTCGTGCGTACTCGGGCGTACTCGTGCGTACTCGTGCGTACTCGTGCGTACTCGGGCGTACTCGGGCGTACTCGGGCGTACTCGTGCGTACTCGGGCGTACTCGGGCATACTCGGGCGTACTCGTGCGTACTCGGGCGTACTCGTGCGTACTCGGGCGTACTCGTGCGTACTCGGGCGTACTCGTGCGTACTCCGACGCGGTCGCCCATCCCTGCCGCAATGGATTTTCTGACAAACTGACGCTCTGCGGTGCTTTTGTGAAACTTCTGAGGTGTGCGGCCTGCGTTCTACAGCAGCAAGCTTATAAGTCTGAAACACCTGAAACAGAATATCGTCTGCTCAAGCAAACTGAACAAACGGCACGACCTCTTTCTGAGACTCTGTCTGGGGTCTGGAGCAGCAAGCTGGCTGAGCTGCACGCTGATCCTTTTGCATCACGATGCAAAACAAACAGTCAACACAATAAATAAGTTCACACCAGAGTTCAGCTTGTTTGCTTGAGGGTGGTCTACAAAGCTGCTACACAGCAACTGCCAAGCCCCAATGCGGTTCAGCGTTTAGGGTAAGACTTCACGGGCGCTGCATTCAACTCTTCTTCAGATGGCAGAGTGCCATTCTTGAAGGCCTTCAAAACTTCTTGCCAGCATCGGCCCTGATGTTCCTTCTTGGAAGATACATGGCGGCCTTTCTGGGCCCAAAACTTCAACATTCTCAAGGTCACCTCCGGACCATCGATCTTGGAACTTCGTGTTTTCGTGCACGCCGCAGTACCGGAATCATGTTTGGGGTGCTTACAGGTCAGCTGGAAGCCGGTCTTTGTGGGAGTTAGGCGACAGAGACCATAAGATGTGGCCACATCACGTCTTCTCGTCAAACCCTCTGCCCTCCTCCCAGCACGTTTGCCACCCTGCTTGCTCTCGAGGAAGAAGATGAGGAATCAGACCCCCCACTGCTTTGTGAACTGGAACCAGAAGAAGAACTGCTTGAAGAAGATGCAGAGGAACTTGCATCTGGTCTGGGTTCCGCCTCTCCAGCTGCAGCTTCCTCTGGAGCGTGGGCCTCTGCCTCGGACTCAGCCTCAACAACATCGTGCTCAACGCCTTCTTCGCCCATGTCAGCATCGTCAGCATCCTCCAACGCAGGAGCCGATTGAACCCCAAGACGGGCTCTTTTTCGTGGAGCTCGCACAGGTACAAGAGCTGACTCTGCCACCCAAACATCTTCATCATCCATGAAAATCAAGGCATTCTCTTTCCTGCGACGAGTTTGGGTGGACCCTGGCTTGCCTAGCAGTTGTGCGTACACGTTGGCAGGCTGAAGGTGTGGAACAGGGCTGCCATGCTGTTCTGCTTTGAGCAGGCAGAGAAGGTAATCTTTGCAAAGATATGAGTTTGTCTTGAGGTAATACCAAATCTTCTCATCTTCAAGCTTATACGCTGCGCCTTTGTCCAAAAGTCTCTTGGACTCCAGCCCTTGGTGGTGCCAGCCTTGATCTCGAAGAGTCAACAACAGCTCTACCATTTCCATGTCCTCAAGCCCCACATCACGAGCCTCGAACACTTTCCCCAAACTTGTCAAGACGGTCTCAACTTCGACGCGCCTGTGGCCCTTCTTTGTCACTGCCCAGCCGCCATCCTTGTCACGCCTAGCCCAGTCCCGAGCTTCAAGCTTTTCCAACAGCTGAGACTTCTCGGTGTGCAAAGGGTCGTTGCCTGCAACGGTGTAGGAACCGGCTGCCAGCAAATCACTCAACAACGACTGACACGCAGAATCTTCAAAGGCAAGCTTGTCAGGATCGTCTGCTGGCACTCTTAGATGACATGCAAGATTGCTTGTGTTCTCCCATTTCCTCATGCCCAGCAATGACTCCAGAGGCAAAGCTTCCAGGCAGAGTACCACAGGAGTGGCAGACTCGTCG